CATCCCCTCCCATCAATCCGCCCCCGGTTCTTGAATAGCGAGGTCTGAAGTCAAAGACCCTCTGCGAATTAGTAAGCCTTAAAAGATCAAAAGAAGGAATTTCACATCAACCAGGGACTGCCACCAATGTTGCTTGTAAAGGGAGGCCACATGAAAAGTTGAAGATCAAAAACCCCGGGAAGGGACAATGGGAAGATGTTTCTTCGAGATCGTAATGAAAGCTATTCCGTAAGGGAAGCGAAGATATTTAATTTACTATTCAACTCCATAAGTCCTCGAGGTATTGGTGTCTTGAATATATTTCTGATCGCACTTATTTACTTTTATTTTCCTCACTATCTGTGTATACAGCAGGCTATCATCAAGCTGGGGGTTCTAAAAGAGCCTCATACTGCCAACTCTCGAGAGCTTTCTAGACTCACGGTGTAGTATCACCATCAACTTCAGTCCACATACCCGGGGTATAATCCGCAAGCCTCTAAAAACCTCGCTCACTCCTCACTTCCAAACTCACTCTCTGTCTTAGTAATTCCAAACTCAGATTCCGATTCAAGGGGACTTCCTCTTCCTTTGTCCATCTTCTCCTCAGCACGCTTGTGTACGATCTGATGCCGTTTCAACTGGTCCAGCCTATGGAAAGACTTGGCACATGTCCCGTATCCACAGGCATGCGTGCCCTTCTCGCCATGGATTTTGCGATGCTTCGATAGATTAGAGGATTCAGAGAATGCTTTCCCACAGATGTTGCATTTTAATGGCTTGGATTTTGTGTGTGTTCGCTCATGGATAGCTGAGCAGTGTTAGTACTGCTTATGTTTCTTTGGTAGACAAGACTTACTACATGCACTTTGTTGTGGAAATGACTTGGAGCAGTATCTGCACTGCCATGGCTTGGTTCCGGTGTGAAGCAATTTATGCTGTTTCATAGATTGCTCGGCGGAAAAGTTCTGGCCGCAAATGTCACACGTTGCACATTTATCTGCAGAGTATTAGCCATGAAAAGTAAGTAAGGATTATAGGATTGCTTACAGCCCGTATGGGTCGCCATATGCCTTTCTAGCTTTCCTCTTTGCGAGAAGCCTGCGTCCGCTGTCCTCTTCTCACGGCGGCCACAATTATGCCAGTGGCAATAATATCCAGAGTATTTATCCAACGTAGTCAGGTGATCGTTTGCGATATGATTCTGTAAATCCATTTCAGAAGTACACATCTTTTCACAAATAGTATGTCCGTTCACCCACTTGCAACAATGAGCTCTGCCGTGGTCTGGCTTTTCATTCTTAGGTATAGAGTCATTAGATAGCACGCTGCTTTGCGGGAGATTAATATTATCTATGCTTGGGAATGGGATAGCCAAATTGTGAGACTCATTCATGTGGCTAATAAATGTAGCTTGGTCTGGGAGACGAGCCTGACACGTGTCCAGTCGGCATGAAAGCATGCCACCGGTCGGCATGGCATGGGCATGATCGAAGTGGTTGTGAAGTCGCGATGGGTCGCAGTATTTCTCCGTTGGGTCGCATGTTACACCTGGACAGCTGAAGGATTTCTCGTCCATGAAGCTGTAGCCATGGCCATTCTCTAAGTGATCAACCATGCTGAGTCCATTATCTAGCGGGATATCCTGCCCTGATATAGGACAGACAAACCTCAATTGAGGATCAAGATGGTCTTGGTGAAAGTGTGGAAACCAATCAGCTTGACTTGGAAATGATGCCTGCTCGCATCCATCCCAACGACAACTGAAGTTGAAGGAACTATTGTCGCTGTTTGGTACGTCAGACGACTGTTCGTTGAAAGGATCCATCGAAGGGCGGAACACGGCACCGACGCCAGACTGCACTTCGGTGCCATATGTTGATGGGTAAATATTCGGCTGAGGGACATGATGTGATGTATATGGAGGATAATGAGCCTGTAAGCTGCCGTTCACCATAGATGGAGGGTTTGGCCACGGCAAATTTGCAGCTGCATGCTCAGGACGGCCGAAGCCTCCGAGAGTTGGATGAATAACATCTCCATTAGACGTTCTGCCTTGGTGAGAGATTGGTCTAGGTGACTGAGGAGTCAAAACCGAGTCATTCCAATCCTTGAGTCTTATATTTTGATCCGAAATGGATAGTTGGGTGCAGGTGTTGGCGTCCAGACATGGATCCGTACAGAAAGGCACGTCACACGTTTCCTCGGTGCAAGGTACTACCAAGTTGCAATCGGGTTCTGCACAAGGAGGGCTATCTGGACAACTGCTACAGCAAGTGCTTTGAGAACCAGCCTCCGAGGGACAGCCCTCCGAGGCGTCTTCCTCGTGCCGAAGAATTTCAAGTGCGATCCTTTTTCGTTTGGAAGACGGACGCGCAGCAACCGACAGCTGAGAGGATCTTGCTCGTAGTTTCAGATGTGAAGTGTCGGTCTTAGGAGGTCGTGGAGGGCGATAAGCCTCTTGGGGAGGTACGAGTATGGGATTAGGCTGAGGGACGGCCATCGATGACCAAAGGTGCTGCATATGTATGTCTTTCCGGCTAGGAAACCCTTCTGATTCTGGTTCTGGTTCTGGTTCTGGTTCTGGATGAACTGTATGATAACGCTCTGACAACCAGATATCAAAAGAAATCCGTCGTTTTACATTTTTGTGTAGGGTTGGGGTCATGGTCATCTTTGGGAGAGAATTTTGAGGGACCTGGTAGTGGTGGTCCATTTTTGCATGTGTGCTGTGCTCAGTGTGTGTACTCGGGAGTACAAGTTACTCTGAATTCTTTCAGCCCAAAGAGCAAAGGATGTCTCAAGTGTTGACGACGAGGGGTTGGAATGATATCAGCACAATTGCCCATCCGGGTACCCAAAGGCTGAGAAATACTCTATGATTCATTGTTTGCCCAATCAGGTGACACAATGTAGAACAAGGCTAGGCAAGGCTGCAAACAGATAGGGCAGAGCAGACAAATGCACAATGGGACGGAAGGGAAGGATACAATGGATAGTAGAATAGACAATGGAATGGAACTGTAATACTGTATGCCTAATGCGTTTTGAAGAGAATTATTATTGCAGGAAGAATAGAGGAGAAGCTTTTAGTATGAGTAAAGAGTCGCATCTCAATCCGTTATCGATAACTCCGATAACATGCTAATACAAGTACAAGTACACATACTGTACATCAGCTTGCGACAACACACCTCACCTTCACCCCTTCTTCAACCACAATGCGCCGTTAACACTTGTCACCCCCCTCCCATTCCCCACAAATACACTCTAAATTCCCCTCCCTCTCCATAAACATCTCTATCCCCTCACAATGGGCAACCTCTGCGGCAAAGAATCCAGCGACCCCTTCGCGCAACCCGGCCGCCTCCTCTCCTCAGCCCCAGCACCCAACACCAACACCCCAACAGCGCCCGCCCCCAAGCATATCAGCAGCCCTCCGCGGAAACTCGGATCATCTAGCGCCACAGCGCAGAGTTCAGCTGCACAGGAAGATGCGAGGAGGAAGGCCGCGGAAGCTGCTGAGGTACGACCTCCCCTCCACTTTCATAACCACCTTATGCACAAGAAAAAACATAAAAAAATCAAAGAGAGGTTGCAAGAAGAGTGTTCATGGAATAGCTACAGACAGCTAACAATTCCGTTACTCCTTTTCATATAGGCAAGAGCGAAAGCAGCGAATAGTAAACCCAAAGGAACCCTAGCTGGCAAGTTAGAGCAGCAGAAGAGGCAGACACGGACCGATACGCTGGAGGCGTCGAGTAAGGATACGCGGCGGGCGAGAGACGCTGATGCGGCGGCGGAGACGAGGGCTTATAACTGAGATACCCCTATACTTACCATTGGGACCTAACTGGGTGAGGAATATGCATATGGTTGATGGATTGAGGAATGAATGGCATAAGATGGATGGTTGATGACTTTTGATGCGGCGTTAGGGTTTTCAAAGCATTGATATGATAGTTGGTCTTGTTAATAGACTTGAGCGGGCCTTTCTTGGACGTTTCTCGCATTTATGTGCGGGTAAATCAAGATGATATACATCCATTACTTTACCATAACTGGGTAGCTGGGTGTGGGTGTTTGGGCACCCGGGATTGTCAAGACTCTACATATCGGAGATAGTTGTCTGTCTACTGGCGAAGAGTTCATTGTGCCATTTCATAAGGAAGTTTATTATAGGTATCTTCAAACAAGGAGAATGCGGAGACCCCCTTGTGATGATAAGGCAAGGTCAGCAACTGTTAGTAGCTCTGCCGAAACGTTATGGATCAAGTTTTGACACAGTGAAGAATGAGGGTTGGTCAAGAGCAAGTATGGGGAGGCCCAAGTGAGAAGCAACAATACAGACGCATCTTGTGACTCTTATATATGCTACAATTATACTAACTAAATGCTGACTACCTAAACAACGTTGTATCTACCACTTGCAGGCGCCCTACCTTCCGCGTCCGCGGCTGCCATCGTTCCTTCCTTGAGCAATCTCATCAATTCCCTCATCGCATTAGTAACCACGACTTCAGTGTCTCCTTCCACGAGAATATACAATTTCGGGTCACCTCCAGCCTGTACGTCCTTTCCGGCTGGATAGAAGCTTCCTTTAGTGGTAATAGAAGTACCTGTTGCTTCCAGGATCTTGGCAACATTGGTTCGATTCGTGACTGCCCATCTGGCTTTCTGGGGAAAGTCATTGATTTCCAAAGTAGCGTGGAAAGCACCAGCATCGGGTCCTTTGTTGTCAATTGGTACTCCCGACCGCAGTTGGCCCGTCTTATTGAGTCGAGCATTGATGGCATCAATAGCAGATGTAACCTTATCAAGAGGATTCTTGCTTCCGCCACCAGATGAGATATTTGCGGGTTCAGTACGATGCACCGTGATCTTACCGTCCAGATCAATACCCTTGGGAACTCCAATCAACTGCGGTGCTGGAGCAGATACTACTGCTGGTTGGACGGTTGACGCAGCTTTGAGAACAGTATCATCTTCTGCTTTATCGTCCTTTTCTTCTTCTTCATCTCCGTCAGTCTTGTGGGTCTTCCGTTCACGGACTCTTGTTGCTTCGCGCTCGGCATCTAGGCGTTCTAAGCCCTTACCACCAAATCCTGAACTGTCTTTCCCTTTGCCGCTCTTGACCTTGTCTCGGAAGGATTTTCGCATTTCGTTGAGCCGTTCTGGGACTGCTTGACCGGACTGCTCTAGAGCTTTCGCTATGCCAATCGAGTATTGTTCCTGGTCTTCAGTTACAAATGTGACAGCGGTACCTGTATTGCCAGCTCTGCCTGTTCGGCCTGCTCTGTGGACATAATCTTCCAGGTGATTTGGGGCATCGAAATTGACCACCAACTTTAGCTGCTTCACATCCAAACCTCGAGCAGCCACTGATGTTGCAATCATAATCGGAGTTACTCCAGCCTTGAAATCGTCAATGGTGGAGTCTCGATCAATTTGATCCTTTCCTCCATGGATAGACATGCAAGGATAGCCTTTCCGCAACAAGTCTGCTAAAAGATCGTCTGCTTTCTCCTGGCGATCAACAAAAATGAGGGTACGGACATCGTCATCCTTGTCGTAAAGCTCTCCTAGTAGCTCAAGAAGTCGATGAAATTTCTCTTTCTCTTCCCTAACTTCCACAATTTGGGTGATCTCTGGCGCAACAACACTCCTTCCTCCAACAGTTATCTCTACTGGTGATTGAAGCGTCTTTTTGGCTAAGGCGTCCATGATACGTGGCATAGTGGCCGAGAATAAGATTGTTTGTCTGTTGGGGCGAATATTCGCAAATATTTTCATCACTTGTGGCTCAAAACCCATATCAAACATGCGGTCTGCTTCGTCCAAGACGACATAAGTCACTCGGCGTAGATTGGTGACTCTGCCAGAGTTTGCTGCTAGGAGATCTATCATGCGGCCTGGAGTACAGACGATGACTTCAGCTCCTCTCTTCAAATCAGCAATTTGGTCTTTAATAGGAGCCCCACCATAAGCGCAGACAGCTCGCAGGCCCATCGCTTTCAAGAAAGGTTTACATTCCTTGTGGATTTGGGTGGCAAGCTCTCGGGTGGGCGTCATGATTAAGCCTACGGGACCATCAGAGCCTTCCAAAGGTCGCTGATCTCGAATGTGACGAAACATAGGGAGCAAAAAGGCGATAGTCTTTCCAGAACCTGTCTTCGCAACACCGATAACATCCCTACCGGACATAATTGCTGGTATGGCTTGCATCTGGATTGCGGTGGGTCTTTCATACCCAAGCTTACGGATCACCTCTAATGACTGGATGTTCAGCCCGCAATGTGACCACTTCTGTACAGGTTTTGGAACGTCTTTGCCGGACACCTTGATACCATCAAGCTCGAGGCGTAGATCCGCTAGCTCATCCTCTGTCATCTCGGATAGCTCCGCTGGCTCTGAATAGAAGTTCTTTCGGAAAGGTTCGAGATCCATGTTGGCATAGTTAATCGTAGGCAAATCCTTCTTTTTCCTCACTTTACTAGCCATAGCAAGTATGTCTTCAGGATCGGCATCCATGGTCTTAAGGTCGACATCGTCGTCCCCAAACAACGCCTCTGGCTCTTGTTGTCGGCTCTTGCTCTGCTTCTTAGTAAACATGCCGGTGACTTTTGGGGCGGCAAAAGGGTCTCCCATCTCGTCCATGAAAGCATCCAGCGGGTCGATTTCTTCATTATCCACTTGAATAGCAGATTGTTCCACTGGGGGTGGAACATCCTCCATGGGGGTATCGCTGGCGGCCATATTCTGCTCCTGCTGTTCCTGAAGTCGCTCTTCTCGTTTTTCGGCAGCCGCTCGGGCAGCGGCGGCGGCTTCCTCTTCGGTTCCGGCTTCCATATCAACGTCTTCGTCGTCTTCCTCTTCAGCACCGTTAGCGAGCGCAGCATCCTCATTTTCGGTGTTTGCCATAGGTAGGGTCGGTAGCTTCTCAAGTTTTTTTCTTCCCTCTTCATCCTCTCCCAAGTCCAAGGTCCGTTTCGAAGTTGCTTTATCGCTGTCAGATTTGGTGCTCAATCCAAATGCACTAAGATTCGCTCGGGCTTTAGGCAACGCTGATGCTATAAACTGATTAGAATTATTCAAAGAGCGTGGGACAATCACGGAGGGGGTAGTTTGGAACGTACCACTGGAACTGCTGTTGAAAGCTGTAGGCTTTTTGTCAGCTTGTAATCCTTTGACCGAAGAATTTAAGGTAGCGGACGCTTTAGTTGATCCTTTCAATGGCAAATCCTTTCCCAGAGTGCTACTTGAGCTTGCCACCGCTTTTTTAGCGATCGCTTTGGGGTCGAATTTTCCCGCATACGGAGTTGGTGAGGTAACTCTGTTTGGAGTTGCTGGAGATGCTGGAGATGCAATATCGGCGGGACCATTGGCCTTTTGATCTATATCATCCAGAAGCTTTCGTGTACCTCCTGCGGCGAGCTCTTTCTCCTTACGCTCCTTGTCCTCTGCCATCTTCTTCTTCCATGCCTCCAATTTTGCCAGCCGCTCGGCCTTTTTATCAGCCTCGCTCTGCGTTGGAGGAGCGGGGACTTTTGGTGCCTGCAGATAAACGTTAGAGTCCTGATATGCTTGCGGGGGAGTATATATACGGACATCGGGCTTCTTTGTAGGTTCAGTCCTGCTTGGAGGTTTTCCACGAGTATCATCTCCTCTGCTGCTACGGGACCATGAATCAGTAGAGTCCTCGCGGCGCCTCCGTGCCCTATCATAAGAATCGTCTCGCCTGTCTCGATAATCTCGCTCCCGACTTCTTCGTCGCCGTCTGTCCGGAGATCGTTCTCGGTCGGCATATCTGCGATCGTCGCGTCTTCCTGATCTGTAGTAGTCGTCGTCTCTACGGTCTACAGACCGATCTCTTCGGCGGGGGCCATCTCGATCACGGTGCCGACGCTGGATATTGTGAGTATAAGAATGCCACGTGAGGTAGAGAACACTTACATCCAAGCTCCTGGAGCGGCGGCGAGGTGGTCCTCGCATATCATCTCTGCGATCGTGTCTGACATCGTCGTCCCTCCTAGCACGTTTGGAGGAGTGTTGGCTACCTGCTGGCGATGGTGAGCGAGAGTCCCTGCGGCGAGCCATGCCCATAGCAAGATAATACTTTCTGGTAGTAATCAAGAGAGAGCTTAAAGTCGCTGGATATTGTCGCAGTTTGGGTCGAAGATTCTCATGTAGGCTGCCGTAGGTGAGACTGTTCGATGAGGTTTTGAGACTCTGGGATATTTTGGAATAAGGTTTACGCTATGCCCGGAACCTACTAGCGGAATTGAGATTGCTTCTTCTAAAAATCTATAGTAAGAGGGACGCGAGGGATGCTACCAAAGAGCATTGCGATTGACATACGTGACTTCCGCATTTGCTCACGCAGAATGGGCAGAAGGTAACAATGCAATTGTGGATTTCTCGAAAGAAAGCTGAAAACCTCCGCTTGGAATGTCTACCGTAGGTCAAGATGTCTTAAATCCGGCATTTCTTCTTTCGGGGGATTTAAGATGTTCTATCAGTTACTTGATTTAGAACTATCATATATATAGTCTAGATACAGTCAATCGATTCACACTTTGTACGCAAATCCATCCTGTGAAGTTGTGATGGTGTTGTTGCATTACGACCAATTTAAAGCGGGGTGCTAGCGTGAAGCTCTACATAGCTGAGCTCTCCCTCGCGTGTCAGAAACGGAAGGGGTAGAAACAGGAACAGACAGGAAACCCGAAAATTCGACCACACAAATAGCTTCCCGACAACGATACCCTCGGTCTCCCACATTCCCCACTCGCTCTGCAATCGGAACATCCAAAAACAAATACTATCGTACAAGATGTTGTCCAGCATTGGACGAGCTGCCCTTCAAAGGGGAGGAGCTGGTGCACGTTATGTATCAACAAACCGAGCGGCTTTCAGCATTTGGAGTCTTCAGCGCGTCAATGCCTCGAGAGGCGCAAACGGAAGCAACACGAAGTCTCAACTTGCCATCTCAATTCCACGTTTCTATACTACAGCTACAAAAACTGTTACGAAGCCTAAGACAACGGTCACGAAGACGACCAAGACAACCAAAACCAAGCCGAAAACCACAGCTAAGAAACCCGTAAGGAAGCCCAAGAAGGCTGCGAAGCCCAAGGCGAAGAAACCCAAGGCGAAGAAACCCAAGAAGCCAACCAAGAAGGTCCTCACCGAAGACCAGCAGCTTAGGGTAGACGTGAGGAGCTTGAAGGAAAGGGCACTCTCCCCGCCAACCGGGGGAGCAAACACCGCATGGAGCATTGTGTTCCAGCAGGAGATCAAGCAAGCTGGTGGTGGTCCTGGCCCCAGTGGAGTAGCAAATTCTGCAAAGACTGCCGCTGCCAAGTATAAAGCACTTTCCCCACAAGAGAAAGAGGTAAGGGTACAAGTCCAGTTGCAAAAACGTTGCTAACAAGTACGTCTGTAGTCGTTGAACCAGAAAGCCAATGAGAACAAGGCTCTTACCGATATCGCTTTCAAGAAATGGGTCGAAACACATACGCCTGAGCAGATCAGAGATGCAAACAATGCCCGTAGCGCGCTGAAGCGAAAGCTGGGCAAGCACCATGCGTACCCTCCCATAACCGATCCCCGTCTGCCAAAACGTGCAGCTTCTGCCTATCTATTCTTCGTAAAGGATAGATTCACATCTGGCGATTTCAAGGGCATTAGCATTGTCGAAGCCACGAGGCTGATTGCAGCTGAGTGGAAGGCTCTTGCGGCCGGCGAACGAAAGGTAAGTACTCGTCCTCGTTCCTACGCTATATTGTACTGATATCCTCGCAGCCATTCGAGGCCCGTTCTGAAGCGGATAAGCAGCGCTACTACCAAGAGTTTAAGACTGTTTACCATCAAGATTCCGCGGGAGCTGCGAAAAGCACCGCTTAGTCCAAACACCTTGTACCACTATCCTTGAACTTTCATTTCCTATCATAAAGGTGTTGAAGCCATGCCGGTGGACGGGTTGGTGTCTTGATATACAAGGCGGTCTTACACGCAGAAGGCGTTGGTTTTATTGTATCTCATGACCTAGGGACGTCGTTAAAGCACGTTTTTCGCGTAGCACATCAATCCTTGGTTGGAATTTTCATTGACATATGCTAAGGATGCCATGGCTAGACCCAGGCTTATTGATAATGAGAAGAGAATATTATACCAATGGACTCTATGTATAAGACAAACCAACCTTCTAGGCTGGTATGTTCGTTGTTTGTCTTGATAGGAGGGGCTACCCGCTTTCCAATTTTCTATGTTTGCTCAAGGTATACAACTTCACGCAATGTAGCAGCTATCAGTGGCACAAAGTCTGGTTCGGACCGTAGCCGTAAGTAACAACTAGAGGGAGTTTTTGTTTTGTTGCATGTCGCAAATTACTGAGCGTCATACAAACAAATTGCATTCCTCCTGACTCCTTAGGCAACTTGTTCTAACCTGACATCTTAGCGTTCTCACCAGCAACCGGCACTGACTCATCATTCAATAACCAAATCCACTCGGTCAATATTCCATCCATTATTCTCAACTACAAGCGCATTGCATTTATGAACAAGACAAATCACATCGATGCCCCTCACCACCAACAAACCAAAATATCCTCGTCACGTGCATTAGGCACCAACATGCCACCCCATCCATCAAACACTTTTGTTGCACATCGCGATTCCGGGAGCGAGCGTGCCAGGCACGTTATCTTAGCATGGCAGAAACGTGCGTGCCGTGTTCTGTTGGTGCAGTTCTGGCATGGCGCATGGGATTGGATACGGAGGTGTGCGAGTTGAGTACGCATGCGCATTGCGGTCCAGGGAGCTGGAAGCTAAAAGCTAAAATTAAGTGGGCTGGATGGAGATTCCGTGGCTGTGGTGTTGGCGTATTTTGGAGACGCCAGGTTAGTGGATGAGATGGATATATGGGTTTGAATAAGGGGAGGGGTTTTGAGAGTTTTGAAGAGTAGGTATGTAGGTTAGTAAGGTAAGTAGTTGAGGTGTTGGGAGAGGAAATAAAGTCGAGGAAGAGGAAGCAATGGGACGAGCACGATACCCTTGGCAATGCGAGCCATAGTAACGTGACCGACCTGGTCTTTGGGCGGTTAGAAGAAAAGTAAGAAGCGCATTGGACTATCATTATCTTTGTTGATAGGAACCCTAATTCCAACTCTCGGGGTTTTTGAGTATCTAATAAGATGAAGAAACTTCAAGAAATTGATCAAAGAAGTTGTACAGTTTCACTGGTGCGTCCCAAGAATTTTCAATGATGGTACCACGAATAAGGACTGGAAGTGTTCAGCCGAGTACTATTTGTGTAAATTTTTATTGCATCTTGCGGTCTATGTCTCAGCCGTATAATCGTGCAACCAACAGCGGTACAACTTCATTTTTATCGTATGTATCGTATCCCGCCATCCACTCAATTCGAACCGTCAAGGTCAGCATAAAATTTGTAGCCAAATGAGGCACTAGGGTCGTTAAATCGTAGCTTCTTGTCGAGTCCATCGATTTTCTTCAAATCTTCAGGCTCAAGCTTGAAATCGCCCTCCAGGTTGGACGATATACGAGAGGGGGTCTTGGACTTGGGAATCACCGAATGGCCGTGGTTGATTCCCCATGCCAACGCGGTCTGCGCACCAGTTTTTCCATACTTCTTGCCAATTTCGACAAGGGTTGGGTCATCCTATATTGTCTTTAGTAGAGTAACAACGCTAGAAGATGATTTCTTACCATCAGTTTGCCCATGTTCTTTCCGCTGTCATAAATCTCGTTTTGGTTTCCAAAGGGCGAGTATTGTGTGATTAAAATGCCCTTGCTCTTGTTGTATTCGCAAAACTCTTTCTGTTGAAGCCATGGGTGGAGTTCAAGTTGGTGTGCAGCAGGAACAACGCTTGTCTCCTGGAGCAAGGTTTCTAATTCTTTCTGCGAAAAGTTTGAAATGCCAATGGCCTTGGTCTTTCCAGTCGTCAAGAGCTTTTCCATAGCCTTATAAGTGTCGACGTATGAGACATCTTCCAGCTGCATCTTGTCGTCTTGCTTTGGCATGGCAACATCGCCAGCCTTGAAAGCAGAGGGCCAGTGCATCAAATAAAGATCAACATAGTCCATTTGGAGATCCTTTAAAGAGGCATCCAGAGCTGGGGCAACATCCTTTGGGACGTGCTTGTTGTTCCAGAGCTTGGTGGTGATGAAGAGTTCAGATCGAGGAATACCGCTCTTCTTGATAGCATCGCCAACCATCTTCTCGGTTCCATAGATAGCAGCTGTATCAATGTGTCGAACGCCAGCCTTGAGAGCATTCGAGACGGCCTCTTCTTGGGAGTCTTTATCCTGCCCTATTGAATTTGAGATTGATAATCAGCATTGCTTCATATATGATAGATGTGTCACGAGACCCCAGATGAGATATATTCAGAGCCCGTAGGCTATCCCGTGTCCCCTCCTGGGCAGAGAAAAGGATCTCTGCTAGTGGAACTTACATGTACCGAAGCCCACGGCGGGAATGGTAGCACCGGTGTTGAGTTTTAAGGTCGTCATGTTGCGTTGCTGTTGTTGAAAATGTGAGGAGATTGAAGAGATTCTTGAAGTGGCGCTTGCTGCAAATCGAGTTGTGCGGGATAACATCTTAAGAGGGGAAAAGAGAGCAAAGTAAAAGTTTAAGTAGTCCTCCTACTACTGCACATTCATTCGGTCATCAACTGGTTACATTCATGTTACGTCAGGTCTTTTAATAATGGTTCCATTCCCCAGCCAGACTACTCATGACGTTACTCGAGTACTGTAAACGCCGAAAAATAGTTTCGGCGATTGTAAGATACCTAACACGGGGTATCATTGTATTTGTAACTGCTTAAAGTTTTGTTGATTTATATTGTTGAAAAAGACTGGTATAACTTGTAGTATCGGTATAGAAATACAAATATTGAAACGAAATATACGTCTGAAATCAATCGAATCCAAAACCAGGCCAAAAACGGGTGGTTGTAAAGCTTTGAGAACCCCACGATTCTTTGGACCCCGCATGCGGGAGCTTCCATTCCATACGAGTAGTGAAGAAATTTGGAAGAAGATGGTGCGGTGTTCTGAAATACAATACTATCGGTACCGGTACTGAGAATAAAGCCGCGCGCCTCACAGCACAACTCCGCCACAATAATCATCACGACCACGAGCCCATGCTATACGCATTGTTGTCCTGGGTCGCGTGAATCCTTTCCTTTTAGACTTCCGACAAGCCCTTGGCGAGTTTCTTCTCCAATCGAAAGACTTCAGAATGTCTTCTTTTTACCACTACCGAGACCATCGATTCCTGCACTCGGCCACTCCATGAATCCCGAGATGTCACTCGTCTCACCTCCACCGTAAGTGAAGCTTCTTCTTGTTAAATATTCCCTTCGCAAGGTCAGAAGCAAACAAACATCTCTCCATCTATCTTTCCTACGTACGACCAGGATGAGGCATAACCTACGCTCGAGAGCCCATCCGGGTCGAATATCAATCGCATTAGCACTGAGCTATGTATTTGACTGGGTGATCATTATCGCTGCGGCGGGCATTGGCGGCGCTTTCTCAGTCGTCACACCGAACAAAAGACCCTTCTCCCTCACCAATCCCGAAATCAGCTTCCCCCATGTCGAGAAAGAAAAGATCTCGACAGCCGTCCTCATAGTTTGCTCCCTCGTAGCACCAGCCGCCATAATTTTCCTCGTTGCCATCCTCCTCGTCCCTGGCCCCACAGTCTCGAAATCTACACCGAAGGCGCTGATATGGAAGAGAAAGCTATGGGAATGGCATACGGGATGGCTAGGACTGGCGCTCTCTCTTGCCGCGGCGTTTCTCATCACCAGCGGCATGAAGAACCTGTTCGGAAAACCGCGACCCGATCTCCTCTCTCGTTGCAACCCCGACTTCGCGAACGCTGCTTTGTATGCCGTTGGCGGATTTGGGACTTCGGGGGAAAGCACGAATCTAGTCTCTCACACCATCTGCCAAAACAAGGACAAGTCAGAGATGAACGATGGGTTCCGCAGCTATCCCTCGGGCCACTCCAGCTTCTCAGCCGCCGGCCTAATCTACCTAAGTCTCTTCCTAGCCTCCAAACTCGGCATCACCATCCCCTACCTCTCCCCATCAGCCCACACCCAAGACCGCTCACAATTCTCCGCCTTCCCATCCCGCGCCTCTCAGCGATCAAGTGAGCAATTGGAAGAGCCATCCGGACACAACGACGCCATAATTGCAGCGCGGAACCAAGCAGCAGCTCCCCCGGTCTACTTGCTTGCAATAGCCATCATCCCGTGGTTCGCTTCCATCTACATTGCTTCTACCCGCTACTCGGATTTCAGACACCATGGCTTCGACATCCTATTCGGATATGTGATTGGTATCGTAACGTCCATTTTTGCATTCCGATATTACCATCTCCCCATCTCGCAAGGCGCAGGGTGGTCGTGGGGCCCTCGGAGTCGAGATAGGAGTTTCTGGGCCGGGATTGGAGTTGGGAATTACGCTGGGAGAGATCCTAAGCACGAGAATGACGGAATAGGCGCGCGGGATCTTGAGGGGCAGCCAAAGAACGATGTTAGTGAAGCTGGAACGAGCTAAGAGGTGTCTGTATTCGGTGTATTGACGATGGTTCTGTAGGATCGGATCGAATTGCTTCCTATGGAAAACTGTGGGAGTAATGCTAATGGACGCCATTTGACGGATGGATATGAAGATGGTGGAGTTAGGGGATGATTTCCGTAATTTATAATGTCAGAGCTATTTCTCGGGAGTACATAGGTGGTATATACCTGATGGCAATTGGGTGGAGTTTTAGAGCTGCATTTTGGATCATCAATGCCTACCCTTTTTAGTACATAATTGGATTGATTAATGGAAACATATTAGTTCCCGGTGCTTGTGATCGTCCATATGCACAGAGCATGAGTGATCACTGTTGCTACTAAGCCTCTCTGTACTCTTATAGCAGCCCATTCGCCTGGATTCTCGCTTGCCACATCAAAAGTTGAGATAAATGTTGCCATTTTCAGGGAGTGATGAGAAGAAGCACGAGGATGTCACACGAATCATAATGAAATCACGTTCAATTAAAACGATGCATGGATTCAAGATTTATAACAGTATTCTTCTTTCTATATCATTATTCATGTCTCATATTCAATATTCACATTATTGGTATCCCTCGCTCCTAACGCCAAACCAGACCAGCTAGTCACAATCCATATTTACCATCCAAAACACTCGGCGTGTAGATAGATGCCCTGGGCTCCAGTCCCCTTGTGCACAGCACGCTCATCACTACATCTAACGACTGTCCTCCGAACATCCGCGTTCAACCCCAGGGGTCCACACACAGCTACTCCCGTCTCTCCCTCGGCGTTCTCCAAGATATCCCACAACAAGTCGTAGAACTCCGGGCGGCCGCTGTGGAATGTAGCACATGGCAAGATCTTGGACTTCGTGCCGGAAGAGAGAGACTCGGACCGAGATTGGATGTTGACTTGGGCGTCGTCCTTTTTTCCTTCGGCGGGGACGACGGTTTTCTCGTCGACTTCTTGAATACTGTCGCCATCTTCGGGGACTTGGACGCAGCAGCAAGGACCGGCGCTCTTGTCGCATGCGCATCCGCATTCCTTGTTTTCATCTCCAGTGTCACCGTTGGTGAAATTCTCATCGCATGTGACGTGGATGCGGATATCGATTTCGATACCAGCGGCGTAGAGAGCGTCGGCTGCTGTGGTGAGCTCTGATGCTGTCCATGCAGTCCAAGAGGTGTTCTTGACAATCCAGAGGAACGTGATGCGTTTGAGTGGGAGTTTGGCCTGCTGGGCGCGACGGGAGATATCGAGGAGGATGGGGAGGGTGAAAGATGTTCCTGTGGAGCCGGAGATCAGAAGGATGCTGTCGAAGCCTGCAAAGTCCGAGTGCGAGTTTCCGTATGGGCCATCGATGAGTGCCATGTGGGAATCTTCTGTGCGGGATGCTTCTTCGGTTGGAAGGAGCGACGTGCTAGAGTTGGAGGTGGAGTTGAGAAGACGGGATGTGAATCCTTTGTGGCTTTTGAGGATGAAGACCAAGTCTCCTCCGTGTGAGTCGGGTGTCGAAGCGATAGTGGCCGGATGGGACTGTCCAATGCCGAATTTAGGTATTGAGAGGAAGACGTGGGACCCGGGGGCCCAGTTCTTGACGGCTTTGCTTTGAATCCGTACTCTTGTTACACCTCCTTCTAGCGCTGTCAACGTCGCACGTCCTGGACGGATGTTATTCCAGGCGTATCTACCAGACCGAGCGAGCCTATCTAGGAGGTAGAGAGCGATTGGTATGTAGATATATACTCTGCTATAGAGAGCTGTGGACGGTAGATGCATCATTACCGCGATGATGAAGCCGAAGAAGGTAAGGATATGCTGAACGACAAAAAACTCGTAAGAGAAGTTACGAATAGGGGCAACAGTGCTAATATTCATCCAGATGAGGATTGCATATGTTGCCCAACCTGTGGGAATGCAAGAATCCGTTGAATATTCAAGGGGTCCCAAGTCGTAAGCATTCCATGAGAGGTGTAGGAAGATCACATGTAGAGTGACGAGGAAGAGCAGGACTCTCGATACCCATCGGTGGATGACATTCAGTCGTTCGTAGGACACACCAGTAGCTAGTCCAATGAGGTTGTTCTTGCCAGCCAACAATATCAGCAGTGGAACTTGCGCAACTGCTAGCCACGCAGCTCTAACTCCGAGGGAAGTAAAGTGCTGTGCTCCTTCCACGTTGTTATTCACAAATTCCAGGAGAATAACCCAAGCTAAGTACACAACCAGAAGTACGATGGTCCCAACCGGTGGCACCTTGAAGAATCGACTATTCCGTGGCGTGTACTGGGCGTAGCCTGCTTCTCGAGAGATAGCTGTTATGCAAGCTATACAGCTCGAGAAGAAATTGGATGGTGAAGCTGGCCGAGTTGTGTTCGCAGCAGCAGCTCTCATTCTTGTGTTGAACGTAGCCTTTTGCAGGACGTTGAAGATGGCGCATATTGCAATGACTCCACAAACCCCATACCAGAAGTTTCTCGCATACATGTTTCCGTCGATTTGAAATTCGGCGTCGTCGAGAATTTGTCCCAGGAACGTGGAGGCTTGAGTGTCATTTGAGAAATCAATGCCAGAAGCATTCAGCGGAGAATCTGACGGGGCACCGCCCATGGTCATACTATCTCCCATATCCATCTTGTAAATAATAACCTATGCGCCGGTAGGTAATCAGTGGCTTTCGTTGTTGGATATCTAAAGTAGTGAATAATCCAATGCGCTTGCACTTCAAAACATTTCTATTCTGAAAGACAAAGTGGGGTGGGTGGTTTGGCGTATGATTCGAGTGATGGTGAAAGTATTTAAGAGCAGGTGCAACAGTGAGAAAGAGAACAGAGAGGAGTGAAGAGCAGAACAGGACAGGAAAGAGAAAGAGAAAGAGAAAGAGAAAGAGAAACAAGCTCAAAGTAGCTCTCTCTATACTATTATCATGGCTTGATAATACAGGTAAGCCCATTAGCCGGTAGACAGCCAGCCATGTGGAGGCAAAACGTACACCTACTCCTAGTTTCCTGTAGCAAATGCTTGTCATGAAGTTCGAAAGCTTGACACTCTTCACATTGCCCACTCCCCCACCCCTGCTGTTGAGTTCGTTTGAGAGCATATGAGCGAGTTTTCTTTCCTATTTGGATTAGCGCCCGCCCAACCCCGAGGACCCACCCCTGCCTCGAAAGGAAACTTGAGCTTGAGCCACTGAGGCTGAATGAAAACCCCACTTTTGCTCTTTCCAGAGTGAGATGAGTTTGTGCTGGCGTCACTTTCTTTGCTATTTCTGTCTTTCTCTTTGCTTCTTTGTCTTCTCTCTTGTTCAGACAGAATTGTCACCATATCAATTCAAGCCAGTTTTATATTATTAACGTGTGATAGATAGTAACGCTTTGAGGAAGCATTTTCCACCATCTGAACACTCAGAACCCACCCTGGACTCCAAAATTATATTGAAATCCCTTTATCGATGGGTAAGATCGAATAGCGAGAGATCGGTACTTGACGGACTGGTATCACAGTCAAGACCAGCGTAAATGTGACTACTTGAATCTGCCACGTATGAACTTAGGGGTAGATCACATATTCATAACAAAGCCAGCTGTTGAGAAAGACTCATACGATTCGTGTGACAAAGAAACATAGAGTCGGGCTTCTTAAGTCCCCAACCGTGCTTTATTGCATAGGATGCTTTATCACACAGGAGATAGAAGAGAAATAGCTTCTATTAGGGGCTATTTGGATCTAGTCTGATATTAGTACATAGACTGCGGGCTTATATAACGAGAGACGAGGCTGAGGTAGGTCATGTAACCGAGATGCGAGAGGATAAAGGAGGGAATCACAAGTCCCGCAGCTCACATGTTACATCCCCACATATTACCCTTCCACGAGGAAGGAGTGTTTGACCACATTAAACAGCGACGACCTCCTGATTATCACGATGAACTACTTCTGTAATGACCGATTCCAAGAGCCTTGAACCTTTCAATATCTCAAATTAAGCGATAAATCCCCGTTCTCGAAAGCATATCATGATGCGAGGAGAGCCGTCCTGGACTCGCCAACAAAGCGGACTGTAGGGACTACAACTCCACAAATAATATAGTAAGCTCTCACTAAGTATCACCTTCCTCTGCGTTTTACGATAATAATTACATCTGCGCACTATAAGAAAAATACCGCTTCCAATATCAAGATATCAAGCTTGGACTCAGAATTGTCAGACCTTGGTCTGGTCGCCTCTCTCTATCCGTTCCACCCTAACCTGAAGCTATCTATGCAAAAGCAAATACCTACGACAGGAGACAGTAAAATTACCAAAGCAAGATGAAAGTTCTGGGACACTAGTTTTAAGAAATAAATATGTAGTAGAGACCACAGAGAAGAAGCGCCTTGCGCGGGTTACAAAGTAAAGTCCCCACATAGCTTTTTGAGAAAGAAGGGCCAAATTTGCAGGACCGCACTTAGACGAGCTCGAAGACGAAGAGATGAAGTACCATGTACTATAACTTCAGATGCCGCAAGGTGCTAGCAGAAAGACAACGTGCGAGCTGGGACCACCTCTCTGTCCGCCTACCCCCTCCACCTGAACACTTCAGGATTAAGTCACTCCATAGAATCTCCAAAGTAGTGAAGTATTCTCAATATCAGCAGACACTTTCTATGCAAGCCACCCCAAGGCTATTGACGAGGATACTTGTGCGCCAATTCCGTCCCAACGCCAAGCAGTGCATAAAACCACCCTCCCTTAGACCTTTCATAGAGACCAAAATCAATCGTAGTGCACTTCAGGACCTCAAACATGCACTACTCAGAGCCAACCAGTAACTAGACCTTCAATTCTCCCCCTTCAATTGCCCCATTTTCTATGACATCCATATCGACCTCTTCTTCCTCTTCCTCCTCGGAATCTTCCGCCTCAACATCTTCCTCGTCGTCCTTAAACCCACTATCGATCTCAAGTTTCCTTAATCGTTTCCGCATATCATCTTTCTCGGAACTTTGCCATCGTATCAACGTGGCTGGGGCGTGGACTTTGAAGCCGTATATCCGTGGAACATATCTTTCACTACTCTTTGTTGGGATGAGAGCTGGGTACACTTGGAATATGATGTTATGGAAGGACGTTCCGAAATAGGCACCATCTATGACCGAATGCCGTGAGGATTTTGGGTTGTAGATGTCTTCGCACCGCGCGCAATAGAGCTTTACTGCCTTGAGATTGGGGTTGTCTGCTTGTCCCATTGGTAACAGGGGATGTGATTTGCACATAACTCGGGGGCATTTGCCAAATTCCGCCTTCTTGTACTTGTCAAGCTAAAGCACATTGTTAGCTTCATTCAGAGCCTATAGTTATGCAACCATACCATCTTTGCTAAGCCTCGTGTGGTGACAATATATCTGGCGTGGACAAGTCCATATAGATGCCTCGCAGACTTCTCAATCGTCTCCCGCATCTCATCGTCACAATCCAGATCAAAAACGTCTGTCACCAAGTCCAGCGCATACTGGTAATATTGCACCTCGGTATTCAGGCCCGTGAGGTTAAAGCGATCCGTAAGGTAATCCTCATCAATTTCGCAAAAGTACTCGTTACCCCGCGAGGAAATGAACTAAAAACAAAATATGTTAGCAAAAGTACAGAAGATAAGCCTGGAAACAATCAATGAACCGTGCGGTGAAATTTGGATGCCAAGTTCCCAATGTTCCGCAGAGGATGTGGCAACATGGAGCCAAGCTGGGGGAGATGCTGATGTGACAATGAATCACACGCCTCAGCATTGCCTGGAAACCATTCTCTTGGCGGTGGAGAGTCCATCGATAACAGTATGGGATGCAGTCTCCTCGTGAGATTAGGGAAACATGACCAAAGTAGCTTGCGAAGCTTGGGAACCTGCAGTCTTCCGCTGTTCCACCAAAAGGCGAGCGGATGATCTTGACGGAGATCCTTGGCATCAATCACGATGCCCTTCTGGTGTTCTGTCCCCTCTGTGCGTACGTGCCTCGTATGCGTTGCTTCGAATGACTTGGTGGATGGGTGCGGGGTCGTCCGCAGAGGCGCCAGAGCACAGAATTCCATCGCATCACCAAGTAACACTCCAGCAAGTCGTCCTCCACTCCCCTTCTCCTTCTTGAGACATCTCGAAGATGTGCTGTACCATCCAGGGAAGCGAGCGCGCCGCGCGCAAAGTTGAATGAAAAGGTTGCGACTTACCCAGTCTCTCCAGTAACTTGTGTAGTCACTGTCGGTCTCGCTGTTGAAGTCGTCCATGGCTCACGTCGCCTTGTAGCAAGTGCTCGAGAGGCACCTGCTAGTGTATAGGCAACGTCGGCGGGCGGTGTTGTGGGAAGAATAGGTAAGGTAGTAGGTAGCGAGGCTGGCGTTGGGTAATTTGGTGGTGAGGCTCGTCACTGAGAGAAGCGATGTTGAACGTCGACTCTTTGGAGGGGTATGCACTAGCCGTTCTTGGCGAGAGTGCGATCTCTTTCCAAACATCTTATCTGGATGGATCACGGAAATGTTATTATTTTGCTTTCTCCTCATAGTTCTATATTATCACAAAGACGACAAAGAATTTGCTTCAATCAAGGCTTTTGAAATGCGAGAATTATCGTCCGTTGTAGGCCATTCTATTCAAATTTTGATACTAATCCAGTCAAATGCCTCCTTCCTGAACGCCGACCCATGCAGGAACATCCAACAGTCTACTGCTCATCATCACCGCTAATGGAAGAAAAATAATCTGCTGGACCGCCACTCAGAGGACTGCGACCACTACCATTACTTGACTGTTCATCATCGCTGCTTCGGCTTCCATTCATACTTTGCACAGCACGCCTAGGCGGCCGTGGCACCTTGAGTCGCGTCCCCTCGAACATGAAACTGCTTGTTTCGCGCTCATCTCGGGGGCTTCTAAGATTGACCATTTCTAATGCTTCCATCAATGTAGCCCCACTTTCATCCAACGCCGTTAGGAACCGCGCAAGTTCCTTGCATAACTCCCAGTCACCTTCATCCTTAGCTCTCGAAAGTAAACGCACGAGTTGCTCTGAACTCGAGCTCAGCTCCTCAAATGTATGTAAGATTAGCAGATAGCCGCCTGCTGTTTTTAACGAACCCCTTTGGAGTGATTCCTCGAAGAGTTCCTGTGGGGGCGGTAGATAGGTAAATAATGTGCGCCATGATCGCACTTCTGTCTTGCGAGTACATTGTACAACGATATCCAGATACTCGGGAAACGAGGACAAGAACGACAGCACACCTGGTAAGAGAGCAGTTTCTGGTGTTGGTGAAGTGTCGACTTCTTCGTCAAGAACGTTGTGAAGTAGGATCTCCAGAGAATGGGCAAAATACTCCAGCTGCTGGTACTGCTGAGCTAGATGCAGTGCCGACGATGAATCGAATCTAGACAGGTGAAATCGAAGAACTTGAGGAATGAATAGATGTGTCTGGCATGAGGTTAACAACAGCACACTTTGGAAGAGGTTTTAGGGACATACCCGTATTGTGAACTTGAAGAAAGCAAAATTCACGTCACGGCGTTGGACAAGGTCAGGCTCAAGGCCAAGAAGTATACCTTTACCAAGTAAGACGGACAGCGGGTAGAAGTCGATTGGTATCGAGACCACAGGAGGTAACTCTCGGCCAAGTTCTGTGGGAGCAGATCGAAGCACATCCTGGACGTCCGTCCAAACCTTCATGTCGGTTCCCTCAAATGTCCAAAGGGAGTCTCTGAGGCCATTTCCTTCTTCAGTACCCGCTTGGTCTCCATTGAACCCAGTCAATAATTCCTCCGAGTCTCTAGGTGGGCTTGCGAAAGGCAGGTCTCTCATAAGTGCGTAGTACTCGACATTTTGTGCAATGATACGCATGTCGTACTTCAATTTCTGCTCCTCATCTAACGATGGCTGGAGCAGAACGAGTTTACCATCAACCAGAAAGAGCACTGTTGCGACAGCAACATCTTGTGAGGGGTCTCCGTCGAGAAGTTGATCATCAGGCAAGATCCAACTAAGTCCTCTCACTCGCGCAGGCGATCTCACAATACCATGAAAGGCAATTTGACCGACCTGGATAAGTTTTACTGTGTCTGCAGTTGCAGTAATGATGTAGTGATAAAGAAGGTTGTCGTAGGTATAGACTAGTAACGAGTCTTCGCCAGATGGGGCAATGAGAACGACAGGGGATGGCAATGTCTCAATGTGAAGTACTAGAGAATTATCGAGGGCGGCTTCACGAGAGTAAAGTCGGAGCTCAAAAAAGTCTCCAGCTTCTACAGCAGCGACTAAAATATGCTGGTACCAGCACATCCCTCCCCGTACCTGAAATTCGTTTTCCATGTTCTCGTTGACGAACGTTTTCCATCTACCACTGTTGACGCTGTAATGCGCCAGCCCCCGACGGCCTGCCACCGCAACATATCTGCCATCAGAAGATATAACAGAGGAACGTATCGGCCACTGGTCCACTAGGTAGCTGGATGGTATCTGTGCAGTGTGCCATAATGAGGCTTCGGCCGAAATGGTTGTCAGGTCAGGTAAATCGTAACCGCGATAGACCATGATGCTTGATGTAGTCTGCAATAGTGTTCGAGATATATTGGCTGAAGTGTAGCATCCAGTGACTGCACTTCGAGCCATCTCCACCGTCCATATCCGGTCATCCTGGTTGCCGATTATCAGTATTTCCGAACCACCCCCAAGCCACGTAGCTTCCTTGACTCCGTCTAGCCAGCCTTCTTCGTGGTCCCGGGAGATTCTCCGGTCGATACCAAAGCTGGTAGCCCCTGGCTTGCCGAAGACGCTCCATGTAGCCCACCCGTTTTCATATCCAGCAAATAGACAGTACCCATCAGGAGAATATGTCAAGCATGTCAGTGGGCCTGAAGATTGCCTTGAAACTGATGCCTTGTGAACATGTGACGATGGTATGTTCCCAACATAATCTCTTGCGGTATATATTTGGATGGTGCCGTCGGCGCATCCAATAGCAATCAAAGAAAATCTAGCATTGATGGATGCATGAGTTGCAGATAGGTCGGTGGACTGCGGGGTATGGAAACAGTAGCCGCGGAAAAGTCTTTGGGGGCCATCGGTCGTTCTGGACTGAGGGAGCCGTTGAACAGCATATGCCTTTCCATCGCTTGTGATCCAGCAAGACAAGTTCATTGGTCTATCATGAATCATCTCTGTTACGTTTGTCTTTTTCGGTAGCCACTCCATGCGACTGAAGAGTTCAGTGCTTGTCTGATTCCCAGCGCTGTCAGGCGTCCATCTGATACATTGCACGGCCGCTGGCTTTTGAGTCGCAACCACAAGCTCCTCATCGAGAGCCAATGCTTTCCCAATGCCAGCATCAACTTTTATGACCATCCGAAATCGAACGCTTACTTCTCTTACTCCCCCGCCCTCACCTGGTCCCCATAGAATTCTGTCCCCCCCTTGGTTTCTTCCCTCCTGGTTTCTTGTTCCACTGAAATTGCTTTGCCTCCGAGCATGGCCATTCGTATGGCTGGAGAATCGAGGCCTATATACCCGAGCATCCGGGTCCGTAGCTAGGGTGTATGTAATTAGATAGCCGTGAGTGGTCTGGACGACGAATATGGCCGAATCGGGACGGACGAGGAGTGATACGTTCGAGCCATAGGTGTTCAGGGATTTTCTAGAGCGGACCACTACAGCTAAGATAGCAGTTGGCTATAAATGGAAATCAGTCAAACTTCGTGTCAAACCCCAGGCGACGTACCTTTGTTTGCCATATGGTCAACGACGTCGAAGTAATGACAGCGAAGAGGTGCCCAGTCCGTGAAATTCTAAGAGCAAGCAGTGGCTCGGTATCGGCAGATCTAGAAAACGAAGCATCCCGGCTGGACAGTCGCGTAGAAAGGTTATGTTCTGAAGCATGCTCGACTGGTTTAATGCCTGGAGTAATAGGAGTCAAAGGGATAGGATTTGACGATTGGAGCTCGTCGTTTGCTCTATCTTCTGACGCAGCGCTCGGAGCGTCTACTAGAGACCCACTACCCTCTGTTGTTTCGCGCGATTCCGCATCATCGTCGAATTCGAAGATGCGCTCTTTAGCTGCTTTGATGTTGCTCGCGGCATATATCCGTGGAGCTCCAATGGGCCAGTACATGGCTGCGCGATGCCGAAATTCCTCATTCGTATGGTCGCATGCCCGCGAAGTGGCACATCAGTCGTGCAGGAGAAAGTTTGGGCATTTAAAGCATGGTGAATCGAGTGATCAATTATTGCTATTGCGAAGACAAGGATAAGGCTGCTTTCCCTAGTTGGTAGGTACCGTATAGAGGTTGGATTTAGTCCGGAGAATATCGTCCAATCAGAGGATAGCATCACAAGCGAATAATATATATTGTTAGCCGGGCGGATCATTCTCATACTCCTTGCTTCTTTGCTTCCATTTATACTATTTGACAGAGGCATATTATTATTAACAGACGCTCGTTCATGTCATTTTCTGATATTTTTGGTCATAATCTCCACCAGAAGCTCGAATATACCTCTAGTTGTCATACTCCACATATACGAGGATATCTATTGAACAAGGCTCAATCTGCCCGGCTGGTACAGCCTCTGGACCTGTAACGAATTATAACCTACTATCGCGCTCATGGCGCCTCCATTCCGCCATCGTGGGAGCGTCTCTAAAGAACGCTTCTCGACGTTTGCTAGTACACTTCGAACACAGGCATATCATGATCCTGTAGCACGTGGAGCCAGTTCTCACGGGTATGTAAATGCAAAATCTCCTTTGGGGCAATGAAAATCAATTTCATCATGTTATAATAGCATGTTTGAGAGGCTGTAGGTGTCATTTTGTTGGCTTGGAGGACTTCTAAAATAATGTGTTCTGTTCCTTCCTTAACATGGGACTTTAAGTTTTTCTATATCTCTGTACCAGCATACCTTGGGCCGCCCTCACTACTCCATACACCCTTAAAATCACCCAGTCTAAAACACCCTTCAACTGTTCATGATGCTAATCCACCAAAATAGCTTAAGGTCAATCGCCTGGAACCCTCTCGGTACTCTAATAGCAGCTGGCGCAGCAGACAAAACACTTCGAGTGTACGTCAAGTTCCTAGAGACATACTGCCTCTTTCTATCTAGTTGCTAACTAGATTTTACAGATGGAACCCGGACCGGGCAAATGTACGATGGTCGACAGAATTGAAGGGCCATGCTGCCGGGATAGAGAAGGTGGCTTTCAACCCCGTGAAGGACGCAGAACTTTGCAGCGTTTCTATCGATGGTGTCGTTAAGTTTTGGGATGTGAGGACAAAAGCAGTGATCAATGAGATTAAAGGTCTCGGTGAGGCATTTACTCTGGCTTGGGCTCCAGATGGCGAGAGTCTTGTAGTTGGTAATAAAGTATGTCCTTTCTTAATTCTCGACAGCCGCTCCATCCCCAATACAGCAAGCTCTTTTAGCAACAGGTTGGCGAACATCGAAATTCATGATGCTAAAGGTCTCAGGCGGACAATATTTATGTTCTCTCACCAACACAATCGACGCCACTTGCTTCGCACCAGCAATTTGTCCAAACCAATCAGATATGTTTCTGTCATAGCGGCAACAAGATATTTGTAACAACAGGAGAAGGCCGAACCAAGATACTATCATATCCAGATTTCGAGCCAATTCTCTACACCAGCGACGCCCATACCACACCATTTACTCTCAACGGCCACACCTCGTCATGCTACTCCGTAGACATACAACCAACAGCGAGGTTCCTCGCTACCGGTGGATCGGATTCAATCATAGCCCTATGGGATACAACAGATTGGCATTGCCAGCGAACTCTGATAGATATGGTTGGCCCTGTGCGAAGTATAAGCTTCAGTTTTGATGGTAGTTATATTGTTGGTGGTAGCGATGAAGGTCGAGGCTTGGAAATCGCGCACACCGAAACTGGAGACTATGTGCATTCTATCAAGACTGGGTCGCCAACTCCCATGGTTGCTTGGCACCCTAGTCGGTATTGTCTAGCGTATGCAGACACGGACAGCTTGAAGATCATTGGAGTTGATCCGGAAAAAAAATGAAAGATGCGTGTATAGTAATCAAGTTAGGATATTCCGGGTTCTTATTAGGCATTGTTGAGTGGACAGTTTCCATACACTACGGCCCCTCTATGCTCTCGGCTCAATTGCATTGCTCCTCGGCAACTTTCATTCCCACTGTTAATAGCAGCAAGCCATCTGGCAACTAGAAGTTGTATAGGTTCTTAGGTGCACAGAAACCAAAGCATGAAAGCTCGAGAAAAGGGGGAGGGGCATGGCGTGGCGTCCTGATGTTCATTTAAAGTTGTAGAGCCAGGGTCACAGAGTAACGACGGGCTCGGCTCAGCAGCCCAGGGACTCGTGGATAAAACACGTCATGCATAGTAGCCTCAGTCTCTGAATAGGTAATCAAAGCTCCAATGGCTTCATGCGGAGGAATATCTTTTCGCTCGTTCACGGCCGGGGAACGGCGAGAGTGAAGTGAAAGTGCCACTGAACTGACACATGCTGCCCTCTCCACAAGGCTGAGCTGACATGGTTACCGATATTTTCGACAAGCATTCACAGTAGTAGCCATCCAGCTTACGGAATCAGGCATAGACATCGCTGGTGCCTGGGAATGTTCGTGGCAGCCGGGGGTACAGAATTCTCGGCCGTTGTGAATGGCTTCGGACTTTGTACATTGCAGTTGATTAAATCCCTGTCCTCCATCAGCAGAATTATTAGCTACTGTAACATTTCAGTCTGTGTATCCAAATTCGTTTACAGAAAGTTGGTGGGAAGGTTTAGACGGTTATTTCATTAATAGCACCTGTGATTCACGAGATCATTTCCCTCGCAAACACAAAGGAATCCTCCGAACCTCAAGCGAACGTCGCAAATAGGTAAGCTGTGCTCTTTTGAAGCAGCCTCAAAAGCCATTTGTAGCAGGACAGGGATCCCAGTACCGGTATGTGAATCGATTCGTCTAGTTCAACTCAAGTTGTTGAATTAGAGCAATCGCAATTAGCGCCGCGATCACGGTCCATCTCAGGTTCTCTTTGAAGTTACGAGCGGCGCGGGTTCGTTCGTAACAACGTCAGCCTCCTGGCGACTGATCGCTTAAACCCGAAGCATCTATCGTTAGCTAGAAGCTCTGGCACTTGAAAATAGGTCTGGGGGTTCAGGACAAGAGCGACTAAACCGCGAACATGTCGTCAGCTTCGAATACACCACCGGACGATTACTTCAACGACCTTTCACGACCCACAGGCAATAATGGAAGGAATAAGAGGCAGAGAACCCCCCCGGCCGATGCGAACACTGTTGTTGTCGATGCTGGAAGCGGAGGAGATTCTGGTGTCCCTAAGCCCAAGAGAATAGCCTGCATTATCTGCAGGAAGAGGAAGTTGAAGTGCGATGGGACCAAACCGAGCTGTTCAACCTGTACGCGACTGGGACATGATTGCGCGTATGATGAGGTGCGCAGGAAGTCTGGCCCAAAACGAGGATATGTGAAGGCCTTGGAAGAGAGATTAAGTCAGTTATTTCAATTTCCCCTCCCCTAGATTCAGGGTTCATACCCATTATCAAAATATTAAGCTAACACCTGTTCCTCAATATAGAGCAAGTAGAAACGCTGCTCAAAACCCAGGATCCAGCTGTGCCAGATACTCCACAAACAACTTTCCCACAAGCCAATGTCAGCGGGGTAGCGCCTCGGGCTGTTCCTGCGGCAGACTTTGGTGTGTCGAATTCGTCGATTGGCATTGCGGAGGGTGTAAATGCTGAGCGTTGGGGATTCAATGGCGACTCTCCTGCCCAACTCTCAATGGACAACATGGATTTTACGGCAGACATGAATATGGGGATGGGTATCGATGATAACACCTTTACATGGGAGATGATTGGGCTTGGTCTGGAGGAACCACTCCCTCCTCAGGAAACTATTGATGAATTGTATGTGACATTCCTTGGTCCATTGGAAGCAGAAGCTTATCTCGTGTATAGGCATCAAATTTATTTCGACAAAATACACCCCTCTTTGCCGATGATCCACAAATACCGATATCTAGCAGCGATGAACCTGTAAGCCCTCCAAGTTATTCAGCTCTTGTGCTCCGATCCATTTTGTTTCCAACCTCCTTTCTCGTGCTTGTTTCAAGCTCTTCCAAAACTTTGCACGCCCTGACAACCAATCTTGCAAAGTATATCTTAATATGCCATTGCTTCATATCATAGTACCTTACGAAAGTTGTGCTTAGGAATAGCTAACTGATACCCTTGCAGAGCACCAAGTCAGCGCCCACCTGTGGCATTACGATATGCTATGTGGACTCTTGCAGCATCTGTGGTTGAGAAGTTCATGGATCTGAAAGACCACTTCTACCAGCGAGCTCGAAAATATATGGAGTTGGATTACATCAAGGGTCATGGTGAGCATATGATATCGATCGCTCACGCACAGACCCATGTCATTTTAGCCTCCTACGAATTCAAGATGATGTATTTCCCCAGAGCGTGGATGAGTACGGGCTCAGCCATCAGACTCTGTCAAATGTCAGTAAAAGTTCTACTAGCGCGCAAATACATTTGCTAATACCCAGCAGGATGGGTCTACATAGGCTGGATGGCGCCGGTCTAGACGTGAAACAATGCCTTCCTCCCCCTCGAGACTGGACTGAGAGAGAAGAAAGGAAGAGGACGTTCTGGATGGCTTTCTGTGAGGATAGATATGCCAGTATTGGAACTGGTTGGCCAATGACTATCGACGAGAAGGACATCTTATCAGAACTTCCCGCTTCAGACGAAGCCTTTGAGATGAGTAAGCCAGAGCGGACACAAACTCTTCCGGAGGCTATGAGCCCTACAGGAGCATCGAAGCTGTCGCCATTTGCCGGTGTTGTACTAATGGCGTGTCTATTCGGGCGGAATCTCATACATCTACATCGTCCTGATGATGATGATCGAGATAATGATCTGAATGGCGAGTTTTGGAAACGTCACAGGAATATGGACAACATCCTTCTGAACACCTCACTCTCTTTACCATCTCATCTCAAGCTTCCCCAAGGCTTAGCAAACCCTAACATCGTGTTCACCAATATGAACATACACACATCCACAATTTGCTTGCACCAGGCAGCGATATACAAGGCGGATAAAAACAGTCTACCAGCATCAATCAGTGCTGAGAGCAAGGTGCGATGCATCACGGCAGCTAATGAGATCGCCAGCATTATGCGAATGATTTCCCACCTTGATCTGTCTTCTGTGGGTATTCCCAATTTTTGCTCCTCTGTGACCACTACTGACAGTATATAGATGAATTCATTTATATCATTTTGTCTATACGTCGCAGCGCGAGTCTTCGTGCAATACCTGAAGAGTCGACCGGATGATAGCCAAACTGGTGATTCCTTGAGATTTTTACTCTCTGCCATGAATGCCTTGAAAAAGAAGAACCCACTGACGGAATCATTTTTGGTCCAATTGGATGTCGACCTCGAGGGTCTTGGTATGCGAAATCCAAAATACAAATCCGTATTCGCATATAGTGAGGATAACGTAAGCATTCTCATCATCACTTCTTTCACAAGCTATGTTTTAACATTCTTCCTTTTAGCTGGGAATATCAAGTGCGAAGGCTCCACAGATAGGTTCGCGAGGTGTACATGGCATCATACGGTCGAACGAGTGCAACTTTATGACGGTTCAAGAAGCATCCGGTGACCCAAATCAATCCAAACCCCCCACCGGCGACACATATCCTACATCTGCAGCATCAAAGAATTCTCATCCTGACGGTAACGGGGTGGACTCATCTTGGATGGACTTCCAAAGCCACCAGCACTCTAAGCAAGGGCAAGGGCAAGAGGTACAGCAAAACATGCAGAATCTCGCGATTGGTTCAATTCCTAGCCAGCGAATCATAGATATAACTACTGGTAGCGGTTACATGAATCATGAAGGTAGTAGCCAAGGAGGCGATGCAGGACACTCCCCAGATACTGCACACTCGGCTTCTACTCGACCGACGCCGAACTCGACTACTCCCTCAGATACGCGCTCCAACTTACAGCCAGGAGCGACTAAATCTAGCGGTGCCTCCTACGAGACTAGTCCTGCATCGTCAAACAATGCCCGACACTCTTCGGGGGACGGAAGGTCGATGTCTGCCTTCTTTAATACGTCAACAGACTACGCCAACATTCCTCCAACGGGCTTGACACCCGGGGCGGACTATAGCATGCCAGAGACTCCTGGAAGCTTTGAGGTTCCTACTGGATGGGAAATGGGAAATCAGACCAACGACTTGACACCCGTGGGAGAGGGGGTTCTAAGACAGCTCATGGGGCTTGGGCCGCTGGATCCAATGTGAGTATCCCCATTGTTCTCCGCAAACACCGAGATCCAGTTCTAACACCTATACAGGGACATGGGATGGGAAGGATCTACATAGATACAATCTCCACTCGACGATTATAATGGCATCTTTGGGAACTATAAGCATGGGTGGATGGATGGATAGATAACGGCGTTCTTTTCTTCTCTTCTTTCTAATTTGGATGCCGGGGTACCTGCATATCATTTCTGTACTTTACAAGATACCATTCGCTTGGCACAGCACAGCAGAGCGTTTACGTTTTTACGATTTGTAAGAAAAGAAGGGATGCGGTTAGGAATTGGGTCATAGGTTTTACTTCATTCCCCGCTCTTGATAGCAAGCAACTATGAACGAGAAATAAACAAGGTATAAAGAAAATCTTTTATGAGAGACCGTGATCCTAGCTCGTGACTTGACTTGTGACGATATGTGTGGGACGTGGTATTGCACACATGGTGGGGATCTGAAAGATAAATGATCGCTCGAAGTGTAACAATGGCTGCCTGCGGGCTGTTGCCGTATTTGGTCCGAAAATTCTGGGGATGGGGGAAGGATGACCCGACTCGATGGTTGGGCGCGGTTGTGCATCCATCTCAATAGCCAGATAAGTTGGCTCTGTAGAAGAGAGCCGCGCTCGATGTGAATCACTGTAAGGCTGCATACTTCTTTGCAAAACATATACTTGGTCTTGGAAAGGCGGACCGCTTGTTCTTGTGTAACACATATTATCTTACATTGTCTACCATGAATAGGCAGCTGCATGGATTTACGAGGTTCTAGATTTATACATGGTTTGCTTGAAATCCCTCTTGAGTTCAGACGCCAGACTTAACAGAATACCGAAGAGTAAATTACAGACGAGTCTTGTCCATCGAGGCTTCACCTCTACTTGACTCGCCGTTTCCCCTGGTTTCGCACGCGTGCTGTCACCACCCACTTGTTTGGGTTTCTGACTTTGCGAGTCTTGTATCCTCCTTTGGCCTGTGAAGTTGTCAGTAAATGATTTATGGGGCGGGTTGTTCTCCAAACTCACTGGCATACCCCAAGGGCTGACGGGATCAACGTTACCCTTAGACTTTCCTCTTCCACCACCATGTGGATGGTCGGCTGTGCAAGCATTAGTCTCTTCTAGAACTATACTTGGAATTGGGTTCCTTACCGGCATTCATTGCGAGACCTCTCACCGTTGGGCGAATGTTCAACCAACGCTTTCTACCAGCCTTTCCAAGCTGCCGATGTTGGTAGTGAGGATTGCTGGCTACACCAATGGTAGCACATGCATCTTTGCTGACGTTCCGGACTTCGCCGCTCTTTAGTCGGACTTGTACGTATCTCTGTCCTCCTCCGTTGGTGTTGTCATCCTTGGAAACAACGGTGGCATAAGTACCAGCACTTCGACAGAAGACCGCTCCCCGAATTTTCGAAGACCCAACACAATATACCATAGTCCCAACAGGTATCATGTGGAGTGGTAAGCAATTGCCTCGCCACGCAGTCTTGGCTGCCAACACACCAGGATCTACCACTCCTCCCATACTGTCGAGCAGGTCTTTGGGAATACCAGCTCGGTAGCTTTGAACTACATCTCCAGCCCTCATACCCTCAGAAGCAACGATATAGCTCTTTTTCCCTGTAGTTTCTTCATTGAGTAGAGCAATGTGTGCACTTCGGCCGGGATCGTGCTCAATGCGCTCCACAGTATGCTTTCCAGGCGTCATCCGTGCGAAATCGACTGTTCGTATCCTTCTCTTGTGTCCACCACCGCGATGTCTAATTGTAACTCGGCCGCTATTGTTTCTTCCTCCCTTTCCGTGCCCCTTCTTTGCAAAAGTCAAGGGCAGAAACGGTCTTCCTTTCCATAGATGATCATTGATAGGTCGTTTGAGATGCCGTACACCGGGTGTTCGAGGCTTATATGTACGCATTGCAAACGCAGAACTGCTCTTCTCGGTCGTGGGAGGTGCAGCAAATCCTGCTGTTGCGACTGCCTGTGAAGGAGACTCGACCTTCATGGGCTCAACCACGGTTGCATAGGCACGGGGAAACGCATGCTGGATCGAAAGATATTTGCTGACTGCGCTCCGCGAAGACTGCCGCAGCAGTATTCTTGGTTGCAGCATGATAGGCGCTGGCTGACAAACACAATTAGTTTGTCTGCCAGGAACTGACCCGGAGTAGAAGATTGTGGGTTGGTGGAGGAATGTGGAAGCTCCGGTGGTGTCGTTGATCTAAAATTCTGGATGGATATCACGCCGAGCAAAACATTTCAGCCACAGGAATGAAGATAGTGTAAGCCACATATAGAGCCTGAGGCAATAGCGACCGTTGTCGTTCCAACAGCTGGGATGTAAACAGAAAAGGACCCACTATGCTTGAAGTCGTCCCCACCATGAGCACAACTTCACCACCATCCGTCCAAAGAATGTCCAGCGAATAAGTCCACGAGCAGCTCATCCCCAAATAAAACTCTCACATTAAAATCTGCTTCTTTTTTTGATCATCAAACACCCTTCTTCACGCCTATTTTCGCGCCTCTACTCGAGGTACCGCGCCGGAATACCTTGCATCGGTAAGGTGGTAGGGATTGTCAGCGCGTCTAGTCACCTAGCCAAACAAGCGAGAGCATACTCCTCCAGTCCTCTTCTTCTTCACGTCTTCAACACGCTTTCCCTTCCTCCTCAAGCCCAACAACAACTCTCCTACACGCCTCATCTTCTCTACTCCGCCTTCCCCTCGATTCTTCTGGCCATCACGAGTCTTCAAAAACGCATTGAGTGCCCTGGACACTCAGTGGTCGACGAGGGAAACGGCTCTATCAACATTGTTGATATTGTACCAAGCAGACTTCACAGCACGTCAATTACGCCTCTCGGAATCTCTTAGGTCCCTTTTGAAATCTTGTATGTCCCACAGAGATATTCTTGTCTTTCCTGCTCACTGTCGCGTTCTTGTTATAAAAATTCTACTCGCTGAACGCGGTTATACCACCTTCACATCGCGTCTGCTAATCACGACTATAGCACCCAACCTCCACACATACAAACATTATAATCATTAATATTAACCCAACATAAAAATGCCCCCTGTATGTCAAGCAATCTCATACCCAAAATAATTATCCTCGTCACCAACCCTCCGAAATCAGCCCTTGGAGATAAACACTAACATGTTTGATCACAGAGTCGAGCAACAAGCCGGCGGGCACCCACGAACGAGAACGATGAGAATAGCGCTGTTGCAACCACCCGTCTTACGAGATCCAAGTCAGCTGCGTTTGGTGACGATGCTGGCGTCGGTGCCGCGAAGAAGCCACTCCAGTCCAAGAAGTCGGTTGTCAACACCCAGCCGCTCCGAAAGCGTGCCGCATTAGGAGACGTGAGCAACGTCACGAAGGGTGAGGCCGTAGATGGCAAGAAGACTGCGAGCAAGGGTGGACTCGTGTCAAAGGCAGCTCAACCTACTGGGGTACAGAAGAGCCTGTCGCGTACCAGCTCCTCCAGATCAGCGCTTGGTCCCAAGGATAACAACAAGAAGTCCACGGACACCAAACGCGTAGGCTCTGGAGTTCTACCTTCCAAGAAGAGAAAGGATGGCTCTGCGTCTTCGAACCCTGCGTCAATCAAAGAGGAGACCCCAGCAGAAGATGAGCAACCATTAAGAAAGCGGGTTCATCTTGAACCTAAGGAGAGAATAAAGGTCGAAGAGGCAAAAGAGAACCACGTAGAGCATGACATCGTACCTAAAGCTTCCGTATCCAAAGATTTCGAGGATGGTGTTCAAGATCTGGACCAGGAAGACATGGATGACCCACTGATGGTTGCTGAGTATGTTGTGGAAATCTTCGAGTACTTGAAGAAGCTTGAGGTCTCTACTCTCCCCAACGCAGATTATATGGTTCACCAGGACGACCTGGAGTGGAAAATGCGAGGTATCCTCGTCGATTGGCTCATCGAAGTGCACACCCGCTTCCATCTTCTTCCCGAAACGCTCTTCCTTGCAGTCAACATCATCGATCGTTTCCTCTCAGCCAAGGTTGTCCAGCTCGACCGCCTCCAACTGGTTGGTGTTACCGCTATGTTCATCGCGTCCAAATACGAAGAGGTCCTTTCTCCTCACGTCGCAAACTTCCGTCACGTTGCCGACGATGGCTTCACCGAGTCAGAGATCCTAAGCGCTGAGAGATACGTTCTCACCGCTCTCAACTATGACTTGAGCTACCCGAACCCAATGAACTTTCTCCGTCGTATTTCCAAGGCAGACAACTATGATATCCAGACACGTACCCTTGGCAAATACCTCATGGAAATCAGTCTACTTGACCACCGCTTCATGCAATACCTCCCAAGTCATATTGCCTCCGCGTCCATGTTCTTGGCTCGGATGATCTTAGAGCGAGGCGAATGGGTAAGTTGAACTCCGCAGTGATCATTCCCTTTTACTGACTCAGTGCAGGACGCTACTTTGACCCATTATTCGGGATACAACGAGGAGGAGATTGAGCCCGTCTTCAAGCTCATGGTTGATTACCTCGCTCGACCGGTCACTCATGAAGCTTTCTTCAAGAAGTACGCAAGCAAGAAGTTCCTCAAAGGTATGGTTCCTCCGCGAACATTCTTTGACCATGCTAACCCTGTCCAGCTTCGATTCTCACAAGACAATGGGCTAAGAGACACGCTGCCGAGTATGGTATCGATGCTTCTCTGCCGCTCGATATGGCTGCCCGGTAGTATTGCTGTCTTATATTATTCACGCACGACACGACTTGCTTCTATTGCTCCCAGGATACAGTGCATTCTTTGGATGGATGGGATATGAACTGAAAATTACGATAGACGGATGACATTATTCGTGGCATTGGGTGCTCTCCATGGACATCTCGCCGAATCACGAGTGGTTCCGTGCTGGATTGATGCCGTGGGAGTGTTGGTGTCTTGCTCTGCGTTGGCTGCTATATTGCATTATCATTTCTCGCTCTCCCCAATTAGGTCCGGCGTTCGTGTGCTTTTTGGAAGTCTGGAGTCTGGGTCTCGTTATTCCCTCCCAGCGTTGTCTGATTACAGATGATACGTACTTATGGCACACTCGATGGTTGCTATGTGCTTAACTGGATGAACGCTTTTCATGGTCTGATAAACTTTGTACATATACTGGGGAATGCAATGGGGACAAGATCCATGACTCAATGATGCTGTGACCTTGATTCTCCACCCACATGTTCTTCATCTCATCTCATTCATATAAACTTCCAGTAGTAAATGCCGAAGTTGCCAGTGAATCGCATCGACTCCAACCCGAACTTTTCGTCCTTAGTAGCTCTTCCGGTTTCGACTTCTTGCCCTTGTAACAATCTGCTGAGCAGACAAACGCGCTATGCCGGATAAATCTATATATTTTCAATGATATTTTACTGAAAAGGTCAGGTACAAGAATTAAAGTATGAAGGGCCTTGCGATGTCATTGCTCCCCAAATGATGAAAGGGGAAGGGGGCCGCGCCGCCAAGGAAGCTGTGCTAGTCAAGCGACTTCCGTCGATCGATAAGAGCTTCAACAAGCTACACCACCACGCAGCTGCCCACGACGTAAAGTTCACCTCAATCTTGCTCCACGTACATCTAATACTCGAGAAGCTGAGCATTTCTACGTCATGTCTCTGGATCCTCCCACCTACCTCTCTTCGCTTCAGAACAACATCCGCGCCCGGCCGATTCCTTGGGATGGAGCTGTTCGGGCTGGGACGATCAGCGAAGATCAATTGAGCAAGATTCGAGCAGTGGACAAGGTCAGGAAAGAGCAGAGGAAGCAGATAATCGAGGGCGATCTGGATGGCTACCGAGACCTCTTCTTAGGCGCTCCTGGGAAACGTAGTGTATTAGAGTCTGCTGCGACAAGCGCACATGTTGTGCAGTACGTCTTGGTGCTGCTGGGCGACTTACTCGATGGTAAGCACGTCTACCTAACTTGTAGATATAATCTAACATTTATTAGGAATCCCCGCTCTCTCGAAAGCTCTTTCTGAACACCCAGATCCCTACAAGCCCTTCCTACCACTTCTAGCACAGTCGAATGACCCCGAGGGCCCCATACCTCTTCTTACATCTACAGTTCTTACAAGTATGATAGCTGGTGTACCAAGCCTGTCGGTGAAAGCATCGTCGGCAATGCCAAAACTTTTCTCGTACCTATCGACCTTGACAAAGAATACAGATGGTGGTCTGCAAGACATTGCGGTTCTGGAATACTCTGCGCTGTTGCGGGGCAAGAAGTCAAGGGAACTATTCTGGGACCAAAGGAGCGAGACGGTTGCACCACTAATTGACATCCTACGAGCCGCAGCCGGAGTTGGGTCTGGAGATTCGGCTTCAACATTGTGGAGTGGTACTACAAGTGTTCGAAGCGGTGTCGAGGGTACCCTGGGCGGCGGGGTTGGTCTTCAATTACTCTACCATGTTCTTCTAGCTCTGTGGCAGCTGAGTTTCGAGGGTGCGAATATTGGAGAGGGCCTCGAAGAGTAAGTTGTAAACAAAGGACAGTCGAAATCAAAAGCTAAACATTCTATAGCGAGTACGACATTATTCCTCTGTTCACTCAACTCCTTCGACTGTCACCAAAGGAGAAGACTACGAGGCTGCTAATATCATCACTTTACAATCTGCTATCCACAAACAAGCAAACCCTCTTACCAGCCGCTGTACTGGCCCGTCTCCCTGCATTATTGCAAAACATCAACGGGAGACATCTTACGGACACAGACCTTTTAGAAGACCTTCAAAGTCTCTCTGAAATGCTCGAGGACTACACCAAGACCCAAACGACCTTTGACGAATATGCCGCGGAACTCAACTCGGGGCATCTACGTTGGTCACCACCACATCGAAGCCCAACCTTTTGGGCTGAAAATGCTCGTAGAATTCTTGATCACGAGAAGGGTGACTTACCTAGAAAGCTAGCTGAAATCATGAGCAAGCCTTGGGACAATGATAGGCAGGTCCTTGCCATAGCCTGTAATGATGTCGGCTGTCTAGTCAAGGAGGTTCCTGAGAAGCGGTATCAATTGGAGAAGCTGGGGTTGAAGACTAGGGTTATGGAGTTAATGCAGGAAAAAGAGGAGTCTATCAGATGGGAGAGCTTGAACGCTTTATCGGGATGGCTGAGGTATAGCTTTGAGACAAAATAAGAGACCGAGGAGTATGTACTAGGTTGCTTTCGAGCTTGTATCATCATTAGGGGCACTCGGGTGGAGCTTGGCCTTAAATTCTTAGGTTTTCCCTACACATGATTCTCAGCATGCGAAGTCATTATTGTCATATTTAACAAAGTAAAGAGAATGACAAGCTTGGCTTTCCAATGTGCCGCTTCTTATTATGGGTATTCGTGAACATTTAGAATGCAGCATTCCTCATCGTCCAACTTTCATGCCTCATCTCGCAGCAAATCATGAAATACAGGAGAAAAGGACAAAACTAACAGCTGCCAACTTTGTCAATTGGTACAGTACAGTCAGTGTGAAAGAGGCGTACAGCAACGGGACAGTGACCTGACCCGAGCCGAGCCCAAGCGCTTCGACCCCTCTCCCTTTTCTAGCCGACATCGCTCATAACTTTCTCCACCCTCACCTCCAACAGCAAAACGCAACTCCTTCTATAATCAATCAATTGAGTCAAAATGAAGCGTCTCAGAGCTGCATCTGGTGTCAAGGAAGCCATTTTGGCCCGCCGAGCAATCCCACAAAGCTCGCGTCACCTCTCAACAGCTCTCCTCCAAACTCGCACCCCGCGCCCCTCACCGTCACCTCTCATCCCCACCTCCTCCCTCCAGCACCTTGCCCTCCCCACGAATCCAGCAACCCGCCATGCCTATTCTACCCCAGCCTCAAGCGCCCTCCAAAAAACGCCTCTCTACGATCTTCATGTCGCCAATGGCGGCAAAATGGTCCCCTTCGGCGGCTTCCACATGCCCGTTCAATATGCCGACCTAAGCGTCAGCGCCTCGCACCACTTCACACGTTCCCATGCCTCCCTCTTCGATGTCAGCCACATGGTGCAGCACCACTTTTCTGGGCCCGGAGCTACGGCTTTCCTCGAGAAAGTCACACCGGCGTCAATTTCGCAACTGGGAACCCATAATGGCGGTCTGAGTACACTGCTCTGGCCTTTTACGGGGGGCATTGTGGATGATACTATCATTACGCGGTTGGGTCCCCAGTTGTTTTATGTGGTAACGAATGCGGGGTGTAGGGAGAAGGATCTGAAATATTTTGAGGAGCAGCTTGCGGATTTCAAGAAGAGCGGGGGACAGGATGTTGAATGGGAGGTTTTGAATGGACAGGGATTGATTGCTTTGCAGGGACCTCTGAGTGTGGAAATTTTGGGTAGATTGTTGGTTACGCCTGATGAGGTTGATTTGCAGAAGTTGTATTTTGGACAGTCGCAATTCATTAAGATCAAGCTGCTCGGCGATAAGGTCTCGAGCCCGTTGCTGGTTAGTAGGGGTGGATATACGGGCGAGGATGGATTTGAGATTTCGATTCCCGGGCATGAGACGGTAGCTGTTACGGAGGCCCTGTTGCAAACTGCTACGAGTGAGAAGTTGCAGCTTGCTGGACTTGGCGCTAGAGATAGTCTGAGATTGGAGGCGGGAATGTGCCTTTATGGACATGATCTTGATGATTCTACTACGCCAGTAGAGGCAGCTCTTGGCTGGGTCATTGGCAAAGATAGAAGAGTGGCTGGTGGATTCCACGGCGAGAAAGTCATTCTTGCACAGTTGACTCCGAAGAGCAAAGGTGGCAGTGGTGTGGAAAGACGGCGAATTGGCTTGATTGTCGAAGGAGCACCAGCGAGAGAAGGTGCCGAGATTGTGGATGAGAATGGTGAGAAGATTGGCAATATCACGAGTGGGTGTCCAAGTCCAACACTGAAAAAGAATGTCGCTATGGGATACATCAAAGATGGCTTCCACAAATCTGGGACAAACGTGGAGGTCGTTATCAGAGGCAAGAAGCGTAAGGCTCAGGTTACAAAGATGCCCTTCGTTCCAAGCAAGTACTGGAAAGGCGCAGCTCCGGCATGATTTGAGTCTCCAAAGTTCTGCCTGGTTATGCTTTTCTTCAACATTCAACATATATTAGAATACCCGCTCAAGCAAGGAGTAAATGGGTCTCAAATACACAAATTCTTCAACCTATATCATATCTCCCATTGTCCATGCTTGCCTTTCCGATTAAGATGTCAACGGGGCCGAATGTCTTCTTGGTGCTTTCAAAGGCATCGTTCACGGCGGCCTGGTTCGAGATATCTGCTACGAAGGTCAGGACTTTGACGCATGGGTGCTGGGACTCGATGGAGGTTTTGGTGGTCAGGAGGGAGGAGGCTGTGCGGCCCAGAATGGATATCTTTGTCGCTCCTGAAGCTGCGAAGGCGTGGGCGATTTTGGGGCCGATTCCTGAGCCGCCTCCGGTGATGAAGACTCCTTTTCCAGCGGTCGACAACTCGGGACGAATTGGGTAGATGGCAGGGTAGTTTTGGGTGCGGTAGGTTTTCGTATACGTTGGAGGGGCCTGCATCCTGGTTGATTGTTCTGAAGTTATGTTTTGGAGGAAAATGTGAGATGATTATTGAAGGGAGGAATTTTGTCTTGGATGAGTATTTGTAGATGTATGTAATACAAGAACTCAATTGAAGCTAAACTGGTTACTAGATATTGCAATGGCCAGCCCGAAGTTATATATATGTATATATATATTTATTTACCCACATTGTCCTCCATCCCAATGACAAACTCAAAGTCGACAAAAGAACTAACGTCACTTACTCTTCATAGCCTCCTTTCAAATCCACAGGATTAAAAACAGAGTCTCGGGAAGGTTAGAATATACGCCCGATAATGTTTGTGATAGCTTTGTATTGTCGTTGAGCCAATATATATGATTATCAAGCATGCCCTTCTTCTTCTAGTCTCTTTCGATGAAGGTGAAACCGTCAAAAACTGATGCGAGGGAATCCCGTACCCATGTACGGAGATGGTTTTACATCAGACCGACCACTTGTTTGTGCGACCGAAGATCGATACAAATGTACGGAACAACAAACAATAAGCCGTTATTACCAGGTGTATAAAATTGTTCCTCTGTAATCCGACCATGGATGTCTTTAATTATCACAGATCTTGTCCAAAGGAGTGGGCATATCTAATTGTAGACGCCGAACTCTTTATACTTTAGTTCCCTGATTCGGAGAGAATTCGCCCCCCTTTTCTCTTTGTCGCTCGCAGCGGAAGCACGCACACTTAAGTGCACCTATCATCAGCCACGTACATGGTTAAATCAGCTGAGTAGGAGACATATGTCACGGAATAAGTCCTTCAGGTCACCTCTCCTGCTTTGGTAGTTCAGAGTAAGATGACATCCATTCTAGTCTATTAGCAACATATATTTACAGACGCCCCTATAAATTTTGACTTTTATGCTCCATCCCATGTACCAGAAACACCATGCATGCTGCGACCAAACGCAATATGAAAGTATGTCCATAAATATATGAATATTACAAATCTCAACCCGCTGTTGTCAATACATATGAAGTAATAGCGCTCATCCTCTCACTGGTCAGTTTCAAGGATATCATGAGCAATTCTCTCGCTACATCTGGATCGGTTCTCTGCAACTTATCCCAGTTCTTTCTATCCAAAAGCCATGTTACGCAATCTCGTTCTGCTTGGACGGTCGCGGTGCGGCTGGTATCGGAGAAGAAGGGCAACTCTCCGCAAGTGGTACCTGCTACTATGCTTTCGTAGTATTTGCCTTGGGGTAAATCGTAGTTGGCGCGCAGAATACCTTCTTCGAGGAGATAAAATCCTTGAGCATCTTCACCGCAGTGGAACAGAACCGTGCCAGCGAGGTACTCTTTCTTGACGAAATATGGGATGGCACGAAACCAGAAGTCTTCATTTTTGTCTGTAAGACCCCAGAAGGTTTGTAGGATAAGTCGAAGGGGTTCCTTGAAGTTTTGGTATTTGGCTTCTGTAGGGCTTTCATCGAGGGTGGTGCTGGCTACTCTTGCCAATTGATTGCGTCGCGGTGAGCTGAACTGGGCATCGATGGAGGTTGATGGCCGTCGACCTGGCGAACCAACACGTCCTGGTACGTCGAGATTGAGTGGTGCATGGCGATCTGAGCGGGCATCTTTGCTTGAGTACAGTGTTTTCAGTAGCTCGTTCTCGCACATCTCAATTGCCGAGTTGAGCGATGGAAACATGCCTACATCATTACCTAGGCCAACAGTGCGCAGTGTAGTGCCCAGAGGGTCGTTCTGGTCAACACCGCTTATCACAACTGTGACATCTTTTTTGCTGAGTACTCTGTTCAAACGATTGAATGCTTCTGCAGCAGAATAATCGATACCGGTCACATGCCATAAATCCAAGACCAAAAATCGAATTGGTCGTAAATTAAACGCTTCACCTTCAACCAAAGCACGAATGCGCTCTTCAACACTGACGATGGTACCGAAAAACAGATACCCCGCCAACTTCGTGACATGAATTTGCTCTCCAACTTGGAGCAGATAGCTGTGTTGGGTAGGATTTCTGCGAACTGTGGAGCGTACAATTTCTCCTGAATACGATGCTCGTATGGCTGGAATTCTCGATGTATTCACGACGAATGACACAAAAGCCAGGAGAATTCCTAGGCCTATGCCAGCTACAAAGTCATAAGCGCCCATGACAACCACAATTGCAACCACCTAGTGAGAATTAGCATCCCAGCCGCTCGTCGATGCGTTTGTACTAGAGGACTCACTGTCAAGTATTCAAATCGCTTAAGCTTCTTTCTCGGAACCCAGACAGCTTCGAGGAACAATTCGAATCCAAGATCGAATATCAATGTTCCCACCATCATAACCGGGATGAGTCCAATGATGTCGGGACCGATTAGCAAGACCCCGCAGGTAAAACCGGCAAGCATGACACCGGCCACACGACTATCGCCACCACTTTTGTAGAAGAGAGTACTATTAGCATAGACAAGATAGTTTTGTATGCTTCCTGCACAACCCGAAAGCGCGTTTGAGAGACCGTGCGCTCTGAGTTCTCGGTCCAGATCCAAATTATCTTCTCCGACCGAATAAGCTAGCGAGGGAACATTAATCGGAACATGTAGAACGCCAAAGAAGGTAAGTGCAATCATGGACGGTATGCACTTCAATATGGCACCCCAGTGAATTATTTTCAAGTCTAGGATTGTGAGAAATTGTTGGACGCGGTTTGGGGATATAACTCACCGTATAAAGTATAGAAGTACCACCACGGCTGACCAGATTCCGGACCTTCAAAGATCCATCCAGAGTTTGTCAATGTTTCAAGGTCCAACTTGTTGAGAGAGAGAACGAAGAAGTAAAAGATCGCAGGTATGGTCAGTATGTACCCGGGAAGTAGATACTTGCTCTTGATCATTTGTTGCAGCCAGTAAAGTCCGATGCCAAGAGTGAATGGAATGATCCATAATATCAGAGTTTCAAGCTCGAACATCTTGCTTAGTGTTGCCAGATCGTAATTAAGGTTACCGTTTAGACGGGCAGATACTTCGAAGCCGGTAGCTATGAGGAACCAGCCGACCCCACCAATACATCCAGTCAAGATGTGCCTTGGGATAAAGCCAACAATGTAGCCAAAGTGAAATTTTCCCATGAGATAGAAGACAAGACCGGTAAGTATAGAGCTTAGGGCAAAAGCGGTGATAGTTGTAGCGATGATAGCATTGGGGTTATCTTCTCCGATTTCATTTTGAATCGTAAACGCCATTTTGTGGAAAAAAGGTACTACCTCAATCTACAATTCGTCAGTAATTAATTCCACATGTGCTATTCAAGCAACTCACCATTTCAGAGCCAACCCCCCCGGTAAAGCTACTTCCGCCCAAAGAATATACCAGTTGGGATATAATACAGCTAACGTAAAACATGGAGATGCCTGCCGGGCCAAGCTTTGCGAATGTTGGTTGCCCAAGAGGGAAAAGAATCATGCCTACGATAGCATGGAGTTAGTAAAATATGACTGCTACATCCACAGGGAATTTAAAGACTAGATCTTGAGGCCTAGGAACTTCAAATCTAGGCCTCCAATTAAACATACCATAGGACAGCGCATCCAAAATGTTCAACAGAAGGCCAAGAATAACAGCCGGGAGAAATCCAACGGGTGCCACTACTGCTAAATTCCAAAGAAGCGTTCTGTCCCATTTTTTGGGGTTCAAAACATTGCGTGCAACATCCAAGCATTTTCCTTTGTACGACGGTATGACATTGTGGAGCTTGGGCCAGGACCCCTTCCTTCTCAGCTCTTGACGTTCAAGGTCCTGCTCCCCATGTATCCAATCAGGGTGGTGGCGTTGTTCAATGGGGCCTTTCCCCAGTAATGGTGTCCTTTCATCCTGTTGGACGCCATTTGATGATATGATAAGCCCTCCGCGATCTGAGCTGGTCTCGGTTTCATTTTCAGTAACAGCTGGTTTTCTAAGTGCGCCTTCTTCTTGGCGTGGGTGCGGTGTACTCGGAGGAGAGATTCTTAACATATTTGATAACACAGAGGTCCCAGGCGTCTTGTCCGATCCTGAGCTATTTTCTGGTGAGGCCGGTTCAGAAACTTCGGGTATAGTCGCTTGGTGAAGAGCTTCAGCTTCTCGATTCATGACCGACTCGCTGTCGGATTCATTGGAAAAGAACGATTCGAAATGTGTCTGAGCAGATCGACGGGGTGAAGTGCTGCGTGCGGAGGCTCTATCGGAAAGAGCATATAATGCCAGCTCTGCGGTATCTTCTCGAACGCTTTGCGCATTCAATGCGCTGTCAATTGGAGCTGTTTCTTCCGTTAGCGATTCAAGCCTGCCTTTGAATGTATTTCACTGAGCATACCTAGAGCTCCACGATACGAGAGATGCACAGATGACCGTGTGGGCTCTCTATGACTAGATGAGAGGGAGCCAAGTATCCCCTGATTGCCCCGGGGCGAGCCATAAGTGGTGTCGGAAGTTACGTTGGATGCGCCATCCTGAGAGTCAGAACTGCCTGGTATTACTCTGGCACCCGTATGGGATCCAAAGGAGGGGACTCGCCGCTGTCGATTTGATCCAAAGCCAGATGGTAACGACATGACGATCTTCGGCCCCCCAGCAATGAGGTTGTCCTGACTGTCCTGTCCTGTCCTCTCAGCAGAGACGCAAGCAGGAAAGACGTGAAAGTCAACTCAGGGTAATGAGATAGGAAGTTACGTATAGTATACTCAATATATTCTTCTAGGTGGAGTGGGCGCTAAGATGCTAGCTAATCCCCCGGGCTCTAGCTAGGTACCGTGTAGCGTAGTGTAGTGTGGTGAAGAAGGTTTACTTACCTAGAGTAGGTTACGTGGAGGTCCAGATCAAAGCTCAGAACATTAAATGATGAATAGCAAAGAGATGAAGAAAATGTGAGAATATACTTTTGCCAGGATGACTAGCTAGGTAGAGGGCGCGTCATGCTTCCTCCTCATCCTCCTTCTTCTCCACCAAAGGGTTTTTTTGGTTGGGTTGGATCAAACAAGCAGCTCTGGGGTGATAATTCTCGCGATAACACAATCTACGCGTTGATGCCCATACCATGCCATGCCTTACCTTACTTAGCCGCATACTCCGTACTCCGTCCATGCAAACAAATGCAGAGCCCGCGCCACCTAATGAACAAGGGGAAATTTTTAATGCCCTTGCCCCACCATAACCTCTCGAACTTTTCAAGCTGCAGCAGCTGCTGCGGAAACGAATCCGGCTCGTTCCAACGACAACTCCCCTCTGTAACTCCGATTTCCAAGTCTCTTGAAAAAGCTATTAGTTCTCTTTTATTCTAGGCATTGGATTTGTGAGCTGGATAATAACCAACTATCGATATACTCGTATGCCATCAATATACCCAATTGCGAAGATTCAATGCTGCGTGAGGTAATCGTATACCTATTACGGGTTCCATCTTAGCGGGGTCCTATCCTATAAGAATTTTAGATCTCTTACATGTGACCGCCCTACACGCGCCTCACTGAGTTTTTATTAGAGGCGTACGGCACTGGCACTTTTCACTTCCTTGCAGGTACTTAAATGTCCGATTGGTTTCCAATTTTGAGTTTTGTCCAGAAGAGACTATGCTAAAGTATCATCTCCTCCTGTGCTGTGTAGGTCATTACCCCTCAGGAATCAGCTCGTTACAAATTGATACAGCTCTGTACTGCAAGTACCCCGCAATCATGCATGTCATGCCATGAAACGCTTTTTCGAGTCTCGCGAAGCATATTGCGCGAATAGGCAGGCATGTTCACGCCATAGAACACCATCTGCTACACCAAAGATGCAATACCTGCCCTGCACATGATTCCTATAAGTCGTCATATCAGGGCTCAACCGGCTCTTGATCTTTATAGTACACTACTCGGGTCCACGGTTCGCCTCTTGAAAGTCATCGTGTGGACCCTCGACCTAGTCACATCCACAGTTTGCCTCCTCTTCACCCACACTCTCCCCACTTCCTCATATCTCCCGGGGATGGGCTCAGTGCATCCGCGTCCGCCTCGATACCCAGTCGAACATATCTTAACCGCAGTGCAAGATTTGTGCGGTCAGAGGCAGGCACCGCAAGTCCGGGACTATACGCCGCAATCCAGAATTCTTCCAATTTATGACGCTAATGTATACCATCCGGGTATGTAGCTGTAGCTTAGGGGTCTCACCCAAGTTTCTGCAGATATCCCTGTGCAATCAAACGTTCCACATCTCCTTGACGAACGTAGAATTGCGAGTTTTTAGTAAGATTAATGGTGCTATCGTCCAATTAGCTAAGAAGCAAGTCACTCATGCATGAAACTCACCCGTATTCAGTCTGTATCTCGCCAGCATCTTTGAGAACACGAACATCGATAAACAGATCGCGTGGGGGCTCCAAGCTCCCCGTCAAATCAATATCAGTCCATTGCCCCTTATATGCAGCCAGTAGATCACTATACTGTCTCACATACTCCTCCTCTTCAGGGCTTAGGCTGCTGCTGTTCCCCTCCCCATTGCCGAGTTCAGCGCCCCCGTTCTGTCCCTCATTTGGAGCTCCCTGTTGCCCTGCCAAGTCTATGATGTCGCTGCCATTCCATACCATTTCCTCCAGCTTGTCGGTACGCGTTCGGTGGTAGGCTAGGAGGCATCGTTTGTTTCGGCGCATACAGAGGTGGTCAACGAGTAGCGTGCATGCAGTTGCAGGGTCGGAAGAGGGGTCAAATGAGCCATTGAAGGGCTGGAGAATGTTTGACACGTCCTTGTCCAAGTCCCGCACTTCTCTGGTTACCGCGCGTACGATTTCCGTCTGGTACGGAGGAAGATGTTCAAGCTTCTGTGTCCGCTTGGCATGCTGGACCTGCGGAAATTGTCAGCATTGAAGTTGAGATAGTATGGAGAAAGCTCACTAATTTGTTGCCCAAGTCTCCATACATTTGGGCGTGATTGTGCAGTATGAAGGAACAAAGGGACAATGATCGAGTCTCAGCCTTGTTGTTCGTGTTCTGTGTGGTCCGCGCTTGTGGAGGGGCTGCGAATGCGTTTCCTGTAGCGCCGCTTTTACGCTTCAAATCGACCCACTTTTGGACTTCACTTCACTCATTGAAAGAATTCCTACTGTAAACTCTATTCTCTCTTTTATGGAAACGAACTTTCATGTGTCATATGACCCAACCGAGCAGATGGCATGGCTTGTTGAAGAAGCAATAAAGCCCCAAGCCCCATACCCCAATTCACGCACCTGAGTTGAGACAGACCTTAGACACGGCGATTATACGTCTCGCAAAGGGTTCTCGATACGTCAAACGATGAGAAAAGCAACGTCTTATGCCTCCTAATCTTTACGAATCTATACAAACGTTGCTCAAGACACATTCCTTCTTTGAACTCTGAGAGCTTGTTACCCCTATTCTGTCATTCCCCGTGGGACGGCTACCTGCATGAATAATGGGCTTTGTTCCGCTAGCCGAGCTTGCTTTTGTCCTTCCCCTCTTAACTCTACAACTTCTGAATCCCCAGACCCTCATTCAAGACTTATCTACGATCTTACATTGGTCCTGTAGCTATACAACCCGCATAGTTATCTCTATATTTCTCAACGTGGCAGAGAGCCCGCGAGGAAGTCCACAGCCTAGTCTCGGCGTATCGTAACAGCATTCATATATTCAACATCACAATAGTTACACCTCCCAGTTTATGTAAGAAAAATTTGATCCTGAAGTATTAAGTCACAACTACTAAGCCGTGGATGATAGTCAAGAGACCCTCCCGGAGATCGGACAAAATATCACCAGTCATAGCGACGGCCAGGCAATATTTTGGACTAATAAGACTCTATTATGTTTAAATACAAGTAGTGGACTTATTATGCCATCTTACAGAGAAGGACTTCAACAAACACTATCCGAACGAAACCTGAGACCAAGACCTCCAACGCCACCCGATGGCTACCAAAAAAATGCTTCCTCATCCATATGTCCTTTGGTTATCAAGCCAAAGCGAAATCCTCAGTAACAACTGAGACTATGTCCAAAATTCCCGGACCCAATTCTCAGTTCTCCTCTGCCATCCACTTGTCAAAATCCCCACCATCACTCAGCGTCTCAACGTGCCAACCTTCTTGGTTTCCCCTGAGTACGTCCACGTGGGAATTGTGAATCGGCTCGCTGGCATGGCTTTGTTCTGGCTGCGTGTAGGACATCACAGGATCACCCAGCGCTGGATCGATCATCCCGAACGAATGAGCCCATTCCTGCTCAGCATGGTGCTGAGTGTCCCCGAAATACACGCCTTCGTTTGAATTGCCGTACTTACTGTTCTGGTACATCGGCTCGTGTGACATCAAGGAAGGCTCAATTTTCTGCTCGGGAACGTGCTGCTGCTGATGTGGTTGTTGTCCTTCGTACGGCCCGTATTGATCCATCATATTGTACTCTTGTGCGCCGCTAGGGAGTCCGATGTACGAGTGTACACCTGGTGCCGCAGTCTTGGTGAGGATCACATCTTGAGCGCCGGCAATATTGGGGTTCTGTCGGATTGTCTGCTGGTAATATTCTCCAGCGTGAAGGTTTGCCTGATACTGGGCTGGTAACGGTCTTCCTGGGTTTGTGGCCTGGTAGGACGACTGGTTGTAACCGCCATATTCTGGCTCCATCGACGGTCCTCTGGAGGAATACTGGTATGCTGACTTGGTCGTTGGATATGGGACAGGCTGTGCAGCTCGAGGAGTCTGCATGTGTCTCGACTTCTTGGATCTCCTGCCTGATTCCCGCCAATTAAAGTCCTCCAAATCCGACTCTTCCGAAAATATATCCTCAGATTGTTTCCTCTTTGTCGCCTTGGCTGCACCTGGTTTCGTTGGGGAGAACTTGTAACCTGGGTGTGCATTTTGATGGTTGGCCCGCTCGATGCGTGCCCACTCACCGAACTGCTCCTTAATTTCAGGGGGTTCTAGCGGCCAGCTGTCTCCGCAGACTTGTGAGACTACTTGATGGTTATTCTGAAGACACCAGTCTTTCGTCCGGTTCTGGTATGCCTTGCGGTACAACATGAAAGAATTCATCGGACGCTTCACCTTGCCTGGTATCTTGCCCTCGTCCACTTCCCTCCGTCGCTCCTCCGCGGACCGGTTGACGTATGTATCTATATCGGCAACTGGGACGTGTTTCCAGTCCTTGGTTAACTCACTCAGGGGTTTCTCAAGTTTTGCGACTTTCTTCTCCGCCTTGATCTTTTCCTTCTTGATTTTTTTTGGCTTTGGGGACTTCTCGATTCGTGATCGCCCTTCAGGCATGGGTCGAAGACTTTGATGACTTCGTTGGATCGCAAGACCGCTTCTCGTACGTAGCATATCTTGTAAGCCCATTGAAGGTGTTGGCGGTGATGTGGCTGGCGTGCTGTATTGATCTGCGTACACTGAGCTCTGGTAATTTGGGTTATAGCCGTCCTACACAAGTGTTAAAAGAGGCGCAGAGGAGAAAGTCTCATTCATCTTACATATTGAATCCCTAAACCTGAATCCTGGTGTTGATGCTGGTAAGAATACCTGGGTTGCAGGCCGCCATAGGCATACGCTTCACCTTGAGGAGGTGGCGAGCCATAGTTTGAATGCAGGTGGACCCCTTCATCATGTTCGTAGTGTTCTTGTGGGTAAGAAGTATTCGAGTTGTGTTGAAGCACATGGTGGAGCCCGTGTTGGAGAAGCTCGCCATTACTTGACGGCGCTGGAGAAGGAGTCATTTCGTGGCTGGAGTTGCAAGGCAGCTCCGCTGGGTGTAATGAAACTCTGCTTTCGTTTTTTGTGCGGGGCGTCGTGGGTGTTTATGGGCCCCAAGTGGCAGGTTACAATGGCAAAAGTTTGCGAAATCAGATGGAAATGCTTGGTCTCTTGTAGCTGAACAGGGCCGGTGCGTGATAAAGGGTATGCTGAGCTTCTCGCAAATATGCTGGCAATGAGTTGCTTATTCACGCTCCCAGGTGTATAAGTCAATCGGTAGATATTCTCTGTCCTGGAGAGTGACGAGAAGTTCTTGTCACCGCTTGTGGTGTCGTAATGCTTCGCGAGGAGCGTTCCGCAGTCAGGTGAGACCAGAAGACTCTCCTTAGAGAACACCAAAGGCTTCTGGAAGGATATTCTACCGAACTTCTTTCGCCGGGTGACAGTTCATCTGAAGTGACTATTATTAAGCTTTGGCCTGAAAGATGGAGCAAGCGGGATGAGTTTGTCTTTTCTTGCGGTTCGTGCAGTATCAGAGAGTTTGGGACGAACCTATTGCATGTAGCCGTCTTGCAGTAACGTGCCTCTTTCCTGACAAAAGTCGTACTGGAACCACAGGAACGGACAGTGAGATGCGTGGTTCCAGGGTCCGGTACCCCTGAAGTGATGCAGAGGCTCTGAGGCTTCTGCGGTCCTGGCGCCTTCTTTGTCGTATGATGTGTCAAGACTCTGTTGGGCGATGCACTTTTTGGAGATACTGTCGCTACGCAGAGGTGAGATGGTCTTTGTTTTGAAACTTTGGATTGTAAGAAAGGATTTTTCGTTGAGCTTTATGTATTCGGGGTGGTATTCTGTACAAAGGATAATTGACGAATTAGGCGAATTTGGTGAAAGGGGAGGGTCTGCTTTCGGCTCACCACTGCTCCCGTACACAATCAATTCACGAACGCGGCACGCATATACAGACTGATCACCTTCCACAAAGCGCGTTCAAACTATCGCCACGAGCCGTATGATGCATTTGTTACGATTTTACTACAGTCCAAAGCTTGAAGTTGACAAGGGTCACGCCAGACTTTCTCCGTACACCACTCTTATTATTTCAGATGGTAGACTACGGACCCAGTACCAAAATATCTCCATAATTTGATCCAAACGAGCAAGACAACACTATAAAATAGTTCCTTCCGAGGCTACAGGTGACTGAATACAAACAGCAAGGCTGTTTTCCAACTGGGATCCACGGTTCAACTTCCAGCTTCTCCACCAGTTCGCGCACATGCACCGGTTCGCAGCTGCTAATTACCAGGGCTCCCCTGCCGAACGTTCTTAATCTCATCCAAGAACGCGTCCAGCGTTACACAGATCAGCTGAGCGGCTGTTCGTGGCATCGGAATGTAGTTACTACATTACCCCCCTTCCGGTTTTATAATAACGGCATCTGCAAGAGTGATTGCTGAAGCGCGTAGACGGGCTTGAGATGCAAGTACCGTAGTCTCTTTCTCTCAAATTTGCTTCTCTTGAGTTAGGCATGTGCGATGCCATGTGGTAGACCCCATTTACGGCATTATACATGCTGAGGCCATGCGAACGCGAGCTCCTCGGGCGGCTGCAGTAGTGTGCCGACGCTTACCAAATTTCTTGAGACTGTTTGAACGTCAGTTTCACAGGGATGAGTAGGTTCATCGTGCAGCATGAAGACTGGATGCCTTTTAAAGTGAAGATGGGTTTTGGACACCACATGGTGGAGACTCCCGGGCTGAGGAGTCTCGGTCAGAGTCGTACATCGAGGCAAGAAACTTTGATACAAGTTGGTTCTGAATGTCGACTTTCACTTAATCTTTCGATTCGTGCTCTGCTGATACTTTTGCGCTAGCATTAAAAAGCATTTTGCTTATGCGGTAGCTCAAGCACCAATAAGTTTTCACATCAAGCGAAGAGGGAATTACAACGGCACAGGGGGTGTATTGCTCCCGCGAGAAAAAGAAGCCGATGCATTGACCCTGGAGGGAGTGAAGGTGATTGTCGCTTCCTTGCTGCCGCATAACAAGTAACCTTGATATGTATCAATCATATTTGAGGCTGTGAAAAGTGGCATTCCATTATAGAGCGTTCAATAATAAGTTTCTTTGTGTGCAGAAACTGGAGGTGGCATATTTACGATTTTGCTTGCGGACAGGCTGGCAGCATTTCTTGTGGTGGCAAACAAGAGGAATGCAGCTTCGCTTCGCTTGCTCCAGAATGTTCATCAACACCAAATATTCACTCGCACAGGATGAGATGGTCATGTTGGGGTCATTACTTATTTTTAATACGCGCCTCTCATTATTTTCCATGCAAGAAACGCCTGTCTATCGTCTAAATAAACCATGCATGCATCTACTCGTAATGAAGTCCAGAAAACCAAACCATGCCCGTGAACTCCAATTTGCCCGCAGGCTTCATTTCTAGACGTGACTTTAAGGAAGTGAAGAACAATAAGTTGAATGGTATACAGGCAATAAAGCTGCCAAGGAGCTTGGATGCTCTAGGAGGGGTCGTCCTCAACATTCTCTGTGTGACAAAGAAATTTTATGCTCGATAGGATTCCCGAATCTACTATTCAAATAGTTATGTGTATCTCGACATCATCAAGGAGCGATGGCTTGACCGTTCGGCTTAGCCCGATCTGGTTCTGAAGACTTTACTGGTGGAGAGAGGTTTTGCATCTGATGACTTGGCGACAACGGAGCAACGGGAGGCAGCATTGAAGGTGTAGTCGAGCTTATACTTCCATTCGAAGTCGATCTAGGAGGAGAATGCTTCGTTGGCGAAAGTCCTGTCACAGCTGGAGGTAAAGGAGAAGCATGACCAGAATTGGCGTATTGTTGACCTGGCAATTCCTGAGCCGGTGAAGATGGTACTCCGTGTGGTGGTGATGCCTTCGGAGGTTGCCAAGTGTGCATACTTGGACCATTGGTTAAGACCGGGCTACTAGAGGCAGGGAAACTCGAGCTTGGGTTGATTTTGGTGGTTGGAGTTAGGACTGGGGCCCCGGCAAGAGGAGATGAAAGATTTATGGAACTGCGACGGCGGCCATTATCGCTAATTTCGGGAAGATGCCCACCCGCCCCATTGGATGGGGTTGGTGCGCCGTAAGGGTTTATCGAGAATGAGGGGGATCCCTGCAAGTAATGCGTGGAAGATGATTGTTGACTTTGCACGCCGTTCCTGTGGGATGTGCCTTTACCGTTTACGAAATTATAGGCTAGTGGTGGTGGTGGTAGATTCATTGGGCTGTTTGGCTGCGGTGAAGAGAAGGCGTGGGCACTGGATGGTCGCGAAGCGCTATACTGAGGTGTCGCTACACTTCCACTATTAGTGTAAGGATATGCCACCCTGGAGGCCCCTTGAGTAGGGGATGCCTTTGTCATTGTAGGGCTTTGGCTTGCGCGCTGGGGAGAAGCTTGAGGCCCACTTGCATGATTGTTCGTTGCTGTTGTAGAGCTTTTGGGCGATGCGTGGTGAGGACTTTGAAGTGATGGTAAGTGACCAGGTTGCCAGGTTGCCATTTGTGGCGTACCCTTCTGTGTAAGACGAATTTGCGGCTTCGGGGTGGCCTGCGCCGCAATTTGAGCATCTGGATGGCTCTCAGTACCTCTATCAACCGATGAGGGGACAACACCGGCCGATGTACTGCCTTGTCTCGGAGCCAATGGCGAAGACGAGGATCCTGGTCGGTTAAGCTTGATCTTGATTGGCGGCTGGGTTTTGGCTCTTTCTTTGTCCTCTGCACGACGTCGGCAGGTTGTACAAATGAAGTGGAAATCTTCTCTGTCAGCTTCTGCCTGACTAACTCCAACACACTTGCTATGTTGCCAGATGTTGCACTCATCGCATGCAATACTATGCGTGCCATCATCAATTTGTCCATACGCACCACAGATACAATCAAAGATCCAGTCCTCTTCCTCCGCGAGTTCTTCCAGGGCCTGCTTCTTCCTCTCTATCTCGGCCTTGAGGTGACGTTCAGAAAGGCGACCAGCTGCCGAGTCAAATTTCTTACTGTCTTCGGAGAGATTGGCCAGCTCCTCCTCATGTAGAATTCGGCGAGCCTCTCGCTCCTTCACTCTTTGCTCGCGAGTCATCATACGAGACTCCCGCTCCTTCTCTAGCTTAGTCCACTTCTCTTGCTCTTTCTTGGCCATTATCAACTCAGCCTGTCGCTTCCGCTCTGTGTCGCGGGCTTCTTCGTCCTGTTTCTGCTGTTCCATTTTGCCTGCTATTCTGCTGGACCTCTTGGCCGATGCTAGTTTCTCAAGGTTGAGTAGTTCACGCTCTTTTTGCGCCTCTTTGCGTTTGCGTGCCTCCTCTTGTTTCTCCAAAAGTGGCAATAGGTCATCCACAATCCGCTTGCGTAGAATTTTCTCGTTTGGATCCTTACTCTTCTCAATCGAAGAAAGAAAGGCGTTAAAATCGTCCAAGGTGACGGCAATACACTCCCATGTCATTCCACCAAGCCCGTCATCTTCTATCTTGTTCTCGGCATTTTGGTCTTCATCGACCTCATCTGCGGGCTCAGCTTCACTCTCAACAGCCTCAGAGACCCTTCTGCGTTTGCTAGCTCTAGCTGCTGCCTTGGCCTTCTTGGAATTCTTCCTAGGTTTCGCAGCAGGAGGTGGAGGTGGTGGAGGGGGGTCGGTGCGGCGGTATAATCGATTGTCATCAAGGACGATGTACGTGCGATCATCCGAGTCCCATCCAAAGGGTTCAATGCGCTGTGCCAACACTATTAGCTGCGGCACATGGCGGATTTTAGCTATTAACCTACCCAAATTGTCTGCTCAGAATCCTTCTGTTCCTCCATTCTCTCTCGGATACGGTCCGGATTTCCCATTGTCCATTGAGTGAGCTGTTGTAAAACTCGGATCTAAGGTCATAACCTGTCAGTGGAACCTTGAATTCGTGGTTCGATTGGCACTATACCTTTGTAAAAGTATCAAAGCCATTAAAGTTTGCAGGATCCTCCTCCTCGCCAAATGGGTTGCGGAGAGGGGCTTTGGCCAGATACTGTCTTCGTGTGTATTCATCAAATATCTCAGGACTGTTTATGTTAGATATAGAACGATATAGAACGGAGAAGGGGTTTAGGGAGACCGACGTGAGACCTCTATGTGAAGAGACGAATTTAAGGAGTGCTAAGCCAATATCGGGGAGGATTGTTGAATTGGGCTTGAGGCATTCCATCTCTAGATCCTGCAATAACAGTATTAGTGAATAAACTTGTAGACTTGGCAATGAAGTGCCTAAGTAGTTCATGAAGCGGTTCGAGGAGTGATACCTCGATGTCCAAGTTCTCGTCGATTTTCACGGCCCTTCCAAAGGTGAAAATATATTGTGCAAGGTTTGCAAACTCCCACGTATTCCTGATGCGATCAAGCATACTTCGTTCCTTTGGAGGCTCGACATCCTCCATCTCCTGCCGGCCCCGCTTCCTGGAAGACACCATGGTGATGACCTCGCGGTGCGCAGCGGCGTACGTCGTGTCGCAATGCCGAGGCGCTATAGCGGGCGTGTGGTGGGTTTCTGTTCGGTATTGTATGCGGCAACAGCTCGAGTACTTCTGAGCAAGAGCACGGAAGCCAGAGTCAAAGTTGTGCGGATATTTGGGGTGAAGTGGACTTCCGATAAAAGCAGTTCGCGTTGGATCGACTTTGAAGCGACCGCGTCGTGATAAGTCACGCACGTGATGAGTGTGAATTGGATTGGGGCCAGATGATTGCAGGGATTACTTGAGCATTAATTACCCTCCGTATTGGTAAGGAAGGTAAGGCGGAAAACACTACAGTACGGTGCAGTGAGATAAATCGATAATTAAGATGTTATTATTTGCCAATAAAATAAATATCTTACGGGTACGGTACTTACATCTCAATAGCGTTTATATTAGTATTACTGCAAGTTTGGCTTTTCCTTTTATAGTATGTTGGTCCACTTCTCTAGTCCCGAAGGATACCTAGGTGCTGTATCTCCTGGTAAAACGGGACTGACCCCTGGTACTCCGGAGTAGGCAGACTGGGCGGATCTCGAATCTGCCTCGCCTTGTCCAATTCGAGACGAGACGTCGACATCTGTTACAGAATTTCCAACGACAATCGCCACGTCTGAAAGCCATTCTTTTTGCGACAAACTTCCAGCAACTCAGCCCAAGCTCCGCGCTGAGCAGCAAGTTAACTCTCGCTGATTCGAATCACGATGCGCTCTTTCACAATGTTTACGACTTAACGATTCCTTTTCGACGCGCGCCTTCTTCAACTTCCGAATCCGATAACTCTTCCTATACGATAATTCTAGAACACGCACGTACGACGATAATATAAGGACCTTTGGTTCACTGGCATTGCCACAATGCCTCCTCAAGGCTCACAAGAGCCTGCAAACTCCTCTACCCCTCCCCATTCAATACCTTTACGAGATCTCGCCCGCCCGCCGGATTCAGTAGACCTGGGAGATGGCCGGAGGCAACACAATCGGGGGAGGAGTCTTTTGGGCGGCGGCTCACGTCCTACAAGTGTTCAGAACAGCGGTCGATATGAGAGACTAGGCAATACGTCTCCCAGTCCTACTACTAGAGCCACCTATCGCGCTGGTGGTGTACCTCCGCTAGACATGAACGCAGATAGACTTGCCCGACCCTTTGAAGAAATTGAGACTCCTACATCTCCAGTTGGAAATCCTGCAGATTTTCAAGCCGCGATGGGTTTTGCGGGCCTCCTTGTGCCAGACATCAGCGTATCTCATGCTCCCCAAAGGTCGGATTCTCCATATGGATCTAGAGATTTTGATGGAGTGTCTCCTTATGGTGATCCTGGAGATGACCATAGGGGATACTTTGCATCAGAGTCGGATAGTATACCTCTGACCGACCCAAATCACCTACAACCAGTCAGTGGAACAGAAGCTTACTCTTCCGGAGGCCAACGACATGACAGATCCGGAAGCTTTCATAGCGTCAATTTTGATACGCCGGGACCTTCGAGACATAGAAGCTCTAGACTTGGAGATGAGCTTGGAGAGTCAGAAAATGGACTTTCACCTCATGGCGGCCGTTCGAGATCCCATAGCTATGGTGCTTCATTAAGCCCTGATGGACGGACGAGATCCCGGTCACCATCAACTACTTCCGGTGCTTTTATCAGAGCAAGCTCACAAATTGTAAGAGCCATGTCGCAGCGTGTTGTCAACATCAGCGGTGAAGCAGAGTTCATTGAAGACATGAGTGCTCGTCGGGAAGCACGCCGAGAGAGGCAGGCATCAAGACAGCCTAGTCTTCATAGCTTGTCAAGTCTTAGTGACGAATCTGAGTCCAGATTCCAGCCGAAGCATAAGGCAGATCCATTAGGCGCACGACCAAATCATAGAGCCAACCTCCCAACAGCACCGGTTGAAAAGGCCATGCGATTTGTAGGAGGAGCTCATCCAGAATCGTCTTGGGAAGAAGAGGAACCAGAAAGCCCACCAAATCCTCTCAAGGGCAATTCACTGCGATTTTTCTCTCCTGAGAGCCGAGTGAGGAACAAGTTATGTGACTTACTAGTATATCCTCTGACAGAACCCATTATTTTGATTCTCATCATGGTTCAGACCATTGTCCTTGCCGTCGACTCGTCGAGAAATGTCTTTCAACACCCTCGAAACAAGAAATGGGGCTCAAGTTGGATTGACAATGCGTTATTTGTGCTGTTCATCATCTTCACATTGGAACTTGCTGCTCGCATTATCGTCTCTGGATTTATCATGAATGCGCCGGAGTACAGCACAATCGCCCATAGACGGGGTGTGAGGGCTGTCGTTGTGGACAAATATCGTCAGGTCTTCGCACCCCAACGGCAGTCATCTATCCGAGAGTCTCGGCCTTCACCTGCTGTCAGTGCTCCTACCGTACTTCGCTCTTTCACTCAAATGCAATCAGAACAGATTAGAACCGTGGAGCAGGCCCAACGTCTTCAATTAGCCAGACGTGCATTCCTACGACATGGCTTCAATCGACTAGATTTTGTGGCGGTCGTAGCATTCTGGATCGCTTTTATTCTTTCAATTTCTCAGGTAGAGCATCACCAGCACCTGTATCTTTTCCGGATGTTGAGTTGCTTGCGAATCCTACGACTTCTAGCTCTTACCAATGGCACTGCGGTATGTTCCAGAATTCTTCTCTAATTTCTACAGCTGACAGGTATTAGATCATTCTTAGAAGTTTGAAAAAGGCAGCACCCTTGCTAGTCAATGTGTCGTTCCTAATTGGCTTCTTCTGGCTCCTATTTGCTATCATTGGCGTACAGAGCTTCAAATCTAGTTTTGATCGCCAGTGTGTTTGGGTCGACCCAACCGACCCTTTCAACACGACCGGCTCAGCATATATCCAAGTCTCACAATATTGTGGAGGTCAATTCAACCTTGAAAACGGAACTCATGATTCCTGGAGATATGGCCCTATAGATAGCCGAAACTCCGTCCACGATCTCAAACTTGGTACAAGTTCTAAAGGTTATTTGTGCCCAAGGGGCTCATACTGCCTTCAGCTTAGGCCCGAACAACTCCCATATAACGGAACAGTCACCTTTGATAATATTTTCCAGTCGTTGGAGTTGGTCTTTGTTGTAATGACAGCAAATACATTTACAGATCTTATGTATTACGCCACCGACTCAGACTATCTGGCGGCCGCGCTGTTCTTTGCTGGTGGTATCATGATAATGATGTTGTGGCTTCTCAACTTGTTGATTGCAGTCATCACGTCTTCTTTTCAGGTTATACGGGAAGAGGGTAAAGCTTCTGCGTTTGCTGCCCATGTAAAGAATATGCTACCAGCTCAGGACGCCCCATTACCTCGACGTCTTTCATCCTTGAAGGTTTCATTTGATAAGACTTATTGGTTCTGGATTATCGTGATTGCTTTTGACCTTACGTGCCAAGCATTGCGCTCTGCTCGCATGTCGCCTTCTCGCGGAAAATTCATCGACGACACTGAAGTCGTTGTGACACTAATCCTCTTGGTTGAAATAGTCATTCGATTCGTCGTTGACTGGCGAGGTTTTACAAGGGATAGGATAAATTGGATCGACCTGGTACTCGCTATCGTCACATCAGTCATCCTAATACCCGCCATTCGCAACTCTGGACAGCCTTATGCTTGGCTCACGGTTTTTCAGATACTCAGGATTTACCGCGTTATTATAGCAGTTCCTGTTACCCGCTCGCTGATCAGTCTTGTCCTTGGAAACGCTAGCGGTATAGGCAATCTTATGCTATTCGTCTTTTTGATAACTTTCCTCATTTCCATATTCGCCGTACAATTGTTTCGCGGCGAGATACCGGCGGAGGATGCGTACGGAAACGTCATACGAACTCCCTTCTTCACCATATATAATGCCTTTCTCGGCATGTATCAGATTTTGTCAAGCGAGAACTGGACGAACATTCTTTATGTTGTCACTTCCTATGAAGATTCCCGTAACATGGCATGGGTTGGTTCCGTATTCTTTATTGGATGGTTCATCCTCGCGAATTTCATCCTGGTAAATATGTTCATAGCTGTCATCCAGGAAAATTTCGATGTCTCCGAAGATGAAAAACGAATGCATCAGGTCAAGGCCTTCTTAAGCAGGAGGGAGCTAGGCAGCTCTTCTAACAACTTGTCGTTATCTGCAATATTTCGCTTTGGTCGTTCTAGAGCTACCAAGGACCCTTTAGACTATGGTCCCGCAACGATGGAAATGCTCTTGAAAGACGCTGTGGTGAAGGATTTCCTCGACGATGAGATTGGCCCGCCACAGCCAGCTACAGCAAATGCAGCGACCCCTCCTACCGACTTCCCTGTTGTCATTCTCCCAGGCATATTATCACGCACCTGGGGCAAGATCAAAGGAGGCATTTGGGGTCGAGAGCCGAATCCATTCTATTCGAATATACAGTTGTCAAACCGCCTCGACGAGACAATTGATGCTAGCACTATGGCTAAGGAAGCTGTTTCGGCAACATCGCAACGAAAAAAGGCCCAACGAGAATATTTGGTGCGACACCCGAATTACAACAACGCCATGTTTATATTCAGACCTAGGAATCCAATTCGGAAGTTTTGTCAGCGAATCGTTGGGCCAGGTCGTGGGGGTGAACGAATTGATGGCCTGGAGCCGAACAGGGCCGTCTGGTATGTTTTCTCCGCCATCATATACGCAGCCATCGTCGCCATGGTTTTACTTGCTTGCATCACCACCCCGCTCTACCAGCGAGAATATTTCTTGAAGCATAAATTCAGTGTTAAAAACTGGTTCGTCTGGACTGATATGGCCTTCACTATCATTTTTACAGTCGAGGCCCTTATCAAGGTAGTTGCAGACGGTTTCTTTTGGACCCCGAATGCTTACTTTAGAAGCACTTGGGGTTTGATCGATGGGATTGTCTTGATCACATTTTGGGTCAGTGTTATCACCTCATTAACGAACGATGGTGCCGTATCGAGAGCGGTAGGAGCAGTCAAAGCCCTACGTGCACTGAGATTACTCAATGTCAGCGATAGCGCCAGGGACACATTCCATTCTTTGATAATTGTTGGTGGATGGAAGGTCATTTCGGTAAGGCGCGCCCAGGCTCCTCAATTTGTGATTTTGCTGACTCAGTCCAAAGGCTGGCTTTGTCTCGATATCCCTGTTGATCCCATTTGCCATTTATGGTTTGAATCTTTTCAACGGGCAAATGCAATCATGCAATGACTCCAACGCTCCAGACTTTCTCTCGGACTGTTTTGGGGAGTGGAGTGCCACGCCCGCCAGTAACTCATGGCCATTACTAGCCCCTAGGGTTGTGTCAAATTCGTACTTTGACTTTGATAATTTTGGGGGCTCTCTATTGATCCTTTTTCAAATCGTCTCACAAGAAGGATGGGTAGATGTGATGTGGGCTGCTCAGTCAATCACAGGCCGGGGATTTCAACCTCAGAATTTCGCATCTCAAGGGAATTCCGTCTTCTTTATCATCTTCAACCTTCTCGCCACAGTCTTCGTTCTCACTTTATTCATTTCTGTGTTCATGCGAAATTACACAGAGCAGACAGGGGTGGCATTTCTTACTGCAGACCAACGGTCCTGGCTAGAATTACGCAAACTTCTCAGACAAGTATCGCCGTCGAAACGGCCTTCGAGCACGGGTGGTACTAAAATGAAAGCCTGGTGCTATAAAAGAGCTGTTAGGAAACATGGTCGATGGCAACAAGCGATGACAATAGTTCTCGTTCTTCACCTTATTCTGTTGCTGGTAGAATATTACCCAGAACCAGAATGGTGGGACAGGAGCAGAGACTACATATTCATTGCTTTTACAATGTTTTACCTGGCAAATGTCATCGTACGGATCATTGGACTCAGCTGGGCAAGATTTCGGCGCAGCTCATGGGATCTGTTCTCACTCTTCGCTGTCTCCGGAACACTCATCTCTTCAATCCTAGTCTTGACTAAAGAGACATCCCTTGTTTACGTTCAACTCCACAAGATGTTCTTGGTATCAATTGTCCTCCTCTTAATACCACGCAATGATGCATTGGATCAACTTTTCAAGACAGCGGCAGCTAGTTTGGCAGTTATTGGCAATCTTCTCGCCACCTGGTTTGTGTTCTTCCTGGTCTTCGCCATCGCCATGACACAAACTTTTGGACTTACCCGTTTCGGAAACGAAGAAAATAACAATATTAACTTCAGAACAGTGCCTAAGGCTCTAATCTTACTCTTTCGGATGAGTTGTGGTGAAGGCTGGAACCAGATCATGTCAGATTATGCCTCCATTCAACCACCACTTTGTGTCATCGGCGAGGACTTCTTCAGAAGTGATTGTGGCAGCGAATCGTGGGCTAGAGCTCTATTCATTCTCTGGAATATTCTTAGCATGTATATCTTCACCAGCTTGTTCGTGTCGCTCATATACGAGAGCTTCAGTTACGTATACCAACATTCGAGCGGGCTCGGGAAAGTGAGCAGAGAAGAGATTCGACGTTTCAAACAGGCATGGGCGATATTGGACCCCGATGGAACTGGTTTTATAACCAAAGAAGCCTTTCCTCGCCTTCTAGGCGAGCTTTCTGGTGTCTTCGAAATGCGAATATACAGCCATGAAAACTCGGTGCGCAGGATTTTGGAAGACATACAATCACAGCCAACCAGTGGCAGAATCAACTCAATGACAACACCTAGTGGGGCTAGTGGCGTGGACTTGAAAGCTTTGAACAAGAGACTGGCCGAAATCGACCCAAAACAGGTCAGACTCTCGAGAGCTCGGTACAATCTTTTCTTCGAAGAAGTCATGGTCTCTGCCGATGTTGACCGAGGAATATCGTTCACCACCGTCCTCATGATCTTAGCCCATTATAACGTTATCAGCGATAACAAGAGTTTAAAGTAAGTCTAGTTCTAAATTTGTTGGGGCAATCTAATATTTGAATAGGCTTGAAGAATTTTTACGTCGCCGGGCACGCTTACAGCGAGTAGAGGAAGAGGTCCGCAGGCGCATTGTCCTCGGCTTCTTCGATACTATGTGAGTCACAAACGCACGAGTCTTGTCCTATACTGACTGTTGAAAAGGTACTGGTCTAGGAGGTTCAGGAAGCATCTTGAGAAGAAGCGATCTGGACGCATGACAGATATTCCGCAACTTGGTCCAGAGGTCTATGTCGATGATGAGGACGACATTGGGAAACAACCGAGGAAGACAGTATCACCTCTATTGTCGCCAATGGATATCAGCGGCCCTCGCAGTTCCTTCATCACCCATGGACTTGATGCTGTTGGCCCAGCACCACAGCCGACACCTAACTTTTACGGCGGCCCCCCTTCGCCCAGCAGAATACCTCCACAGCTCTCACCCCACCGAGCAACGAATTCGGCTTTCAGCTTGGAGAGCGGAGATCCTGCTGGTGGAGCATCTGCAGGGAGCAGCAGGCGCGGCAGCAATGTCAGTGCCGAAAACGTGCTCGAAGTTCTTGATAATTCGGCTTGGGGGGAGAGTATCAGGCGCAGTTTCACAATGAGACGACCACAAGCAAACCGTAGGGGAACAGGTTCTTAATAGGAAGCAAAGGCTTCGGTATAGTTCAAATGACGATGTGATAAACGAGGGAGGGTGTGCATGTGGAAACAGGAAACGGTGGGGCTGTTTACCTAGATTTGGATTTGGATCAACCGTGCGGGTTGCAGCATTTTGTTTGGGAGGGGCAGGGACGGCGTTTGATGGATTCACGAACGCATCACGACTTTTGTTTCGGACTCTCGATTCTTCCCACTGTACGATGTAAATATGTGGGGCAGGGGCTCCGATCGCCGATGGCTCATTAAATGGCTATGCGATATATATGGTGCTCGCAGCTGGATAAAGGCGCAGGATATGGTAGAATGTTTCTTTCATTATTAAACAAGCATAGCCAAGGAGTCTTGATACTGTAGCCATAAAGGGGAGCATTGTTGCTTCCCATAGATAATAATACGTTTGAAACAAGCACAAGAAGGTTCAATGTGCCTGAAACCCTTCATCGCACAGGAGTCATTATTTCGCAGCATATTTGAGCCCACATCTTCCAGCTGACCGTTGGAATATCTAACCTAGGACAATTAAACCACTGTAATGGATTTTCTGCAGCCCGATGGGTCGGAGCCTCAGCTTTTTGAAATAGTCACTCGGTTCTAAGCTGGGCGTGTGAGTATTTGAATCTGCAACATCTGGTGACATTTGAGCGAGTTCATCACGAACCTTGGCTGCGGTATCAATCCCTTACCTGCCCCTGTCCTAGAATTTGTGGGACTTAGCCTGATACAGCCGATAAGGGGCGTTGGTGGGGAGGTGGAGCAGAGGATCTTCTGGCATGAAACTCGTCGCAAGCGTGATCTCGGATCCTCTATCAAAATTCGAGAACGGGACAGGCTCTCTTGTTTGATAAACACATGGCCAGTGGAGTCACCATGGATCTTCTCAAAATCGCATAGTTTGAGATGTGGTGAGCTCTCGTGTGGTCAGATCTTTGCTGAGCCTGTCCAACAGAGGAGGTTTGGCTCTGAGGAATGATTTGTGTGAGCATGTCTCGGGTTTCGTTGATCCTTTGGCTGGTAGATCTCACGAAGTTGCCCTGCAGTGAGTGCGGTCGGTATTAGCATTGGCAGTCAATCACCGAAGGAGGGAGGGCTGGCATTATTAGATTCGCATGGAGAAATGGGTCTGGGGAGGAGAGGCCAATATCGAGGTCGCCCTTGGTGGAGTGGAGTGGTCGTCATCCAGGCTGCGTGTCCTGGCGTGGCGTGGCGTGCCAATAGACTGGCACCCTCTAAACGGTACCTTACAGCACATCAACTAACTACCCCCTACCTACCCTGTATCCTTCCCTTCCTACACCTTTCCCTCTCCGGCCTCTCTCCCACCTGTTTGTAACACGGCTCACACCCGAAGAAGCCACCAAGGAGCAGAAGGCAGGCAGAATGCATTAATATCTGCAACTTGCTCATAATTATTGCATTCTCCTCCCCTTCTCGTCGGCCCCTTCGTACCCCTCTGTATCCCAATCCCTGACAATCTCCCTTCTTCCCAAACTCCCTTTCTATTTTCAGGCCCGCAGGGGAAGTCCTAGCGTGGCGAACAAGTTCCCACTTAAGAACCGAGTGCTCCGACTTCAGCTTGATTGTTCTTCAATTTACTGTCGGATCCAGTAGTGTTCGCATAATTATCCTCTCTCCCTCGAGCAAGTTGCATTGTCAAAGTCTAAAAGACTCGTCACTCATTCAGTTACTCTGCGTACCCCCAAACCTATACTCATAATCATCTCGAGGCTGCGCCATCGATCCACTGCAATTCTGCATTTATACAATTACACTTCTTCGAATTCCAATCGACCTTTGTTTTTACGATATACCCCTCGAACTTGTTTACTTTTGAAAATATTCCAAGTTCAGTCCTCGTCCGGTATCCTAGCTTCCATATTCTCTTCACCCACTTCAAACTACAACTTCATCAGTCAATATGCGGACCACACGTTTCCAGTCTCTCTCTTTCTCCAGCATTCGAACCTCCTTCCGCAGCTCTAGGTCAGCATCTGAAAGCTCCATGGTTTCGAGCCACCGGAACTCATATGCTTCCAACACTTCGTCACCTGTCAACACTATCAATTCCATCATGCACCGACAACCACCAATGGTAGATATGGAGGAGGAAAAGAGGACCTTTGGCTCTGGGTTAGACGTCTTGGAGCCTCGTCCTATCGTCTACTGGGGTGGCATGGAAGAGAGAATGCAGTCCTTTTAAAGGGAAGGAACGACGATGTGTATGGCACGAAAATGGAAAGCGTAGGACTGGCAAGGCATGTCGGACTCATGGGGTTTTGGGTATTCGAGGACACTACGACAGGATCGAGTTCAATTATGATGGCGTCTATATGAATATCATGGCTTTGAATATATGGGAAGGCTTCTTTAGGGTTATGATGGCGAACGGGAGTCTGATTTTGATGACTGGCATTCCAGGAAGTTTTGTACTGCAACGTTGTGCTACAAGAACGAGGCAAGAAAATTGGTAGAAACTCAACATTAGCAAAGAATCGTTCTTTCAAACTTCCGAAGAAGTATATCATGAACAAAATGCCTTTTGAGAAGTGATACCAGTTCCCGGAAAGTGGGGTCCAAATTCGCAGGCAATTTCTAGGCAGGAGTGTAGTGTTCACCGCCTTAGTGGCCGGCTATCGCAACGTGACGTGACATATAGGTCTAGTTCTCGCAAGCTCATATAGTTCAGCCCATGATGTTTTCTTGGTGTGATTACGAGGGCCAACCTCAAGAGCAGAGGAAACATGTCTCTTCTCGAGGGCACAGAGCTTGAAATTGCGACAGGGGAAGATGTCCAAAGTGACCGAACTTCGGCTTCCATTGAACCACTATCGGATCCTCATCAAAATGGCATGACGAGGTCTCAAGCTTGGAATCTATATACTTCACATTTCCTCTCAACAGGGAATATCAGGACCTATGTCAGTTCATAAAAAACTCCCATTCTTTTTCGAACAGGGTGTAGTGTAGGACAAATTGCTAATTCTTTCGCAACAGGAATTTGCAGCTGTGAGAAAACTCGCCCTCTTAGAACGAGCGACCAGGCTAATCATTGTAGATTATTTTCACGGCAGCTACATATCCAGACACGCTCATAGCTTCCTCAATCCGGTAAGCTCCCCCTCGTTCCTTCCACATGAGAATGTTTTATGTCACGTGAGAGTATTCGACTGATGATGTCTCTTCCAGGGGCATTGTGAGAACACTCGCATCGATATGCTTTGCTTCTATTGTAGGAAGATGGGTTGACCATGCCCCCCATCGCTTGAAGACACTTTCGAGCACAATATCCGTCAATAGGATCTCTGTCATTAGCGCTTCAGCCCTCTGGTTCTTCATGGTTAGGTCTAGAAGCGCAACTCAGGGCTCACTTCAGTCAACCTCTTCGATCACTCAAGCAATGTTCGGTCTCATTCTATTTCTAGAAGTTCTTGAATCTCTCAGTGCTAGTGGCAATATGCTTTCAATGGAGCGGGATTTCGTGGTCACTGCTGCTGATCCAGATGGTCAATCCTATGACTTGACTCATCTGAACTCAGTGATGAGGAGAATTGATCTAATTTGCAAGCTTATTGCCCCTATTCTCATTTCAGTCATTGTGTCAGCGACGAGCGTCCAAATCGGCGTGTTCGTTGTTGGTGCTATGAGTACTGCAAGCTGGGTAGTTGAACTGCTATGTGCGAAGAGAGTCTGGGATCTTAATCCACGATTGAGAGTCTTGAAAACGATAGAAATTGGGGTCTCAAATACCGTGTCTCCGAGTCTCCCTCCATCCAGCTCTCGTCATAAGATCTCTCAGGCACTACGTCGTTACGGGCAGGATTTCGAAAACTACTTCTCCTCAGAGGTCTGGATTCCCTCAATGTCGCTCTCTTTTCTCCACATCTCAGTCCTTACCTATAGCGCCACGTTTATGACCTTCCTACTGAACGCTGGCTTCTCTTTGGATTTGATTACCATTGCACGGGCAGCTGGAAGTGTTGTTGAGATCAGCAGTACGGTGGTAACACCCATCGGTATCCATTACCTCTCAAAAACTAAGGGTCGTGGGCGAATCCGGGGTGTGGTTACCAGAGCGAACGAGGATTCTGAAGATTCAGGTGTAGGACTACTGGAAAGATTCCCTGAGCAACAAACAGCAACCGAGACAGGGCTCGAGCGATTGGGACTTTGGGGAATCTCATGGCAGCTACTGAATTTAGTAAGTACACACATAGTCTTATCCTGCCCTCGGACACAGAAGCTGATGCCCTTTTTCAGGTACCCGTCGTATTCGCTCTATGGTCTCTGTCGCCGGACACCACCACAACGACCACCTTATCAGCCATCGTGTCCCGGATCCTGGGCCCCATCGCATCTCAACCCCTCCTCGCTTTCACACTATTCTTCTTTCTCTCCATATCCCGTCTCGGCCTCTGGATCTTCGACTTAACTACCCAGCAACTGACCCAGACCATGAACCCGACCTCCCAGCGCTCCTCTTTCACAGGCGTAGAATACAGCTTCGTGTCGCTCTTCGGGTTGGCACAACATATTGTTGCTATTGTGCTGCACAGGCCGGAACAGTTCAAATGGATCGCGCTAATGAGCTTGGGCGCTACGGCGATAAGTACGGTGGCTCATGCAGGCTGGGTTTGGAAGATGAGAGGCCATCTTGTCCATTGGGATCGTATTGGAAAGGGGTGTGAATGTGTGAAGGTTAGACTTAGACAGGTGAGATAAGGTATTGATTGGGTGGTGGTGTGAGTTTCCTTTTGGATCCTAAGAGGGTCAAATAAATAACCTAATTACGTAGAGAGAACCACTACAAGTCTTTTCTCGAGTCTCCCCTTGCGTTAGACAAGCTGTTTGACTATGATGGTAGTTTCAGCTTCTTGTGAGCATAGTCGGTCCTCAATGTCACACCCAAGTCGGGAATTATTCCCCTACCTGTTTAATGGTATTTGATTGTTACAACTCTTATCACATGATGGTTTTTTTTTTTTTGTGCAGTAGCCACGTTCCAATTCATGACTTTGTTTACTCTTACTTCGTTGTGGAAGGTGGATAATGTGCAGAGGTGCGACGCCGCTTCTTCACAGCATACAAACTACCCACTCATCATGACTCTGCTAATACTTAACCTTGAGCAAAGGAGTGAATTCAAGTCGAATATCTGGGAAGAGGTATCAGGGTTTGTGGATGTATATAGCGTAGTGTTTAACATAAATTACTGTTTAGCATTGCTTTTGCATCTCATCTTGAAGTATGCTATGTATATAACATAATAAAAATCATGGAGTATTATCCTTAGGTTGCTCCTGATGTCAAATGTGAAGAGTATAGGTAAGAGTGGCAGCATTAACTACGGACTGTTCTCCTAGTACGAAGAGCAAACTCACTTGCACGTTGTAACGTGTATTTTGGGGAATCACTCATCGCTCTTGTGAATCATTGTTGGTCTTCCATTCAATCGCCTGGAATCACTGGAATGGATTATTGTACCTTTTGTACGTCACACTCGGCAGCGCTACAAAAGGCAGCAAACCTCCAGATAAATATCTACTAGGATAAGTCTTTTCCAAACCATACTCTGAAGCATTCCATTGTGCCCGTCCTGCCTTCACCACACTCAAGTGTACTTCTAAGCAGTGGTGCCAACTGTCTAGAATTCAATTCATCGAGGCTCCATGGCTACGTCAACGGTCAACACAATTCCTGCGTCCTACATAGACCGCTCAATAACCATTGACTGGGACGGTAAACCACTTACTTGGCGTCCTCGCGACAACCTTCCACCGCCTCCACAGTCAACATTAAACCTCCAAACTCCCGCAACAAAGCAAAAGCAAAAGGAAACAAATAGAGATCGAATACGAAAGCTTATCCGGAAGATCATGGAAACACTGCATATAAGAAGTCCCCGACGCGGGGGCACGAAAGTGATAGTCACCGGGGGTACTCCGCCGCAGAGACAGTCATTTTTCTCGAACTGGATGACTGGGCCCGGGACTTCTGCCAACAGTAAGAGCCCGCCGCATAGAGATTTTTCACGAGAAAGCACATATGCTAGCCAGGAAGCAAAGAAAGGAGGAGCCCCACATTCTTATACGTTTGGTTGTCAGGGCTGCACTATGCTGGGAGCCAGACATGACCACGGTATATGCACTCGTTCATCGAATGTAGGTGAATGTCCGGTGGTCGAGGTAAAATCTTCTATTGCGTGTCTGAAGGGGAAGAATGCTTCAACCACATGTCTAAATCCTCTTAACGGCCCCAAGTCCCAGCAGGCACAAGCGCTGCTTGCCCGCTCAGAGGAAGCTATTTCCGAGCAACAATTCTTAGGTCCTCTGGAGTTTGAGGAGGACTTCTACACCCAAGTCGAAGAATATTTGGACATCATTGAGGAGGGCCCTGACGCATCGCTCGTAAACCCCACTGCCCAAGACAGCTCAACCTTCTCATTAGGAGGGATAGTAGTCCCCGCATCAACTATTCCTCCAAAAAGGGACAAAGCCGCCGATTCACGATCTCGGTGGAGATTCATACCCAGTGTCGATAGAATCTCCGAAAAGAGTAACGAGTTTGCTGAACATGAAGACATCCCACACTATACACCGTTCCGAACCTCCAGCAAGAGACAAGAGGGTGTCTTTGGCCCACAGAGTTCACCAACATCAGATATTGTCTGCCCGCCTAACTCGAGGTTAAACTCCCCTGAAAGTTTAGAAGCGCAGCGACATCCAGGAACGATCCCAGGAGCAAGTTCGTTCGAAGACATCGACGTTGTCGATTTCGATCTTCCTAGTCTGGAATATCCTCAAACAATCCCACAACCAATCACATCCCGAATTTCCGAGCTTCGTGAGGAGATGAACTCATGCTTTATAAGTCTGTGTTCGTATCCGCCTCCCTCTGACGCACCAAATGGGCCACCAATTTCAACTTTGGCTAAACCTATGATAAACTCGCAGTCTTTTGAAGATATTGATGAGTACCTTAAGAAGCATCGGAGTCTAAGTATATGTTCAATGGACTCTCGTTACACCAACGATCCGTCAAAATCGCTTCTGTTCGAGAAGTCATTTGACATGGGAAGCCCTCCCTCAGGACTGGATTTTTACGAGTTCGGTAGATCTGGTAAATTATCAGCGACTGTTCAATACAATTCCGATGACGAAGAGAGGCCTTCGATTCCGGGGTCTTTTACAATGGCTTCTCCGTCGAGAATCAGAGCAGAGCTGTTGCAGTGGGAGTTAGCTAAGAACAACAAGGAATGTGGGGGGTACCAGTCCTTCGAGAACATCGATGATATAATGGCGAGGCCAGAAACTGCCATAGAGAGATCACTGTCAGAAGCTTCTTTAGACCAGAGCATTGATTTAGAGACAAGTTCAGCGCCAATACCAATTCCAGGACCTCGTACATTCCCAACATCCCACGACCCAATGACATCTTGGGAGCCTCTCTTCTCAGCGACACCACCGATGCCAGGTTCATGGCCCTCACCCTCTCCATCGATACCTATAGACCCACTGCCGCCGCCAAATTTCCCCTCATCTTTATCAAACAGTTGGCAGGAACTACCCTTCTCATTGATGGAACCATCATCATCAGTCCACCTCCGCGGAGGAGGTGGAGGCAGTGCCATATGCCTCTTGCACGCAAAGAAATACGTGCCCAATATCGAGAACGGGAGAAGGCTGCTGGACAAGAAGATAAGCGGTTGTGACAGTTACTTCGCTTTGGGTTGGGGCAAAGGTATGACGCACCGGGAATTTATCATTATGATGGAGAAGAGAGCTGACCGGGAAAAGGAGATTGAGCAAGAGGAGCAAGAAAAAGCCGAAGCGGAGAAGAAGAGGAAAGCTGAGGCAGGGGAGAGTGCTTTCACGGGGGTGGTTAATAAGGTGAAGGCGGTTTTTGGAAAAAAGGGAAAGAAGGAGCCTGTGCCCGGTAATGCACCCGGGGGTGTTGGTGCTGCAGTCTGAATCTACAGGAGTGAATGTATGTTTGTTCTAGACTCGCCGGACATTATTTTTGAAAAGCTTTGATGGGGACGGTAGACAAAAATTGCATTTTATTGGGGCTTCGAGAATGGATTTCCAGCGCAGCTATTGCGCCAGAATTAGCAACGAATATCATTTAATCATCAGCTGTCTTCTTGCTCAAAGTCGGACTGCAGCTCAGGAATTGGGATTGTTAATGTCTTGCAGGTTTAGGTACTCGTGTTCAGGGTGGGCAAACTCCGCTGACTCAGAATTAGCGGTGAGGTACGACACGTATATGCATGCGAAGAGAATCATCGTGAATTGTGACAGCTGTGCACCGAGTACCGACTTGGTAATGCCGTGTGTGCAGTGAACAATGACTCCTATGTGTACACAGAGTGCGACGAAACTCGGACAGAAATAAGGATTCGTCGGTGCCCAAATACTTTGTATAAAGCTACTCGTACGAGTGAGAGTACTCAGTCCCCTGAAAGCCGCGCCCCGCCCCCTGGCTGTCTCGGCTAAACAGGTGCGATAAGGAGGTTCGTTGCCGTGTCCACTATCAGATGTAAATATGGTTTGCATTGGAGCTGCAGGTGCGCCCACGAATTATCGTCTTCCACACACCACCATCAAGCAAGAAAGAAAGACACAAGAATCCAGACACTTCCCCAAGATCCGAAAGATTAATAATTCAGGTCCAATCTTCATGCAACGCTAATCGCGCTCGAGTGCATCCCCGAGCAAGGTCGTGGTCGTGTCAGTAGTGGAGCTGCACATTCTGAGGAGGTTGGGCGGGAGGCTGGTAAAGAGGCATTAATCTCAACCACCCTCTTTTAAGTGCATCACAATCCTATCTTCCCCTCCATTCCTCATACACATACACACACACATACATTCCGGAAAACCTTTTTATTCTGACATTTTTCTGACTCGCGGTGTTGTCGCAATTGATTGTTGACATTAGGGTTTCCGAATACACTCGTTTGTTTGAAGCTGCGCATTGTTGGTGGGAGCGGGGTTCATCAGGTTCTTCACCGCTGCGATACAAGAAGAACGACCTCGACGCTGCCAAACATCTTTCAATCCGAAATCGCCATCCTTGACTGGCACAATGCGGTTTTCTCAAGCACCTTCGACTCTCCTCTCACTTCTCTTCATCGCCTTGTCTAATATCGACAACGCTCAAGCATGGCCATTATTAGGAGAGTTAGATTTCTCCTTCTTGCAAGGTAGAGAGACTTGCGCTTCTTACTGCGGCGCCGATAGTCAATTCTGCTGTACAGCAGGACAAGCTTGTACCACAGACCAACAAAACGTCGCTGCCTGTGTAGCTGCCACAAGCGTTGCGGTAGCGACAGGTGCAAACGGAATTCCAATTTACACTACCACCTGGACCGAGACCGACCTTCTCACAAAGACAAGCACAGCATACAGCTATCCTGCTACATCAGCTACAACTGTAGCTCCTGCCGCAGCTATATGCACCACCAGCTTAGGGCAAACTTCATGTGGCACTATCTGTTGTGCCAGCGGCCAGGTATGCGCGGCTGCGAATTCATGTTCAGCCTATGCCTCTAGCTGGACATATTTCCAAACTACCTCGGAAGCAGCAAGTTCTTCCTACTCTGCACCTCTGCGACCAACCAGCGCTGGAGTCTCGACAGCGACATCGGTTGTCTCTGCAACCACTACTCAGCCATTCGTATCCCCTGCCACTGCCAGCGGAAGCTCACTTCCCATCACTTCGAGCAGCAGCAGTAATGGTCTGAGTCCAGGAGCAATTGCAGGAATCGTCATTGGTACCATCGCGGGTATCATTCTCCTGATCCTCATCTGCTTCTGCTGCATCGTGAGAGCCGGATTTTCAGGACTCCTCGCACTCTTCGGCCTGGGCAAGAGTCGACGCAGATCTACCGAAAGGGTAGAAACAGTAGAGCGGTACTCGAGACATGGAAGCGGAACTGCGGCTTCAAGGAGAGATGCACATACTGGCTGGTTCGGCATGGGGGGCAGAGCGAAGCCCGCCAGTAGCAGAATCGTCTCGGAAAAGAACAGGAAGAAATCAGGCGGCTTTGGTGGTATGGGGGCTGTCGGTGCGGGATTGATCGGTCTGGCTGTTATATTAGGATTGAAGAGGAAGCATGACAAGAAGTCGGTGCAATCGCATCACCATTCGTCGGATGTGAGTAGCGGGTATTATACGGAAACCTCCTACACAGGGACTAGCGCAAGTAAGTAAAAGCTGCTCCAGACAATCAGGGACTCGATTTTAACAACTCTATAGGCAGCGCAAGTTCAGACGATAGAAGAACGAGAGATACAAGGCACAGTCGACCCTCCGGGAGCAGACGCTAGTTGTGTGTATTTCGATATGAAAATAATTTGATATTTTACATTGCATGGGTGGTAGCGATCTTTTAGGAGTTTGGGGATTGGAAAACAAGGAGGATATTCCGTATAGAGGTTGGAAGCCGACATACCGATATACCAAAGTTTGTAAATGAAGGGATGATTTTAGGAGGAAAGGAAGAATGATGAGATGCGAAATGTGGATATGTACTTATAGCTTGCATAGGGGGTGTAATTATTCATCTGGAATGCAGACTACCATGGCAACTATACACATTCTTAAAGGAGGTTGGTGACTGAGATGCCCTTGCTAGCCAATCGTACAGCCTCAAAATTAAAACCCGCATTCAGGCCGATCCGTAAAACTGCGAGGTCGTGAGTTGCCATGCGTTGGGGTATCAATTAGTGGTGTGGCATAATTCAATTACTGCGCTTCAATTCAAACTCAAGCGCTCCAATGCATGCATGGGACACAGGTGTTTGGCAAGATTTTCATTCTGGTCCTCTCGCTAGGTAACATGCAAAGCAACCTTTATGCTCCCCCAGAGACGTCAGGAAAAGAAAACAATCGTTGCTGGATCCGCTCATTCTTCCTCAATGTTACCCTTCTCCGAAACGTACAGACCGTCCAAAAACTAAATAAAGGGAATCAGCATTTCACTCCAGGTAGATTACAGGTTATAGCGCGGGGAAGAATCTTATTCTTACCTTCCGGATATCCTTGTTTCGCACTCTGCAGATTTGTTGAATGTCGGCGGCGCTCTGTGAAACACCCTCGAGCGAGTTTCCGTACAACTGCAGCTCGTCCTTCTGGTTCTTTGATGCCTCGACATCGACACCTGGTTGCATGATGACTCTGCGGACAATCTTCTCACCGATGAAGTTTCTATAGCACTTCCCGTCAGCATTTCGCCCTTGTTTCTCATTCACTCTTCTGCCCATGAAAGCCAAACCCCATCCCAATCCAACTTTCCAGATTTTGCAGTATAAACGTACCGGATCTCAACCTCGAACAAGCCAGTCTCGCCGTTCTTCTCCACGTTGACGTTGATGGGGAAATGTGCGTAGACATATCTCATCTTGTACTTGAAGCCCTTGGTGACACCAATGATCAAGTTGTTGATCAGGGTACGGACTGTGCGGAGAGTGGCGACGTTCTTTCGGGCACCGTGGTGCAGCTCGATGTTGATGACATCCTTCTTTGGGTGCGAGAAGTTGACGGCCAGATGGTTGAGGTTCTTTGTGAGCTTGCCTATTAAGTAAATTCCTCCGTCAGCCCCTCTTCCTCCCTGTCATTCAGCTTCGGTTGTTCCATACCTCGTGGTCCTTCGACGGTGACAAGTCTGGACTTGATGGTGACCTTGACTATTGCGCAAAGCTGGTCAGCAATTATTCTCCTATTCCTACTCCTGCTTTCCCCATCCCATGCGCGCCCCAGTTCCTGCGCTCTGCCTCCATCTCTGCCTCCAACTTCAACGGGGGAGCAATTGTACTCACCACCCTCGGGGACGGTCAAGGTCTCGTTGGAATGAATGTATCTCATTTTGGACCTTCCTTTTGTCGTAGATGGCGAGGGGAAGAAAGTTAAATCGGTTGTCGTCGCGCTGGTTATTTTGTCGAGATGTGAAATTTCGATGTGTGGGCGGGTTCTTAGCGATTAGAGACTAAGCCAAATTAAGCAAGGTGCGATCTTTGTTCACCGTAACCGTACCTCACCTTCAACCACTTTAATCTTGGACAGAATTTTATTTCTTCTCAATAATATATGCCGTTCAACAATAATGATGGAATGGTCATCCCTATTTGTCATCAAAGCGCAGAGCCTGTTGACAGCTTTATCTCCAAATTTACAATATGAGGCGTTTTACACATGCGCTAGTGGAAGGAAGGAAATACAAATTTGAATTGAGAGAGGAGAATTGCTTTGATGAAAATGGATTCATATGGAGAACAATCGAGCTTGAGAGCGCCTGTCATGGTAGCTATATCACATAATTATATTTCCATCTAATCGACCAGCAAATTGGATAGCGAGGTCTTACTGAGTGTTGTGGGCATTACTCATGTTCTCTTATACTTGACTATCAGATTGATCGTATTGTCTATCGTCAGGGGGGGCTCCTGGAGTACATATTTTCGTTCAGCAAAGCCTGTCAGGGTCGATCTTAATGCACATATGAATCACGGCTTTGTATGCTTCTTGATCTGAATCTCAGAGACGGGATTCGGAAGATCTAGAATTGCATTGGCATTTATTCATGGGTATCCGCTATTTGGATTCTTGAACAAGCAAAACTTTTCCATATATCCCTATAAAGTCTTTCCCTTGCAACAACCCTACGCCTTTATAACCTATCAAATGTACTCAAATAGCCCTCTCGGCATAGCTCTTGATCATGCCCTCCAAGGATGGCTCATATTCTACCAGAGAAACTTTGCCAGTCGCCTCGTCGAGGACGGTATTTGCCTGGACGAACACCTTTCTTGGCTGCTTATTCCTAAGAACCTCATTTCTAATCTTCTCGCCCCAGAATTCGGGTTCTACGTGGGTCATATCATTGTAGAACTTGGTTCCCGTCTCCACATCAGCAGTCGACTTGTAGATATGCAACTTCTGAAGATAAGCCTCAACTGCCTTGCGTCCAGCGGTTAGAATCTTGCTGCGATCAAGCTTGATTGTCAAGTCCGAAAGATCGTCGTTCTTGTAATCCAGTTTGCAGAACGGTTCTGACGATTCTAAGAAGCACTTCAAGATACTGAAGCGCGCTTGAGAATGTGCTTGACCCCATTTGCGGCTTTTTGGATCCCACATCTCGAGAGATGCAATTCCCGCTCGGGCCATGGATAGGTATGCAGCGTAAAGGACGTCTCCAGCCTCTCCATCCATGTTAGTTGTTCCATCTCCGAAGCCGAATATCTTCAAGATCTCGAAATCACAACTCAACGCCATGGCTACGCATTCGGCTCTGCATTCCTCATAACTGGAAGCAACAGTTCCGAACACAGAGCCCCAGGTTTGGCCTGGTTTGTACCACTAAAGCACGGAAGAGTCAGTTATTTCCTCTTCAAGAGTGTTTTGAGAGCAGAAGAAGAGCCAATTATCCTTACAGTAGTTACTGGCTTGTTGGTGACAGGACTAATTGGAGGCGAAGCTGTATCGAAGTTGTATTTTCCTTTGGACGTCTCCTGAAGAAGTTTTCCGGTCCCGTGGCCGAGAAGTTCGTGAATGCCAACCTGCACTTCGAAGGCAGCATCGCGGTACTTTTGATAAATTGGAAGATCTGCATCAGCGATGAAGGGAATCTTCTCATTTGGTGCCTTGGCACTGAGGACGTTTCCTAGAGATACGTTCTTGAACCCCTCGGATTGTCGAATATCGTCGTAATTTGGCTGCGTTTCATTAGTTTGCTGCGGTAGTAGACGAGTTTAGAAAGCCTACAATGTTAATCCCAGCAGGGATACCAGAGCCCGCGAATGACAAAACCTCCAAGCTGGTGAAATCAGGGCTCAAGAACTTGTCTTTCTCGAAGTCCGTAGACCATGGAAGCTTTGGGATCATACTTTCGGCAGCATCAACGAGCGATCCAAACGCGCGGGTACGCTCGAGATTGACCATGGCGGCGAAACCTGCGAGCCAGTCAGAAATCAATACTAAATGACACCCAAACGCAGAGCACTATATACCTTCCCATTCGCCCTTGACACCCTGCGGATCCCTATATGTCTCAACGAAGCCGATATTTGACTCAACCATTGGGCCCTTATCACGGATCCAGTATCTTTGGGCGTCTTTGAATGCCTTGAGAGAGCCGGTTTGAAAACTCTCTGCATACGCCAATTGCATTTTATTTTGATTGTCGTTTTCGGCATTTTCAGCAGCCTTCTTGTGATAGCCTGCGATAATACCCATCTCCTTAGAGTAGTCACCATAGACTAGCTTCAATTTATGACCCTTCAATGAACCTGTGTCGATCTCGAATTCGGTCTCTTTTCCAATATCACCGCCTTCCGGTGGGACTTCTGTAACTGCAGATGCAATCAGTAGGTCAAAGTTGCCGTCGGCATATTTTCTAAGTCGAGTGTTTTCCTGCGAGACTTTAGCAAGGTCCTGTACATAGAGTCGCCAGTAGAGGTCCTCATTCACGAACCGGAAGGAGTCCCTTCTTTTCTAAGAACTCAGAAACAGCATTGATATCCGCCTTTGTAATGCCCTTAGAATCGGGATAGTACTGCAGTGGATCGAGTCGTCAGTATCAATCACTGAAGGAGTAAACCTTGAAAGTAAAAGTTTCGGGATATGTGAGACATTTTTAGGCATCACTCACCGTTGTCATATGCCCCTCGTCAGGAAATCCTAGGTGCATGATTCCTGAGTTATTGTTGGAGAAAATTGCACCATTGGTAGCCTTGTAATGGCTGGATGCCTTTGGAGAGATAGCGGCTAACGCATCGAACACCCTCTCCTCACATCTCGGCACAAACTTGGAATCTCCGAAGCCTTTGTAATTGCCACAATTACCCAAGAATTGTGTAGCATATTGCAAGAAGAACTGCAAGTCTTCATCGTTAATACCGGCTTTCTGTTGAATGGCCTTCCAGTCGCCGTTCGAGGACTTGTAGAGCTCGATTATGAAGTCAAAGATGCTTTCAGATTCCGGCGACACCTGGCGGAGAGTGATACGGGTACCAGTAAAGGCAGCTCTTTAGAGGCACGAATTAGTTACTGGAGGATGTCTGACAGTATGGGATATTCAACCTGCTGATAAAGTGGGCATAACGAGCCTGTTTGTCCGACAAGGCCTCAAAATGGGGTTTTATCTCTAGGGTAACTGCGCTTGGAGGTGAGTCCGCAAGGAAGTTCTTGAGCTCTGCTGCGTTCATTGTGAGATGTCTTTGGATAGTTGAGAGTCGATTTAGGGAAGTTGGCGAGGTTGTCATGACACGTCGAAGGAGGGGAGTTTGACTAGGTAGGTGGCATGCATTTGTTGACCGCCCCGCGAGGCTGAGAAGGCGGGGTCTCGCTGCTGCCCAATGAGGTAAGAATACATTTGCACAAGGTCTTAGCCTCCATAGTGACATTGCAGGGGATTTCAGAAAGTTGATAGAAAATTGTTTCTTTTTGTCTCTAACTTATATCCATTGGCTATATTACACGGACCATGTAGCATGCTTAATTTTTCTAAATTACTAGGGGAAGGGGGGGGGTGCGGGGGGGTCAACGTCCTTTGGGTTTCCTTTTAATATCTCATTCGAGACAAGTCATTCGGGATAATTCTTGTTAGTATTTCTTGTCCATCCTCGCAGCATTCACTAAGTGGTTGGCACTGATAGTCATATTAGACAGATTCTCTAGTTTTGAAATCAATACACTAGTCATAGTATAGCCAGAGCAAGTCTAGGTATTGGTTGACAATCCAAAGGCACTACGATTCGTAGGGACTGCAGTTTCAATTTGAACCAAAGGTCAAAGCACAAGCATCCCTAGATCTATCCTTGAAGTCTCATCGTGGGCATTGGAATAGGCGCTTGAAGAAGATATTCCAGTACTAATTCGGCCTTTCTGGTATCGCTGTGAGCCTTATAGAGACTTGGATAGACCTGAATTCCAGAACGCCACGCGAAGCCCCCACTCAGAGAAGGGTATCTGATCTAGCTGCTCTTAGTTGCTCGATCATGCTGTAATATCCACTCGTTACAAGTTCCATAACAATGCTGTATTAGTAGGTTTCTCGTTAGTTTCCACACTTTCAAAATAAAAAGACGACCATTGTTTTGCTTTGTGATGTATTCGTTATTGCAAATCTGATTACAAAGCGCCGCAGAAATTGTGACCAATACCCCGAAGGTCAGAATTGCCGAATGTGTCCCTCATCCACTGTTCTACGCCCCAAATAACCAACCATCTACCAAACCATTTCATGTGGTCTGTCACCCTTGCGAAGGCTGAAAGAGCTGGCGAGGTAACTTGCGAGAACGGGTGTCTTCTTGATGGTGGACAGGAGTGCCTTATCAACGGCCTTTTGGTCGGCGGCACGGCTGGACGATGGCTTCTTCTTCTATTAAGTTGTCAATTTGGTTCGTCAAATACCTCTTTCAAATCTCTTACCTCTGGCTTCTCTCCTTGCTGGAAGAATGCCTCCTCGCCCTTCTTCTTCTCTGCCTTGTCTGCTGTGAAGTACTTGTCCCCCGAGATCTCATCAAGCTTCTTTTGCTCAATACCGGCGATATCGACCTTTTGGGAAGTGGCGATAACGTAACGAGCGTTGACTCTGCGGAGGGGAACACCGTTGATCTTGAAAGGACCAGTAACGAGGAGAACACCTTGTGGGAGGTTCTTCAAGAGGATGACGCGCTTGCCACGGAAACGACCAGCGAGGAGAATGAGGACAGCACCGGGAGTGAGAGTTGATCGAGGAGTAGAAGCACGAATGGTTTTTCGGACCTGGATGCGCCATTAGTTATTGCCCTTGATGTATTGAATGATGCAACTATTGCTTCGGAGCTGGAAGCATTCGGGTCCACACAGTCCAGAATTACTCTGCACAAGTGATCCAGCCAGCAATTGCGTCGTGCCAGTCAAGCGCGAAGGCTCAAGAGAAAGATATAACACACCTTCTTTGGGGCAACTTCATCCTCCGCAGGGTACCACTTCTTGGCCTTCTGCGAGTGGTGAGGAACCTCTCTCGTCGACTTGCCGAAGGTCTTCTTTTGTGTAGTTGTCGACATCTTGACGAGAACCGGGTCGATGGTTGTTGGGCGGTTCGTGAATGGTGTCGAAATTGTCGTGAGTCGGAATGTTGCTCGCCTGGATTTTAAAATCAACTTCATTGTGGGAACCCACTTCCCCACTTGCTCATTACTAGCCAATCAGACGCTTTCGCGAATGCTTTAAGGGTCGCACTTGCCTGATGTATCAGGTGGCAAACGCTTAGCCTGATACGTCACTAGCTCCCGTCGCGACTTCTTGGAGCTTCATGTTCGTCCAGGCGTCCAGAGCTTTCGTAAGAAGGTAAACTTCTACATTTTAAGCATCCGCAACCACCCATCATGTCTATTTCACCAATAATCACATTCAAGGCAGGAAAATGCGAAGTCGACGTATGTATTCATTAAATTACCTGATCTGCCGACCTCTTCTTTACTTACATACATCAAATAGACAAGCAGCAAGCCTTACAAAGTCACCCCAGATCCCACACCTGGATACATCTACCTCTACTCCGAAGATGGTATGTGGCTCTAACTTTGGAGCAAGCGTTTGCTGACATCTTGCAGAACTGGTCCACTTCTGCTGGCGTGAACGAAGCAAACCCATCACTGAAGAAGCCGAGCTTAACCTGCTGATGTTCCCGATGGATGGGCATTTCGAGCCTTACGAATACAAGACCTCCGATCAGCCCACATCCAAGACGAACGGCCGTATCTTCACGCTCAAGTTCTCTTCTTCCTCCCAAAGACACTTGTTCTGGCTGCAATCGAAGCCCCAAGCTCGCAATGGAGATCCTAGTTGGTTTAGTCCACGGGACTTGAAGATTGGCCAGATCGTCGACACATTACTACAAGGCGAGGATGTCAATGTGGAAGGTGAGATTGCTCAGGTCCGAGACGGCAATAGTGGAAATGACGATGGGGATGAGACAATGGAGGATGCTGAAGGCCACGAGGATGCATCGGAACACCAACGCGGGGGCAGTGGCGGTGCTGGACCTGATGCCACTGGCGGGGATATTAGAGAGGAAGGCTCAGGCGCGAGGGAAGGTGGAGCTGATGGGGGACGAGCGTAGGTCACCCTTTCACAGCCCAGCTTGAGTATTTACATTAAGGCGTTTGACATAAATGAGAGATGAGCACATGTACTTCTAGATGACCTCAATGAACATCGCGTTTGCTGGTATACACGAGACCAATGTTGCACCTTGGGTGGGCGATTGGAGAGCCTTCGAAGGGCTTGGCAAGGTCATAGTTGGCATTGTCCACAGCGGTCGAATCTTTTACATTGACCGGGCCAAGCTCATGAAGCCCTTGTGACTTCAATTACCACCCAGGGTGGAGCATGATCTTATATATCGGTCAACACGACATTCCGAGGTCATTTTATGGTTTCTTTGGACTGCAGCTAACGTGTGACAGTGCAGGCTCAGAGTCACAAGATGCGGCTACGGTTGTCCAGAACTTCCTTAACTCCCTCAAAGGCGGAGTGCCTCAACAGCAAACGCAGGGTCAGGTCTACACCACTTTGCCGGATCTACTTCCATCATCTACAACTATCCCAACCCTTGACTCAGCTTCCCCTGCCCAAATCGATAACCTCTTGAATTATCTGCCTCCAACAATTCTCTTGATCGCACAAGAATCGGCCGCCTCAATAGATGGAATGGTTGAACCAAACGCAGCGACCGCGGCTGCCGCGATGGAAGCTCTCAGCCTAGACCAGAAGAAATCCATATTGAAGCGTGTCTTAAGAAGTCCACAGTTTCACCAAAGCTTGGGAAGCCTTACTATGGCAATTCGAGACGGAGGTCTACCAAGTATTGCAGAAGCTCTGGAAATTCGATTACAGAATGGGGGATTGGTCAAGGGTGGCAGTGTGCCACTTGGCGGAGGAGATGCGGTTGAAGCATTCGTTGAGGGTGCGAAGAAAACAGTGGAGCAAAACAAGTAATGTAATGTAAAACCAAGGGCTTCATCCAACCTTCTATGGAGGCATGTATCTGAAATAGAGAGCTTCTAGAAGCATGATACGGGTTATGAAATGCAATAGAGCACACAAGTCACCACAGACCACAAAACCCCAAGAGGAGCCCGAAATACCGCATAGGAACAGGACAGGACCGTTTCAAGACTAAAGTAGGACAACAAATATTTCAGCTGTTTCACTGAGCCGCGTTAATTGTTGTGACAGTGCTCTGCCCTGCCCTGCTCTGCTCTGCTCTAGCTGGCCGAGGCGTTCGCTAAAGTGGCTACATTCCCAACCACTTCAAAGAAGAATACTCGATTGAATAGGAACGTTGCTCATCATTAAAGAATCCTTCACCAATTAATAGTACGCTTGATTTGGTGGCACGCGCCTCTATGCCTTGCTAACCAGGTGGGTATCACTGTTCTTGATTGTACATGAGCAATGAGCGACTTGCACTCAGCTGTCGCGAGTCAGACGCGTTGTTCTTTCAATTTGCGCTAGTCTTCCTATTGTCCCCTTTCTCAATAGGAAGCCCTCAATACCTAGGTAACCACGCTAAATTGTACGGATGAAAAGACAATAGTACCGATATTTCAAGTTGATATTTCGCGTTTCGTATTGTTATTATTCTCTGCTTCTGTTCATTCAGGCTTCGCTCTCTTCTATACATTCCCCCAGAACGTTCAGTCTTCAATACGACCCTTCAGTCGAAGGTTTCATTGTACTATAAAGCGTTCCATTTTTACAATACTATTCACTCTCTCATTTATGATGGGTCACTGGAATATATAAACTTCTTCTGATTCTCTTGCAAGCGGAAGATCTTCCGAATCCTCAAATACAACCTTTAATGAATTAAGAGAAGTCCCTTTATCACTAAAGTAAATTCACCTTACATCGTGGCATCGACAACCAAAAAGCATTGAATATCTTCCCCCTTTGAGCCGTAAGCACCATAAAAGCTCGCAGTTTTCAACCCACGGCTAGCAAACCTATCACTCCACCACGAACCTACAACGCAACCACCATGTCTTTCGGTGGCCTCAACATCCAAGGCGCGCACGTCGACGACTCGGACGATGAAAACGAAGAAGAGCCCCGGCTCTCCGAAATCCGCATCACAGTCAACACCCCGCTCATGATAACCGGCGACGGCAACTCCGTGTCCGTTGACGTCGCGCTAAACGCATCCAAAGTCTCTGCGGCCGTCGTGGCAGCTCTTAGGGGTATGAGCACTGTTGCGGGCGGCGTGCCCATGATTGATGGCGATGGAAGACCGCGCCCGATTACGATGGAAGTCACGGCTGAGATTAAGGTCGAGGGCTCGAATAACGTGGTGGGTGATAAGGCGGTTTTGAGCAAGACGGTTGCCGGGTCGGCTTTTCAGAAGGGAAGGGAGGAGGAGGAGGAGCAGCTGGGCCCGAAGACGCCGGATACGCTGGAGGGGCAGGATGCGCAGGGCGGAGTGAAGAGGGATAGGGGTGTAGTTGAGCGCTCGGAGAACGTATCAAAGCGGATTCGTAGGGGCTAGGTGGTGCGTTCGTTGCAAGGCGTTTGGAGGTTGATTTTCTGGCTGCTGAAGACTTCTCTTTTTTTGCTTTTTATGGATGGAATCCAATGATTAAGCGGCGATCATATCTGCATTCAGAATACCACAGGATGAGACCGTTTGTTTACTTATTGGACTGATCGGCTTGTTTTCGCTATTGTACAGATCATGGCAACCTCCATCTGTCGCTCAATCGACAGAGACCCAATTTGTGACCACGTGAGATACGTAATATGTCCCATCCAGGCTCCATCTAAACTCCAATTACACAAATATCCCTAAATAAGCAAATGGGAATAACAGAAGGTAGGATAAGTGAGAGCCCCCATGTATCATTATCGATAATCCACTGCTCGCGGGTCTCCTTTATGCAAGTCCTTAGACCACTTAGGTAGCTTACCATCACGCTCGTAGAGGTATCCGCAGTTGTTGCAAAGCGACTGTTATTGGTTAGTAAGGACAATTAGAGGGTATAACTCCTGAAACTTACCCTTTCTCCCTGCGGCCCATTCCTAACTGCCCAAACTGCCGTCCCCCAGACTTTGCAGTGTGTACATCTCCAGCTGTTTCGTTCGTAATCATTGAGCGATCCACCACCCCCGTAGCCAGCAATACCACCGTCGGGCGTACCTCGCCCACCAGGCGTTCCGGATCTATTCAACGGACTCAAACTTCTAAATCGTCTCTTCTTCTTACTTCGTTCGCCTCTACCCATTCTTTCTTCTGTTGGTTCAGGATCGAAGTAGCCCTTGTTTTCAGTAGCTTGCGGCAAACCTCCCAACATTCCCGCACTTGATGAGAACCTCGCAGTCTCTCGCCGTAGTCTTCTGATCTGTCTCTCGCGGTCACCCTCTCTCTTTTCAATCTCCTCCTTTGAAAGTTGCTCGAGCTTGGGCTCCCATTCATCTGCCAGGTTGTCAAGCTCATACCTCCACCCGGCTTCAACCCCATGGGCAGCGTCATTTTGTACATCGGTGCTGTAGGCGCCTACCAAGCCTCCACTCTCACAAGCTTCCTTCTTCTGCCGTAGTGTAGCCTCGTAGATTGCATGTGTCATTGCTGGAACCCACTCTAGAGGAAGACCTAGGTCGAAGCAGGTCTGCTTTGCAAATACTTCTGCAGTTCCAGGTGGGTGAAGAAGAGACCACTCGAATTTGTCCTGATAAAGGTGATTGGACAAATTGATGCTCAACGAAATAATGCACCGATACATATCGTCTGGGTTGAATTCATCAGACTCGGGGGTGATGGGAGTGGCGGTGGCTGTTACACCTTGGGAGAGGGTGTCTTCAATCGCCAAGGCTGTAGGAAGACCGTTTGGCTGTGATACGCCATTACGCACAGGTGTAGCATACCCACTAGCAGCTATCGGCGCTGGAGTTGAAGATGCATCTCGCGAAATAGGAGCCGCCTTGATGGTAGGAATAGGTCCGTTTGTGGTTGAGGTTTGCTGGGAGTGAAACAATGGATGAAGTGCTACTCCCGCATACTCTTCCAACTGCGTTCGAATCTGTTTGCTGATTTCACTCGCCATCTGTGCTCGGTTTGGAAGGTCCAGATCCTGTACCATTACCTGTGCAAATTGATCCGTCGTAGTCAATGTTTCGTGTAAATTCCATAGGAAGATGTCCTTCAACCGATATGGCACAGTGGTCTCTTGTGGTCGATACACCGGTAGATTGGTATCGACTTGCACATATCCAACGCCTTGGGGAACTGGAAGAGGTGCTGCGGGGTTATAGGAGGGGATGTCGAGATCGATTCGAATTGGAATTAACGTCAGAGGGAGGGCTGTTTGTGCAAAGTTCTGCATTTCTGGTTTCGCCGTCCTACTTTTGCCCATCCACTCTCTCCATATTCCTTGTAATTCTACAGGCGTAAAGGTTTCCTTTCCAACCTTCTCGGAAGGGTCTTGCTTTGCCAGGCCCGACTCATCTCTTCGTATGCTCCGCAGCCCTGTGGGCCGTCTCCTGCTGTTGTCATCGGTATCATCATCATAGTCCTCAAAGCCATCCTCTGCATAATTGATCGCAGTTGTACCTCTCTTCGTAGTTCTAGACGAGGGCGCAACAAGTGTTGTTGCAGGTTGTATTACCGGCGTCAGTAGGGAATTGGCGTAGGTGCGCAGTCGTGGGGCATAGCTCGAGATGAAGGATTGCGGAGGATCATTCTTCTTGAGATCGGTCGCCATTCTGACGTTACTAACCCAGCATATCCAGAGTTAACTCGTTTCTTGGATTCTGGCACCGCAGGGAGGAATGCGCCGGAGTGTGCTGAGCAAGGGCTAGGCGCAAATGTGAGGCTAACGCGCAGTTGTGTTTGAATCTGGACAGGGCAGTCTATTGATGATGTGGGCGATCCTGAGAGATCTCGTTGCCCAAGAAGAACTTCAAGTGTTGAATTCAAATGGAACTTTTGGTCGCGTCTCCAAGAAGCAATGTTCGCGACAAGTTACTTCCGAAGATGGCTAACTATTTACGGTAAGGGTAGCCTCGCTATTAAGTTTTTCCGTTCCGTTCTGCGTCCAGCAGCAGCACCCCACCAGCCAAACTTCTCTTCATACGATCCGTCTAAGTTTGGCACTCAGCTATTATTAGTCCTATATAACCTCTTTTCTATCATACCTATACTCATATTCCACTTCTGCTAGTGCACCAAGATTCATCTAAGTTTCGCTCTCAGCTTTCAGTAGTCCTGAGACCGCACGTCAAGATGGATGAATCACGAGATTACCTAGCCTCCCTACAATGGAATGGGCCTGGCAAGCCATTCATTCTAGGCATGATCATGCTATCTATTTGTCTAGTATATAGTGCCCGTGGGTAGTTCCCTACTTTTGTATATTTTTTTTTTTGAGAATTACTAAAGTCGTTTCACAATTTCAATCTCGGAACTTTTGACACTCATAACTCTCAAAATCTCGACATTCGTTAGCCTGACTATGGAGAACACTCCACAAGCTGCCCCATTGCCTGCGGAGCTGTCGCTTCAGATAATTCAAGACTTGTTCGCTCCAGAAAAGCCATGTATTCGAGCCATCTTCGACCAATGTCATAACCAGTGGAAATGCGAACTTGATCATCCCTGCGCTCTACGAAACTACTATGCCCTCAAGCCCGACAGTTACCTTAGCAGTATTAGCCCGCTGCTTTACGAAGAAGGCCACAAAGCTTTCTTTCGACACAATGTCTTCGTCTTCAATATGACGCCGGCAATTTATAGTAGAGATTCAGATGCGCCACGCACGACTCCAACCGAGTCCGATTCTGCTCTTTGGAAGAGCGCCCATGACCCGAAGACGCTGCAACTACTCACGTTCGTTGAACCCCTTCTCACCGCCCAAGAAGCGTTTCATACATCGAACCCTCCCCTTCTCATGGAGCGGTTTAGCGGAATGATACGGCACCTGGTTCTCTGCGTCAAGGATGAAATTTGTGACCTTCAAGAAACAGCCTGGGAATGGCCACTCCAGGTTGACTGGAGAACGCTGCCCTACCTCGAGACCCTTTGCCTTGATCTGCAGTCGCACTCGAGGCGGGAGTAGAGTGAAGCTGCGGAATCACACGAAGAATACGAGGAGAAATTGGGTGAAGGGGCCTTGAGTATGGAGTGCCTAAACCTTAAGAGGCTCATTCTAGTTGGACTTTGTAGCCAACGGTACTATCTCGACAACGATCACAAACGTCGGATAGAGAAGCTGTTCAGGAAATGCGTTGCCAAAGTTGTAGACTGAACAATACTACCACCCGTGGTAGAGATCCCCATGTATTTGCATGGGCCATGGAGACTAACTAGTGGAGTTAGGTTTCTACAATCTTTAGATTCGGCGGCTCTTTATTGGCAGAATCAATACAATTATTTTACTAGCATCAAACTTGTACTCATATCTTAGAGTCGTACCTTCCGAAAGCATGTAGACTTCCCGGCTACCATTCATAATCACGTGCGTACCCGTCAAGGTGGAAGGCTCGACAGCCTCTCGCGCCTTCCCTCTCTCTTCCGAGACGTCGTGACAAGGCAGGTACCTTGTGGGGTGAGTGGTAAGTACCAATGTAGGCATCTCTCTATCTTTCTTCGCTCTCTCGTCACTCAACATCATTGTTTACTTGCTTGACAACCATCCATCATTGCTGCTACGCAATATTGTTACGTTATCTACGCTTTGCAGCTCTTGGGAGTTATTGCTACGGTACACATCTCAGTGTCAACAAAGAACAAGACGTTCTAGCCCAGACCTGGGTGTTCAGAAAATGTCGAATACCTTCAATCTGCTCAGGAGTCCGGGTGGTATCGACCTCGTTCCCGAGGTTTGCTTGAGGGTTGCGGAACATGCGATTGACGAAGATCCGAAGGCCGCGGCAGTCTTACTTGGTGTTTCCAAGGTCAATGATAATCTCCCATTGCAACTGAGAGTTTGTCATACTGATTCAGCATCAGTCGTTCCGGTCTTTACTTCAATCATACGAAACGTCAATTACGAAGGCACTCTCCAAGCATGACGACCGTCTCATCTACGTCAATTCCTCAGAACCATTGGTATTTTCTTCACGTATACCTCCTCGCGACGCCATCGTATATTCTCTTACATACGAATGGTACCTAGAAATGCGGACACGGAGTTCCCAGCTCGAGTATCTCACAGACCATGAAATAACTCACATGGACGACGACAGGAACGGCTGGCCTACGCTCGACGTACCTAAAGGGGAGCTTCGACAGCGTGTGAGGGCGTTCAAAAAGCGGGCATTTTGCCTGCTATATAGGTTGGCGGATTGTACAGCAGGAGTCGATGGCACGCATAGTATCCGTGCCGCGCAGGCACAATTCCTAGAATGTCTCAACGAAATGGAACTCTCTGCCCTTGGGTGTTTGGTGGAGGTCATCGGCCAAGGTTTCTTCAATATCACCAAGAAGGCGCTTCTTGCCTCCCCTCCTACGAGTCTGGGTAGCAGCAGCACACGTATCGCTCCTGCATCATCGAGTTCCCAGCCTGAAGTAACTTCCCCGACCTTATGGAATGATCCGAGTAGTGACAACTTAACTCGAGAGCGCATGTGAGTAGACCCAATTTCAATATTCCAGACATTCCAAGACTTTTACGCTCGGGACCTCCCCACGGGTCCTTCAGTAAATGTCTCAAAGATCCTGGAACATTTGACTAATCTAACATAGGTGTGTGTTCGAGGACAGGATTCAGCGGTATGGCCCTTATTTCGCGTGGTCGTATGTAGCCGATTCGAAGAATCGCAACCGAAAACACAAACTTTGGGCGGAGTCGGAGCTCCAACATGGGCTAGACGACATGAACGCTTTTGAACTTGGATATACTATGTCATATGCGAGTTTGCAGAGCGTGGTTTGGAAGGTGTTTTGCAGGAAGACTAATTGTGCGCTTCAAGATAGCTGGAATGAGGCTAGAAAGTTGGTAGAGTCAGGCATGTGAAGTATTAGTATTGAGTAATGAATTTGAACGGACGAGACAAATATTATTAGCTTTCTCAAAGGAGGACAGCAGCGTTAGCATAACGAGTAAACTATTATGAACAGTTCATGATGTTACATTGTACTCCTGAGACATTTGAAATATTCCAAATCCGTGGCAATCGCATGGGAATGTGTATTATATCAATACTTTTAAGGCATTATGGTCAGTTTGTAAGCCTCTGAAGACCATGAGTACCTATTGTTTTCTATCTATACGTTATATATCATTTCTAATGCAGCATAAAATCAACAAAATGCTCTATCTCTTCTATCTACACAGTCTAACCTTTTGAAGCAACCCTATTTCGAATTTTCCATCTTTAAAAATCTATAGATCATGTCTCGCCCTCTTGCTATGCTTCCTAATCTTCTCCCCATAGAAATACAACACAAACGGAATTGGAATAAATGCAACACTCAAAAATCCAAGCGTGCTACTAGCCCACGCCACCCCAAGATTCTTATACATAGCACTCGCGAAGAGCGGGAATCCAGCACCAAAGCTCGAACGCATGAAATCATTACCGGCAAAGACCGAAGCTGCGTAATCGGGATATGCGTCGCCCAGGTAGTTCAAGACCGAGTTGAAGAGCAAGAAGGCGCCGATCGTGAAGAAGGATGATCCGATTATCGGCACGATCCAATGCACGGAAGGCCTTGATGCCCAGCCGAACCAGAACATGCAGATGGGGATGCAGAAGGCGCCGATCATTGCAGGCGGTAGACGCCTCTCTGGTTTTATCTCGCCGTTCTCGTTGAACTGTTTTTCCTGTACAAAATACAGGTAGAGGAAGAAAGGCGGTATGACGAATAGACCGCCAATAAAGATACCGAGGAACGAGAGGCCTTCTTCGCCGAGATTGAAGCCGTAGATCTTGATGAAGACGATGGCGAAGGATTCAAACCAGATATAGAGCAGGCCGTAGACGAGCGCGATGTAGAGATTTAGGCAGAAGAGGATTGGCTCTGTGAAGGTTAGGGAGAAGGGCCGGATGACAACCATGAGAACGATGTCTTTGATGCTCATTTGCTCGCCCATCAGCTCCGGCTCGCACTTCAGGTCGGTGCGTCCGGTGAGTATGCGGAGACGACGGCTGCGGCGGTACAAGATGTTGGAAGAAGATGTCTCGGGGAGGAGGAAGCTCATGAGGACTAAGGAGAAGCCAGAGAGCCAAAGGAGTTCCCAGATGGGCCATTTCCAACCTTTGTGTTGAGCGGCAAATCCTCCGATTAGCGGTCCAAGCACTGGACCACATATTGCCGCTACACCCCACTATGACAAGTCAGTCTTCAATCCTGATACATTTCGACTCTTGGGGACCAAAGAAGAGGATTGGCTTACTATTGCGATTGCATATGCTCTTTTGGCAGGCCTGTACATGTCCGCAAGCGTGGCACCGCCGGTAGCGAGTACAGGGGATCCAAAGAATCCAGTCAAAAACCTGAAAGCCAAAAGCATCCCGAAGTTTTTCGCGTAGATGACGGCGAATTGGAGAAAAACGAAGACGATCAGAGTTGGGATATAGACATAATTCCGTCCAATTTGAGGAATCTCGGACATGGGAGACCAAAGCATAGGGCCTAGACCGTATCCAGCAACAAACAGTGAAAGACCAAGAGTAGCAACGACTTGGCTAACTCCGAATTCTTTTTCGATGTCTAGGGTTCCAGCAGAATAGATGGAGGATCCGATGTAGACGGAGAAGGTTAAGAGGCATATGAGGCCGGTGACAACAAATTTCTTGATTTTGGACCAGTTTTGAGGATTCTTGAAAATGGTTAGAACGGCCGTAGATTTTCGAGAAAAGGGAGTTAAACACTTACCTCTGAATCATTCTCTCCGTACCACGTAACAATCGAGACATCTCTGCCCTTCTCCGGATCCACGATAACTCCACTGGGATCGTTGCACGGCGGGTCCTGACTACCTACACGAGTATCTGAAGTATCTCGGGAACTGCTGGATTGGTTGGGTACTGCTGCTGCTGTCTGGCGTCGGTCGGAGTCATAGTCATTTGATCCGCGGTTCTCTTCCTCCTTTTCTTCTTCACCAGTGTGGCCATGATGTGCCTAATCGAAACCGCGTTAGAGCGCTCCCTGCAAAGCAGATATTGCTGAGAACTTACCATTCGACCCGACTTTTCCTTGTCTATGTACCTCTCCCACAGCGAGGGATCGATGTCCTCTTCATATTGCAGCACTCTTCCCTTTGTAGCGAGACGCAAGACATGGCCAAAACAGGTGTCCCGAATGAGTTCACTCATCGTAAAAATAACAGCTGCGCGAGGGAATTATAGAGTTGTCGACTAATGGACAAGAAACATGGAGGAAATCTGAACATTTTTGTATATTTACATAGCTAGGTAGTTGATACGAATAAGAGACGCAGAGACGTCTCAAGCAAGTTAATTCAAGCTGTTGACATCATCCGCATGTAAGTTGGTTGATATTGCTTGATGATCGACCACTCCTAGAGTGTTTTACGCTTTCCCTATAAAAGGCCCCCTCGGCCCCCCAATCAAACACGCGGAAACCCTCGATGGCTTCTTCTTGCTAAATATAAGAAACGGCATTTACCTTTATGATTGTTAATCTGCAACCCCACCTGAAGATACATAACTCCACATTATTTTAGTGGAGACTCCTTGTGTCAATGACATCATTAACTAGGTATGTTTTCCTACTGTCCTCTAGATATGAACATTGTTGATATCGCAGGTAACAGATTAGATCACTTCCTACTACAGTAGCTAGTATAAGGTAGTTATAGCTCTTGTTAATATAGCTTAGCATTTATAAGTGGAAGTAGGAGACACGAAGAGGTAATGGGAGCAATCCAATACAAGTGGAAAAGCCACAGCACTTTGGTTGGTGCAAATCTTTAATACGATATGCAACAAGAGACTTCAGTTACTAGATTGCGTAAAGCGTGGGACTGCAAGTTTTACAATGTCTTATGTATGACTTTCGAAAGCATCCGCATACCAGATTCTACGTAGTTCTACGACCTATTCAAGTTCTCCGGATCGCAGATTTACTCCTGTACCTCTGTTTAAACTCCGTAGTTGCTGACTTTATCTAGGATATTGAACTACCATGCATTATATTACTGTGGTAGGCTCGTGCAAGAGAAGGCAAACTATGGCTAGGGAATGGGAAGTGTGAGGAGAAATCCCCATAGCATAGAGCACTCCTTTGTAGTCCCATCAGAAGGTCTCGTCCACAATGCCATTGTTGGTTTGGTTTTCTTTCAGTAACAAACAGAGCTCTGTCAAACTCTTTGACACAGGAGGAACAATGTGCATTGCCATGTATTAATCCCCCACAATGTCATCCATCCCGTTCAGGAGTGAGAGAGAGACCCAAATCGATAAATCGAACCTTCAGACCAAACCGGAAGCAACTAGCAGTAGCAAAATATGGGCTCAGGATCAGCAGATCCCCGTCTTACTTTTGGCGTAGAAATCGAATTTGCCCTCGCAACACTTGATGATGGGGTAGCCGATCCGCATGAGTTTGATCCTAGACAGGTATACGGAATTACCACCACAAATCAGCGCGTGGGATGGGGTAGCTACAAGCCTTGCGGGAATATGGAGGCATATGAAAGCGTAGCAGAGACACTTAGTCGAGCAAAGATCCTAGCGTCTATCGAACATAATCCATTGGGCAAACAGATGAAGCACTGGCAAGTAGTGGACGATGTAAGTATCGACAAGCCCAAGGACACCCCCTACCGTTTCATTCGCGTGGAGGTACGGTCCCCTCCTCTGTATTTCACCGCGGAGGCCTGCCAGCAAGTCGGCGCAGTGTGCGAGGTCTTGACGAATACCTACCGAATAATGTGTCCTGAGAGTACGGGGCTACACGTGCACGTTGGCAACGAGACGGCAGGGTTTTCCGGGGCCACGCTGCAGAAAATCCTCGCTACGCTGTGGACGTTCGAGCCGGTGCTAGATACCATACACCCCTCGCACAGGCTAGACAACTATTATTGCTCCAGCCTGCGCGTAGACTCCAACCTATGCCACTGGAATCGGGCGGGTAGGATGGATCCTAGGAAAGGCCTCGAGGCAATTCTGTACACGGACGAGGGTCTGCAGATCAGCGATGAGCGGCTAAGGGAGTATGTTATGGATATGGTGAATGCGAGACACGAGAGAGGTGCGTATAACTTCCGGAATCTGCACGGTGCGGATCCGGTCAAGAAGACGATTGAGTTTAGACAGCATGAAGGGACTCTGGACCCTGCTGCCGTTGAACATTGGATTAAACTATGTGTGGGTATAGTAGACTTTGCTCACAAGGTTGACTTGAAGATCCTTAGCAGTTTCCTCTCGCTGCATATCGATGATAAACTTGAGGAATTTGGTCTCGTTCATCTGCTGAAGGCATTGGGTTTGCCGGCGCAGATGCTGTTCTATGGTTCGAAACCGCTTTACTCGCATTCATCGTCGAACAAGATAGAGCGAGAATGAGCGTGGCGCTCGAAAAAATGGGAATAGTACTAAGGGGGATTCTGGAAATAAAGGCAGATGAAAATTGTAAATAAATCTTGTTACTGAAAAGCATACGCAAAGATGACCGAGAGACAGTTTTAAGAAAGTCTAGCGCGGAAATCTCTAAGGCTTAGCCATCGACGTCGTTTACCACAATATTCACAGCCTCGTTCGGTTGGTCATTGGCAGCTTTGACATTATTATCATCTTCAACTAGGTTTGATAGTCTCGTGCTGGAAATAAAGGGAAAACGAAAATGAGTAACCTACCACCACTTATTCACCTTCGGAATAGAGATGGAGCTTCTTCTGGGAGTACTCGAACCTAACGCGGAAGATCCCCATCCACTGGATCTCAGACACGGCCGTGGTGGGTTGTCAAATGACTCACCCAGGGAGCATGATACCGCTCACTAGCTAAAACATAGCCGTACCACATAGTCAGAAGCATTCGAGTACACCGTTGATGCATTCGGGACAGCAAACCTCCCCACACGCAGTGCACTTACTTCGTCGGATGACTTGGATTCGGACGATGATGTTAGCTGTTGGTACATGACAGACGAAGCACTTGAAGCGCTGAACGAAAGCGGCTATTCTTGGGTTCGTCTCGAAGTTAAGCCCCCGCATTGTATGTATGCCAGTCAGCTTTTGAATAGGTCGCGGTAGCCTGCGAAATCCTTACCACGAAATATAGACTCTGCCCTCATTGATCTTTAGCACTTCACGTCCATGCCGGATAGGAGCTCAATGGGTTCCTAATCATAATGTTGAGAAACCTCATGAGCACTATCTTCACATTCGAAGAACGTATCAAGAAAGTTCACCCGAAGGACCGCGTTGAGTACAATTCTTCGGTGCTGCCAATCCGGACCAATCCTAGACTGGCCGAGAACCATCTTTCAGGTGCTGAAAGTGGTTGGCTTACCATCCCAATCGCTCTTCCACAGTATAAATCTACCTGAACAAATTGACTGGTCTAGAGAGCAGCATAAAGAACAGCAAGAGGAAGTGAATGAGACACCAACTTCTAGCCAGAACGTACCAAGTGATGTAGAGCTTGTAGACGCTGAAGCCCGGATGGGAAATGTTATCCAGAAGATTAATAATAGCCAGCATGTCTCAACACCAACCACCCTGGAGGAATAAGGTTTCGATGGCGTACCCCATAGTAAGCCGCTTGGGCAGCTATGCTTTGCTTGTATCTGCGTAATCGAAAGGCTATCTGGGTATGAGGGTTTCTAAACATAGAACATAACTTGTGGTCCTGAACACCTATCCCCAAAAGATTCTTTGCAGTCAGAATTGAAATTCGATAAGAGTTCTCCACAATAACGTAGTAACTGGCATACAGAACAACGAAACATCCCGGATCAAGTGAGCAATTGTGAGACAACAAAGGGGTTCTAGACCAAAATAGCTCTAGGACAACTTGAGCATATCATTATGATATAGGGGCCAGAAGTGGTATGCTTTTCAAGTGCATAGTAATTATGTATGTGAGGTCGACTTATCGCATTACTCATAGATGAATTCTAGGTTCATCAACGTGATATCTTGCGAACTATGAGAAGGTCAACTAACCACTTGCAGCGGAGTACCAACTGTCGTGGGACATCTCAAATCTCAAGGGAGTGGGGTATAAAACGGCAACGGCCCGGCCCCCAGGGTGACATGAAAAGAATAAAAGACACATGAGCTACTGAGAAACGGGTAATAAAGGACACGGCTTGGCTACAAGGACTTGCAAGCCACATATTCGAAAAGGGCACCTCACGTGACAAAGAAACAACATCCCGCTATCGTGGCGATTGAATAATGTGTAATGTATGGATGGAAGTTTCCGGAATTAAAGCAGTCATACATCCTACTGCGGGACCGTTACACGAAGTCTAAGGCGCAGGATGTTACTTCTGTGGAGAGTTCACCAAGCATCTAGACCCGTTGGGTTTCCTGAAAGCCGGGAAAATGAGGAATGTAAAGTTCGTGTGGGGAAAGAGAAACAACTTTGTTTCAGTGTTGTGGGGGGCTCAATCCTAGAAGGATGATTTGCAGAGGTACTACTTCGCGCTGCGCCAGGGAGATCTCCCGTAACCGTTCTGCAAGATTTCCCACCGTCTTGCAGCCATCGATGTACGGAAGCAGCATCAGAGTCACTAAGATAGCAACCGAGCTTTTGGCAGCCTTCTGCCAGAGTCCAGGGTTCGGCATGTGGTGTGGTAGAAGGCTATGTCGTGCAGCCTAGAGGGACGCGGTCTACGCGCTGAGGTTGGCACTTGGGCGTGGGTTTGATGCAACCAAGCAATCCTACCACACCCTCAGGAAGCATGTCAACAAGGACTATAATCCATAAGAATGCCGCCAAAAGCTCTTAGCGCGGAAGAGGGGTCACAGGACCATGCTCGAGATATGCAAGGTGCGGCTCTGCCCGTATCAATGAGAATCGAACTCTGCAGACTCCACCGCCAGGCGAGTCATGCTGCAGGCGTATAGATGGATAGCTGAATCTACCTTACCTACGGAGCTAGGTATGAAAGAGCAACTAGAATGATGGGCCGCTGAGGCTTTTGGCTGGAATAATATAATATGTTGAACAGAAGGAAGTTGGAGTAAGGCTCGGCGATGGAGTGGGAACAATGCTCGGAAGGGTCGGGCCATTTTAAGGCTCGTGCCCTTAGCATTTACATTTTTGAACGGAGAAACGCTCTGCTGCGCTTATACTTCGTAGAACTAGTACGAAGCTCGCCGGAGTGGGATCAACCTCGTGGAGACTTATCTCCAAGGAGCAAGGAATACCGGTACTGTTCTGTATATTAGTTGACTATTCCCAATATAGTCAGCCATCAATATTCTCGGCTTTTTATTCCGAAATAGCCTTGAAACGGCGTTTTTTTGAACTGGATAAAATACTAGGGCGTCTCAATAACCCTAGATCCTCGAATCCCTGGTCCAATCATGGGCTCATATTTAAAGAATCTCTCCCGACCAGGTTTGCAACTCTAGAGCTTCCCCTCTAAGTTCTAACGTACTCGATGACTGTTTGGGGCAAATATACTAGTCAAGAAATCTGATATTCATCGGCATGGTTGCTTTTGGCCTTGTACTGTAGTCAGTTGATTGCTACAAAATGCACATAATATCGACCGGAGGAAGCTCGAGTCAGAATTGCTAAACCCAGCATAGAGCTGCAAGACAGGCTTCAAGGCTTACCTTCCTGTCCATGACTAAGTGTGATGCCGCATTTCGTATTCCCGGATAAGGAGTCTCTGATAGAATAGAGTTCCTGACTGGACAATCCTCATTCCTGAATATTGTTTTTTGAAAGGAAGCGGTTCCTATCAAGCAATAAGAAGCAGCTGAATCGGCAGTTGTTACCCCATCCAGCTTCTTCAAACTTCTATACCACTAGCAGAAGCTGTACGTACTAGGATCCGTAAAGGCATGGCATGTCGGGCAGGTTGATCTCATCTGTTATTACCCAATCGATCTATCCCTCATCCTGATACTACCTTACGCCTCTTCATCATCATTTATTGCTGTCTTACGGATCCGACTTATCCTGTGACTCGTAACCGACGGGCTCGATTACGAAAATAGATCTGGACGCGCATAATCTCTGACCGGATTCTTCAGCATTTTTGGCATACTGTTTCGTCGAGAGACACGGCTCCGGGGACTTATTTCAAGAAGGAAGATATACCACATCAAGCCACAACCGACTGGCTGGTCATAACGGTCGTTTTCCTCCGGCTTTCTACGCAGGCAGACAGACAGACAGACAGACAGACGCAAGCCTCGGGAGTCGAACGAATACGGCAGGATCGAAAGAGTTGCAGAAGAGGAGCTCGTGCAATAACAGTACGACGAAGTAACGGACATTGGTAGACAGCGAGACAGCTCCGTACCGTTAACCGTGCCGTATAACTGGGGAAGGGGATCTTTGTCAGCGCATCGCCGCATCGCAGGCCGAGCTTCTACGAGGTAATTCAGCCTGCTGCGAGGAAGCTCGTGAGCGAGAGCGGGCCACTGAAGAAACCCATCCTGTCCTATCCTAGACCAGACTGACCACTGATATTGCTCGGATGTAGAGCCCATCCCGGATTGTACCAGGAGCCAGAAACCTACGTTTGGCCCCCTCCGCGCATCATCGCACGCGCAGAACAGGACACGCTTTTGCTGCACGTAACTGCGCTTGCGCTATACAGGAGAGCACGTCCGCATTTGATCTGAAGCCCGGTTGTTCCAATTTTCACGGTCCTGGTCTTGGTCTTCAGCTTGGTCTTGGTGTTGATAGCGAAGTTAGGTGTAAAAGCTTGCTTCATGGTCCCATATCCATATCCATATCCGTATTCACATCCGTATCCTGGAGCGGAGGGTGGCGGGCAGGCCCAGCGGCGCAAGTAGTTTCAGTTTCACTCCATTCCCCTCCAAATACGGCTTGGTCTGCATCTCCTTCCCTGAGGTCTCGCCAATCTACAGTACATACAGCTGCGGGCAACACTGCTATCGAATCGACACTTATCGCGTCTACGAACCACTGAAGACGCCGGACGGGGTAATTGTGCTTGGCTTGGACTGTCTGGCACTAGCTTCTGGCAGCATACCTATACCATACATACCAACCTATCCATATCCAGTATCCAGTATCCAGCCCAGTCCAGTATCCGTGAGCCATACAGACTTCAGCCTTCGAAGATACTCCGAAGACATACACATACACCTCCAACCAGCTGTGCTATCGCTTGCTATCCCCGGGACACAATAATACAGTAATATCGTTGCTCCCTCCCCTCCATAAGTCCATCCGTCCTGGTCCCTGCACTTTTGGCATTGGCATCGGCATCGGCAAGGATTTGAGCACGCGCAGTCGTCCGTTCGCAATCCGATCCCCAGAGCCTCCCTCCCACTCGCTCCCACTTGCCCATTCGTCGTGGGGTTTGCGGTCGCATCTCTGCTCCCAATCAACCAAACCAACCATACAGTACCCGCGGAACACTGCATACATACACACTGACACCTACCACCTACTACCCTCGCGTCGTCTTACTCACCTACTATAATCGTTCGCATTCGAGTTCGAGTCGCCATCCAGTTGACCGCCCTCAAGCCAATCACTGTCCTATCGCAAGCCCTATCCGCGTCCATCCGTCGCTTAAAGGAATAGATGCATTTCTTATGCAGCTGAACCCTCCTCCGACACCCTTTGCGCAAACGCGCTGACCGTTGAGCGATACCTCCGCATTGTAGGAGATCTAACGGCATCACTTCGCTGCGTCGCGCTGACGGCGCGATGTACTCGACGCAGACAACAAACGGAGTCGGCCTGGGCGACTCTGGAACCATCAACCCCGCCGCCCTCAATTCAGCAGGTAAGATATAGCATAATCCGCGCATTAAGAGCTTCAGTAGAGTCGCCGGAGAATTTGGCGCATGCGCATGCGCCATGCCACACGAGGGACTCTCTGTGCTTACTATGCGGTCTTCACGACATTTTGCTGTATTGGATCATGGCTGACATTTGACTTCGCAGGAGCTTTGACGAACCCCACCGCATCAATAACTCCAAATACAAGTCCTCCCAACAGAGGCATCAAGCGCAGTCACTCTCCGGACTACGGCGACTTACCACCAGGGGATGATCTTGGGGATGATGGTACGTTGCTGGTCCATTCACAATCGCAAGATTACTATTGCCAACGAGCAGTGTTGCGCCTGTAGCCCCGTGGCACATGTGCGCGCTGCCGGATTTGAAGGTACCTTACTGATCATGTCTCATTGTAGGTGACTCAAGGGCGCCGAGAAAGCGAGGAAGACCGATGAAATCAAAACCTCCCGGGACTTTCACTGAGAGTTCAAACCAGTCCTCAATGCCGCTCCCTCAAAATATCCCTCCCCAGACCCCGCAATCGCAAACGGCCCCTCTCCCTCCTCAGCTAAGTAGCATTACGCCGACACAAGCTTCACCTCCCAAGACGACCCCAACCAAGACCGTGATAAAGGCATTGCCAACGGTTAGAGACCACACTACGGATCAACTAGGCCCTGCAGGAGACGAGTATATCCCCCGGGAATACGATGAGGCTGGCGAGAAGAAAGTTACGGAAACAGGACTCCTTCAGGAAGGGCGCGAATACAGATGCCGGACATTCTTCGTACCAAACAGAGGGGACAAGCTTTTCATGCTAGCTACTGAATGCGCGAGGGTCCTGGGCTACAGAGATTCATATCTATTATTCAACAAGAACAGATCGTTATACAAAATCATAGCAACGCAGGCCGAAAAAGAAGATCTCATACATCAAGAAATTCTACCATTTTCCTATCGCTCTCGACAGATAGCTATAGTTACCGCCAAGTCTATGTTCCGACAGTTCGGTAGCAGGGTCATTGTCAATGGGAGGCGAGTTAGGGATGATTACTGGGAAACCAAGGCGCGCAAACAGGGTTTCACCGAAGAAGACATGGCCGGAGAGAAGAGACCTGGCGCTGCCAAAGCTCGAGACGCTGCTGCAGCAGAAGCTAACGCAAATGCTTCAATGGCGCTCGGCCATCATGGGGATATCGTTTATAGCAGCAGCCCTGCTCATTTTAGTCACCCACAACCGCAGGCTGTCCAGCCAGGCATGATAGGGGCGCCAGGCAGTGCAACAACTCTTCCGATGATTACTCTTGCGCCAGAGCAGCCAGAGATGCGTCTCAGGGATTACAGCCATATCCAGCGCCCAAGGCAAGAAATCAACGGGCCAGCGTATCAAGATCGCACTCAAACAAGCCCGCCTACAGAACTGCTGACGCATGCCCACCAAACGGCAGAATACAATAAACAGGTGAACGCTCAACGAAGTCGCAGTGGCGAATATAATGACCGTCGTTGGAGAACACCACATGACGCTCCCCAATCAAACATTGTTCAGCAGCCAATAGGCTCTACCGATGGCCTCCCCACAACGCAAGCTTTACACTCACCCCGCACTTCTCAAAGTGGTGTTCAGCAACCAGCAATGTCTCAGCAAAACCCCCCACATATGATGCCAGGGCAATCCTATTCTCAACCTACCCATCAGCAAACCCCAATCGCGCAATCACCTATGAGGGCGCCAAGCCAAGGATCAATGAGGTCTGATCAGCTAGGAAGAACTGGCAACTTGCCGATGGGATCCAGCAACCTTAGCCAAGGAGGAAACCCGTATGGATTCAACCCTCAGACACAAATGTGGCCACCATCCCAACCACAGCAGTCTCCGCAACATTTCCCCAGTTTTACACACTCTCAACAGTCGCCTCATATACAGCAATCAGCACACCAACCATCTCCGCAACTCAGACACTCTGGAAGTAACCCTCAGATGCAGCCGGCTTTGCAATATCCCGGTATGCAGGGATTAGGCCAAGGGTATCCTGCCCCGGGACGAGGCCTATACCAACCCGATCAAGGCGCCCAGCAGTTCATGCAACCCAGCACATCTGGACCTCAAGCAGGTGCCCAGGGATGGGCACCACAACAGCAACCAGGCTCTGGCGGCAACTGGGGATGGGCAGGCCAACCTCAATGACCGCGCGGGAACGTGTCGATGATCATGTCTTACGAGTATGATGGATTGATGATGTGAATACTGAGATGACTATGCTATTCGGTGCGTGTTTCATCATGACCATGAATGATCTGGAACGGCAAACCTCCCGTTGTATATCCTCAAAAGATATGATATTGTGAGGTTTTGAAATGCATGACGAAAGGGGCGGCGAAATATTACAAAGCCCCACCGAAATAATGTAGGACGAGGTTGGATAAATTGTATTTCAGGCACCTACTTGGTTACATCAGGCCAGGTAGAGGAGTTGGTGTGTGGCGGATTCCTTACCATTAGTTCATCCCATTTCACTATTTCTTGTACAGTATGGCAGCTTGACAGCATTCTGCTCTGCTTCTGTCTCTTATCAGTCATATACCTTTCTTGCGCTTTTGTAACTGTCGCTTACACATCCTACTTAATGTCTCAGCATTTTCTTTCCTTTCTAACCCCAAACATTGGGGTGTCTACGGACTGTTACTGTGTATGTCTTTTTCTTTTCAATATTTACTTCTGAGCGTCGAGGGACTACCAAATAATGGCTGGATGGGGCGGAGGAGCGGGCAAAGGGCGGAAGGACTTTACTAGAAGCGAAGCATTGGGTTAGTTCTTCTTCATCATGAAACCTTGTGTTGCTAGTTTTGGGAAGGAATCAGCGTCTTTTTCCTGCATACGCATCCGGCATCTGCATGCGTGCGTGCGGTTTTGCAGGGCATTTATTGGATGGTTATTGTGCTCTGCTCTGCTCTGCCTGGTTTTGGTTTTGGGATATACACACGTCTGCTGCATTTTCTGCTGGTGGCTGTTTCGTTAGTCGAGTCATGTCTATGGACTGAACTGAACTGAACTGGCTTGGATAATTCATTCCACTATGGAGTTGCGAGGGTTTTGATATCATTTGTTTGGAAATGGATATCCATCCAGTCTCCATGTTCTTTTCGTGTGGGGAAGGAGGAGGTAGCAATAAATAATAAAGCCCCGAATCTCTTTTCGCTCAACTTTGCCATCTATCAACATTTGACTTGGTTTAGTTGATATACTACCCCCTTAACAATCTCGAACACCCCACCCAAGTTTCCCCCTCACCGAAAACCACCGTGCGCCATTGGATCGATGCGGCTCTTCGTCATGACCCCTCCACACATTCCTCGTACGCCCACCTGAACCACCTTATTTGTTTTTCCACCGCATGGCATGTTGGCTGGTGACACGCGTCCACCTAGCATGGCATGCCTGTCCCCTCGTGGCACTCTACACCCACATCCGCATCCACATCCACATTATACCTCGCTTATAAAAGCCTCCCTCCACATCCCATCCCATCACAGCCATCCACACAGTTTCAGCCACCACGCCAACATTCTCAAGGTGAAATGAAACGAAACATTGGGTGGGGAAGGCACGGGAGTAACGACTGATCGCTCACAAACAAAGACCTCGTAAACAACAACAATAACAATAACAACAACAACACTACTAATAGGGGAATGTACGAGTACGAGTACCGTTGCACGGAGTATATGGATTGGGAATTAAGGATTGCGTTGCATTGCATCGCTACCGCTGCCCTGTTTCGGTTCTTACAGAGTAGGAGTAAGCGATGTTGTACTAGGCGGACGGGCTTACCTTACAAAGCCAATGTCTGGTATGATACGATAAGTATGATGAAGCAGGAACGCTTACTGTACCGTATGCTCCTTTCTCGGCTGGCAATGCGAGGGTGAGGGTGAATGTTGTCTCGGGATCCTGTAGGTATCTCACTGTCACATCAAAGGGATCTGGTAATTGGGAAAAGGTTACTTACGGATACGAGTTTATGTTTTTAAATTCTAGTGTTACGCCAGATAATGAAGACCCTTCCCGAGTTTTTGAGAGGAGTAACGCTCCTATGTGTACGTACGCCTCTAACCGACACCTATGAACCCATACCCGTGCCCATCTTGTCTATCTTCAACCCAAACCAACCCAAATCAAACCCCATGCCCAGAATCCTATCTACATACCCATACCCATACCCATAATCCTCATATGCCTTTTGACCGTAAGCAAGCTCGTAGTAAGCTTGAAGCTCACATTCGTATCAAGCACGTACTGCTCCCAATTCTGCGTTTTCTTCAGCCATTCTTCGCACTCGAGTACCTTGGCCTTATGCTCGTCCGGTGAGATGGAAGGTAGGTCTTTGTCATGCCATACGAGACAGGCCATCTCGTAGTGCGCGGCCGGTAGCATCCAGTCGTCTTTTAGATGGCCTTTGAATTCCTGTCTATTTGTTACATTAGTTTTTGAGCGTCATGATTTGGAGTTGGGAAACTGGGCCAGATACCTCTCATGATTCAAAATCTCGTTCTGCAAGATTGTCCTCGCCTCATCATACTTCCCTAGATTCCTGAGCATGCATGCCTCAAGTAATGCCTTAATAGCGCTCTCGTCAAGATCATCCTTCAGTTTCTCTGGGTGAGTCGTGCGTTCCCATTTCACCGCATCCAGCGAAACTTGCAATTGTGTTTCATTCTCCTTCTTCGCTCCACCCCAGAAATAAATCATTTCCGTCAATGGAGAAACACCCACCACATCTACTAGATCCACGCCCCAGGCTTTCGCGCGCTCTTCCCACTTTGCGACTTTGCGGGTTATGTAGAGATCGAAGGGTAGTTCTTTCCCCATTACTTTCTGGAGCCCTGCCATAGGTGGGCCTTTTCGGATATAGTCTGTAGCTTTCTTCTTGTACTTTTCAGCGGCTTCTGGATCACTAATCCTCAAGTTCCGGTAGAGTTCAAGAAAGCAGCAGCCGGTAAGGTATGCATACATAGTTGGTGACCACTGGGAAAGCTCCGAGTATTTTCCCCAGCACTTGGCGGAGAGCACGTAGTCGTGCAGGAACATGGTCGTGAGACTCAATTCGAACATGTTGATACTAGCAATTTGCTGCATGTTACCGTCAGCGTTTGCAGAAAGAATCTTGGCGGCTTCGAAAAGATTGCGGTCGTAAGCTTGCATGCGTGCTTCTTCCATTTTCCATAGTTTCGAGTCGGGGTAGCGTGCTCGCATGTCCGCGAGCAGTACACGGCATTTCGCGCGTGGGTAGCCGGACATGTCGTCGTCTGCTCCAGCATCCGTGGGCAGGATGTCACATAAGCCGACAAGTCCGTTATAGTAGCCCAGAAGAGCTATACCAGCGATTGCACTATTGAAATTGTCGAAACGAGCAGATTGCCAGAGGTATCGGGTTCCGCGCTCTCGGTCGCCTTTGAAACCAACAATGTGCAGGATTTTTGAGATGATGGGATTCTCAATCATGGAGAAGACGACAAGCAGTATGCCATAGCAGAGCCTTGTGCCTGAGTGAATGAAGATATCTATATGGGAAGTAATTCCCACTGAAGCCGGGTCAATGTCGAGCAACTTGGATTGTACCTTGGTAGCAGTGAGGGGTACTCCTGGCTCTAGATCAGACTTATCGTCCTTCTCAAGCTGTGCTGGACCCTTGATAGAGCCATTGGACTTCCTAGCTGTGGTATAGCCAGCATCGAGCTCTTTCGAGCTCCTCTTCGCAGCCGAGCTTTCAGTTGAAGGTCGCCTAATGCGTGAAGCAAGTGAGCCTTTTCTGGAAGCAGCCCTCTCCCTTAGATATTTACCTTCAATCTCCATAATACCATCTAGCGTAAGGTAAGCTTTTCTCAGCTTATAAAATCCCTTTATAGCCTCAGTCACAGAGCCGCTGAGTACTGCACATATGGCGCTCGTGAGCTGAGAAACTGGTCCTAATTAGCAAGTTGACGTTGAAGAAACGGCGTGAGAGTCCTACTGGCATAGCACAAGAGATATTCCGTTCCAGGAGGGTAGATATGGGACTGAAAAGCTGCCGGTTCCTTCTGTGCTTTCTTCATGTCATCCCATGACTTTGTTTCTGCAGCTTGTAAAGTCTCTGATGCACCCTTCAAAAGTTCCTTCTCTACTCCTAACATAGAAGCAACAAAACTCGAGAGTCCCCTCCCAAGATGATGATAAGACGAATCTTGCTGCTTCAGAAGCTTATCTGCCTCTGCAACATCGTCATTCAGGAGTTGAAGAAGTGCATGCTCTACAGATCTCAGGTGCCCATCTTCTTCCTCCGCCGTCATAGTAGGCGTATGAGCCTTGGCCTTTGACCCGAACCATCGACTCATCTTGAGGCTTTAAGCTGACAGGGGCCGGCTTTCAGATATGTTCAAATCCTTGGGATCCGGATGTGTTCGGGATTTGTTTCATAAATAACTTGAGACTGCGCTCAGTCCAGAGTGGTTTCGCGGACGTAATTGATTCAACAAATCGAGAATTGAGGTAAAACAAGGCTCGTCTGACAGGATGTATTTATTGAAAGGTGATGCGGGGCAAAAAAGGATGGAATGTATTGTACTGTGAGACTTTAGATCTTCAAGAAGAAGGCTTTTGTATGCAGTTTCAGAACGAACAAAGAGTGAGAAAGCAACAGTGCCTAGCACAATCAATTGAGGAATTACAAGCAATATCTTAGGAAGGGATGGAAAATCAAAAATGAAAGAAAGGCTCCAACCAAAAAAGCCGTAGAGAAGGCAAGGCTTCGTCATGAACGGCTCGTACGTCGGTACGGTAAGATCTGCTAGGCATCTGCCTCCGGCTCCGGCTTGGCGATACCTACGGTCAAAGACTTAGAGCACGGGAGGCGGCCGCCGGAGCCTCTTGTTTTTCCGGCGTATTTGTATTGTTCCGTGTTCTTGTGGAACTGCACTCCATTCGTCGCCTTCGTACAGCCTTGAAGCTCTCTCTAAGCAGGCCAAACCAAAGCTCTCTTTTAAAAGTCCTAAATCCCATTCCGCCTCTCAACACCTGTCTCCATCCCACCCCAGCCTAACTTCACAATCATGTCTGCCGCTCCAGCATCTGGCGCAGCACCAACCACGAAAGCTACAGTCGCAGACAAGAGCGCCGATTCTACCAAGGAGACAAAGCCAGCGCCTGCGCTAGAGGAAGATGACGAGTTTGAGGATTTCCCTGTAGAGAGTAGGTCCCCCAGAGCTACTTATTTGTCTGTTTATGAGTGCGGAGTTGATGTGATGTGCTGGTAGACTGGACGCAAGAGGATACTGAGGTACCGGGCGATAACACGCACTTGTGGGAGGAGAGCTGGGACGATGATGATACGAGCGAGGACTTTTCCGCGCAACTGAAGTGAGTGGCGGACTAGAGGAGATGGGGGTTTCAGCTAACTAACGGTTCTGCAGGGAGGAGCTTAAGAAGGTCGAGGCGAGCAAGAAGCGTTGAGGGAAGGATATGAGTTAAAATCAACAAACAAGCAAGCCAGGTCACAATAATGGAGTTCACGGTATTACAAGAGGTTGCTGTAAAAGGGTAGCATACAATGGACATCATATCACGAGCATATCGATTTCTACTGGGTCCAAAGTGCTTCAATTTCTAGTGCTCTGAACTATGTACCGCACAAACGGGGCATCATCATCAAAATCATTACAGACTGGATTTACTTGGGCGGCCTTGACTGTATCAGAGCCTGATGCTACTTTTTTTTCTTCCGCAAGCATTTTACTTACTCGATAGAGCAGTGACACCAGGAAGTTCTTTGCCCTCCAGAAGCTCGAGTGATGCTCCACCACCGGTCGAGACGTGACTGAGCTTATCCTCGACCTTGTACTTAGCGGCAACGGTTGCGGTATCTCCACCACCGATAATGACGATCTTGCCGTTTTGTGCGGCGTCGACAGCTGCATCAAGAGTTGCTTTTGTTCCAGTGGCAAAGGCCTCGAATTCAAAGACTCCTGGGGGACCGTTCCAGAGGATGGTCTTGGCTTTGCTGATAGCGTTCTTGTAGAGTTCGATACTCTTGGGACCGCAGTCAAGACCCATCCATCCATCTGGAATGCCCTCCTCATCTGTAGCAGTGCCAGTCTTTGCGTCCTTGGCAAAGTTGTCTGCGGTGATATAATCAACTGGCAGAACAATCTCAACATTGTTCTTCTTGGCCTTCTCAATAAGGTCTCCTACGGTCTTGCTGCCGGCCTCGTCGAACAAACTGTTGCCAATCTTGACGTTCTCCAGTGTCTTCTTGAAGGTGAATGCCATGCCACCGCAGATGATAAGGCTGTTGACCTTTCCGAGAAGGTTGTCAATCAACTGAATCTTGTCTGAAACCTTAGCTCCACCCAAAATAGCCAAGAAAGGACGTTGAGGTTCCTCAAGAGCCTTAGCAAAGTACTCGAGCTCTTTCTTCATCAAGAATCCAGAGGCCTTTTGAGGGAGATCAACGCCAACCATCGAGCTGTGAGCTCGGTGTGCAGTTCCGAAAGCATCGTCTATGAAGCAATTAGCTTTCTAAACCTAAGAACAGCTGCAAATGACTTACTGATATAGATGTCTCCCAATGCAGTCAAGCCCTTTCTGAACTCCTCAACATTCGCCTTATCAGCCTTAACCTTCTTCCCATCGGGGCCCTTCGAGCTGCCCTCCTCCTCAGCATGGAACCGCAGGTTCTCCAACAGCACAACCTGTCCACCAGAAGCCTTATTCACGATATCCTCAACCTCCTTGCCCACACAGTCGGGAGCAAACTCAACACTCTTTCCTCCCAGCAGCTTCTCCAGCTCAGGCACAATGGGCTTGAGGGAGAATTTCGCATTGACCTTACCGTCTGGGCGTCCCAGATGCGACATGAGGATTACGGCCTTCGCACCGTTGTCGATGGCATATTTGATTGTTGGCACTGCGCCGGCAATTCTCTGCGTGTTGGTCACCTTGGTGCCATCGAGGGGGACGTTGAAATCGACCTTTTAGAGTAGATGTAGTAATCAGCAAGAGCTCTGAAGTAATGCTGCGTAGACTGCGGGACTCACACGAATGAGGACTCTCTTTCCCTTCAAATCGCAATCTGTGATGCTGAGCTTGTTGGAGAGACTCATGGTTGCAATTGATGTATTATCGGGATTTGGTTAAAGATTTTCTGGATTCAGAAAGGTTTGTACAAATAAAGTGAGGAGATTTGTAGGTTTTGTGATAATGGATGATGGATGATGGCAAAAGGAAGTTTCAGCCGCCTCGATCGATTATATGGTGGGGTGTTTATCGTTCGGGTTTGGTGGGGTGTTTGCAATCGATCGACTCGGCAAGCTTCGGTCAAAAACGTCACATCACGGTACATAAGTCCATAATACCACATTTAATTAAATCAGTATGTGTGATATTGACCTGTTTCTTTCCACTTCAATAATCGGCTGATTACTATGATTAAAAACTAGAGGACGATGCGAGAACATGTTTGCCCCATTATATTTAGGTTGTAAACGCTCTTTAAAATCCCAACAATTGCTCATTTGAACTGGGTCATGTTATTATCTTGATTTCAATTACCACAGTACCTTATTACAGATCAGAATACCGAGGTACTGTATTCATTCCGCAATGCCAATCGAGGTTCGACTTGATCGGAGAATTGCGGGAAGACTAAAGCTAATTTCGAGACCGCAAGTAATAGTTGAAGACCGACTATTGGAGCGCCGGATTAAGGACTCTTAATCTCACCTCTTATAAACATTATATCACGCGCAGCACCTTCCTTTAAGATAAACACCACAGACTGGTGACTAAACTAAGTTGTTTTGTAATTGCAGGGGCCCCATTGCAATTTGTGTAGATACAAAGCTCCATGCCCAACCCGAGCAACGAAACATAACCTGATACGCCGTGTAGCACCACATTCAACCCAAGTGCAGAAACAAGCACCATACAAATTCTAGTACGTAGTGCAATAATGATAGAATGCTTCAACGCCTATTTTCCCAATGCGAGTACACAAATGTCATATGCTGCTATTCTTATGCTGTTGGTCCCGGCCCAAACCTGAGAATGCATTACAACAGGCGAATGTTAGGTGATGAGGGAGCGGACTTAGCATCTGCTTCTTCAGCAGCATTGGATAAGGAGAGATATGCTGTCCATGCAATACCAATTGTTGACACGAAAGGCTACATATATGTTAAGATGATTACTTTACGAGGAATGGAAGAGCTTACTAGTTGGAATTGTATTGGCATCAATCGGAAATTGATGATTTGAACCAAAGGCCAAACCATGAAATTCGCCTTGAGAGTTGGCAGATACATATCACGGAGCTTGTGGGTAACTGCTCTTCTGCCACCTCCTTCAGCAACTGTCATAACCGTGAAGAAACAGGCGATCCCTATAGGATGTATTAGCATTATCCTATTCACACCGCAGATAGCAACATACCAACTGGCGCAAAGATAAGTTGGTCAAAAGCCACCATCTTCATCGCAGGTCCCAGTCCACTGCTCTTCGTAATCGGGAACGCTTTGGACAGGAACTGGAACCACTTGAATTGCACAGGCGCCATCATGAAACCATACGCCATAAACCTCGTTAATCTCTCAAATTCGAACGGCGGTGGTAGGTATTTCGAATCCGGGATCAGCTCGTTCTCGTTCAGAGGATTCTTTCTATCCAGCTCCCGAATTTCAATCGCCATTGTGTCATCATCCTTAATCCCTCCTGGCTTCCGCGCCGCTGCTAATTTTATCGATGTTATAGACTGTGCCACCGTATCTGCTATTCCTCCAAGCACTGCGTTCGTAATCATCATCGTGAGGACTGCGAGGTGTTAGGAGGTCCCCATAGCTTGGGGAAATGGGAATACGTACTTGGCCTGTCCGCATAGTAGGTGTTGAACTTAGCAGCTAGCCTCGACATGATGGCTATTTCTAAGAGGAAGATGACAGTGTTTACCACCGGTACCTGGTAGAATAGCAGGTGTCAGCGATGTTGTTGTCGACAGTCTCGGGAGGCAATAAAAGGCGGTACGCCATGATCGGGAACACCACATGAAGGTTCGTCCTGCGGGGAAAGAAGCAAACATACCGTCCCGTATATATATTTTGAGTTTATCGCTCGAGCGAGCCTTCTTCGGGGTATTTCTAAAACCATGGTGGCGGCTATCGGATTCAATAAGGCGCAGGTGTCGTGAGCTTCCCGGAAAGATATGACGACAACTAGAAATATGGGGTAGATCTTTGCTTGATTGCGGGTCGAATAGCGGATCGGATTCTCGTAATCGGAAACTTGAAGCGCCGATACTTATCTCCCAGGGAATCCCTCGTCGTCGTCGTGAAAGGCCGTTAGAATTCGAAGATGCAAAATCGCGCAGTTGTGAGGTTGCTGGCAACTATCATGGGATGTTGGAGAACCTTGCGCGGCTCAGTCTGTAGGTCGTTTCAATAGGTCACCTTCAGCCTAAAACTCGCTGTAAGGTGCTAAGAATAATCCTTGGTGGCGCAGTAGTGGTGTACTGTACCTTCGTACTGTACCGGTACAGCCGACTTGGCTTACTCCGTAGAGAGAGTCGAGACTTCAACCACGAGGCTTCTTCAAGTTGCGACCTTTTATGGGCAAGGCCGTAAACACTATAGGAGTTAAATGAAGATTATGAATGATTCTCTAATAATAAGAGGCTTTTGTTTATTTCTTGCTTTTGCAGGTAGGTATCCAAAAGACATGCCGGATTTAAGTACATTCTTTGAGCGGGGTAGTACAACACAAGAACCTCAGCTTACACCTGAAACAGATCCACCGAGCTTCTCGAGTATCCAACCATCTGAGGATAATTGCTATAATCAGTAGAAAAGAGAATAGCATCATTGCAATCACTTCCCAAGTTACTGTTATTCAGCCAAGCTGGTTCCCAGTAATGGACTCCTTGTCCTAGCCCAAGCGGTATTTGTTTCACAATACTTATCACATCCCGAGTCCATATTGTCTGCCCTTCAATGCTGTACGGGATTTCCGGCTCTGACGATTGTGGAATGGGATTGTACTCTCCGTTACATATTGCTGGGAAGTCCGTTTCAACGACCTGGATCGGCTTCTTGTACTCCCAAGCTAAAGTATTCAAGGTCGTTCTCAAGTTATCGAAGGTAGCAGCTGTTCCATAGAATGGATAGAACGAGAAGCCAAACACATCCCAATCGGATGTTCGAATTCCATTTGCAACCATTGCCCCGAACCACCTTTGCTGCAATGTTATATTCCACCCATCATCTATATGTATCATGATCTGAGGCCTAGATACACCCGCGTAAAGGGCATCGTCGACACCGGCTCTTGCTGCCTTGTAGAGGGTTGCCAAATTCGAGAAGTTTGCAATAGTTGCGGGCCATGGCTGAACGTCTACATCTGCATGGCCAATAGGCCAAAGAATGCCATGCCGAATTTCATTCCCAAGTGCCACTATCGCAAGGTCGATCCCAGCTCTATCGAAGGATATGAGGGTATCTTTAACATATCCACGGAGCGTAGAAGCAAGTGGCTCGAGGGTGGTAGGCCATGCCGCGGGAGGAGGTTGCTTTTGGGGGTCCGCCCATGAATCTCTGGCAACAATATTCAGCCTTTAGCAACCCTCCTACTATTCTCGCGAGACTCACGAGAAATGGAAATCGAGATATATTTTGAATCCCTTACTTTTGAAGCGTTTGGCAAGCTCCAAATTATATTCCAGTCCATTAGTCCCACCTTCTGGATTTACCCATATTCGCAACCGGACAGTATTCATGCCCCCATCTCCGAGGATATCATCCGCGGGTCTTGTCTGATTATGGCGCGTTGTATCTTTGTAGACGGTTCCGACATCTTCGAGGGTCTTCAGAGAGCTCAGGTCATGTCCTTTAAAGAAGAATGTATGCGATGAATCTTGACTAATGCGCCTTTAGCATTTCGGTTTGGAAAAAAAAATTGGGGTGTGGAATAGCCTACTTGCGGGGTAGCTTTGGAATGGCTGTCGCTAGAGGCAGAAGGAAGAAGAGAGTCAATAGACGCATGGTTTGTGTGATCGAGTGGCTAGCAAGGGAAGGAGAGGAAATATTATATACATGACCTAATAGATGTCACGAGAAGGGAGAATAATCCAAATCAGTCCAGGATTACCAAGTCTATCCTTATAGCTTTATGGGGAGAGCAAAAATGACATTATCACGAGCTAGCATTCCAAGCCTCACTTACATGCTAGCTTCGGAGCGGGGATTGCCTATCAGCATAATTCCACCAAACAGATGCCCGTCAGTTCTTCTGGAATATATCTTATGTACTGACCCCGCGTTGGCTGTGGGAAATCAACGCTTGCGGGAAACATTTAGTCAAGTCTTTGCTGGCTACTGTTCCTTGATTGGCACGGGTATTGTTAGCTACAGCTGTCTTTGAATGACATGTCGAGGACTGATGACCGACTTGGTGACTCGGAATAAATATCAATAGGGAAACCTTCTTCTTAGTTCTGATTTGCTAGTCGCAAATATTGCTTATGTGCTTGCTCAGCCCAGTAAACTCTTACCGAGGCAAAGCAACCACAAGGAAAAGGATTGCTCTCGAATTGACTCAGCCTTGCCTTTGTACATCAAGTTTGACCGGCATGAATCCTACGGCATCCAACCCTACTCCCAGGTTACTGCTTGCGCAGAAACACACGGTGAGTAGGATGAACTAGCTTTCCGAAGGTACACAGTGCAAATCAGTAGTATCTGGTTTATCATCATCGTCAATCAGAAGAATCATACTCGCAAAAGCCATCAAGATATAAGTGTTGTTCCTTTTGTCTTCCCAACTTCCATCTTGGCAGTTCTGGCCCCGAATTGGATCTATGACTTTTAGTTAGGAAAAGAGGGAAAATATGGAATGTGAAGCTTCTTACGGCTCGTTTCTTCTCCAAAGCAACAGAATGCATTCCTAGATTAAAAGCTAATAGACGTAGAACTTTCTTCCCTGCTTCTATTCCTGCGATCCCTGGCTCTTCCGACACCGTTACTTGGAATCCGCATTTCTCCCAGATCGGACATTCAACAGCCCATTTGACAAGAGACTCATCTAGATATGGAAAACGTACTTCTCGGCCCCAGTGTGAGATGACTCGATCATCACGGCCCAGATTTCGCTTTCCCAATCTGTTGACGTCTAACTCAAGCTCATCCAACAAAGCCGTAATTCCATTCCTGTTGAAAGCTGTCGCATGACGCGTGTATCCTCCAAATAATTCATCGGCGCCTAGGCCAGAGAGAAGAACACGAGCTGGAGTATTATACGGGACAACACTATTGTCCGAACCACTTGTTGCGATTCCAGCTCCGCGGGAAGCAAAATACAAGGCGAAAGCGATTGAGAGATCCATTTCCGTGTTGTGTGGTTTGATAAGGTTAACAACCATGGCTCGATGTGATATCATTTCTGAATATGAAACGTTGACCTAATAATAGTAAGCTAGTGAAGAAGACAAGAAAGAGGAGTAAATTTACCGCCACAAATCGCCAAACTCGGCTAGTACATACGTCCTGCAGTTCTTGAAAGCCTTTCCTTCCGGTTTCTCTATCGGGGCATGCCTCATAGCATGAAGTCTTGCTCTGGATTCTGGTAGTTTCTTGATTGTCGTTTTGGTGACTTTCTTGAGCATCAGTGCGCGCTTGTTTCTTTGACCTTGGTACTCTCTTTGAGGCCTCTATTACTCTTGGGTTTTCGAAAGCAACGTTAATTAAATCGATTTGCTGTTCAGTCGGGAGAAGATCATGTGCTATTCGCGCGAGAACAGTACAGTCAAGCCCGCCAGAAAACAAGATCGCAACGCGTACGTTGCGATCGTGGTCTAGACCTGGCGGTATTGGAACATTGAGGATCCTGAGCTTGAGAGACTCACATAGATGCTGCCGCAGTTGCGTCACCGATGTTGTATTCGAATCCAACACATATTTCATAGCCGGCAAAGTTCGGTTGAATGTGCCTAATGATGCCTGTTGATGATCAGCTATCGTCCATCTATACATAGAGCTCTCTTTTGGGGAATCCTTGATAACAGAGATAACAGAGATAAAGAGAAAGAGGTCCACTCACAGGTGACTCGGAATCCGGCATTTCCCAAATGTATCGACGTAGAGGTAACATTGACTCGGAGAAAATACTGCCCTCTGGTCCTTGATTTTCGATTGCGGGTTGGCTATTAGTGAATGAAAGGTGATACACCCCATCAGCCTCTACCTCTTTCCAAGTGCCGCTGGTGTGATCCCCAGTGCTAGAGAGTTCCATAGATTCAGGCGATCTATCGGCGTTGTAGAGTAGAGAGCGTCGCCCAAGACGATCGCGGCCAAAATAGAGTGCATTGTGAGTCTTGTCCAGGTACACAAAGGCAAACGGCCCAGAAATGCTTCGCAAGACCGTAAGAACAGCAGCGACAGATTCCGTGGCAGAGAGCTGTGGAGAAGTTGCTTCTGAAAGTAGATCGAAGATAACCTGACCATCGTTTTCCAAGACCGGGTATGTATCAACTTTCCATGCTTCTCCATTCCAGCATAACGCGGAATTGGGAGACTGAAATGGCTGAGCTTTAGTCTGGCCCCCTCTCAGAGCCAGAACAGTGGAAGTGAACGAGACATAGTAGGATGCTCCATCATCACATTCCACTATAGCCTTCGACTCCCCCACATGATCCGGACCTCTTCTGCAGAGCAGCTTCTTGAGCTCATCACCTGCAGCTTCGAAAACCCTTCGTGAGATGGACGCGTGGATACCACACATTGTTTATCACAGAGTCTTTACAGAAAAGTAAACGCCATCGTGAATGGTATTGGCTTAACCAGAACCGTGCGGTGTTTATGTTGGATATTTTTGTGTGGTTGGAAGGAAGTCCGCGTAGCTTCGTTAAAACTTAAAGTACAGTACCAGTACTGGACCAACGCGAACGAGCCGAGCTCGCTTCTGAGCTACAGTGCTGTCTTCGAGTCCGGATAGTGTTCATATTCTTTCAACAAAACAAGAAACCAACAACGGCAAAGGATTAGGCTGGACATAACACATTCAAATCCTGTATCGCATAGTCCGACGTGGTTTGGAAGGTTTTATACTCTCTGTTGCGTGCCTTTCAACCCTGCTAAAACCTCGAATTCCACTTGCCCCTGTACCCCGCCATACACCTCCAGGACTGCGAAGAAACGCCCAAGTGAGGAACAGGCGGGTGTATGTCTCCCCTTAGACAACCAGCGGACGCCATAAGCCAAGTAGATGAGTTTCCCGCAGACATTCAGTCTGGGGGAGCAAGTCAAGATGGTGAGACTCTAGGAGATGGGCACGACGAGATCCCGGAGGAAGGCGGGGCTGTGAAGCAATCTCAGGACGATGCATCATCTACACCTGTTCATACCAAAGATACCGAACTTCAAGACAACAAAATGCCTCAAGGTGTAGAACCAAGTTCGAACGAGGTGGGGCCTGAGCCAGGGGTCGTGGAAGGCGTAAATGCAGGAGCAACAGAGACAAAGACAGCACAAATACCAGCACATACTCATGATCCCATGGAGTCATCCACGGCGACCCTGAAACCAAACACCACGGTTTCCAAGCAAGCTACTGTGCAGACGCTTTCTCCAGACGACCAGACTTACCTCGATCCAACCCCAAAAACGCCAAGATCTTCACAACCACCTTCACGGACGGCCTCCAGTGCAACATCAATATCAATATCACAACAGGCCCAAAACACCGAAGCCCCGGAGAGGTCCCCCACAAGGTCCGATGCGGGATTCGACGAGAAGCCCTCCACGAGTGATGATGAGCGTGAGCTATCCTCGACCTTCGAAATACAGAGTATAATGGATCAATTTGGGGAGGAGGGACAAGGGCCAGACCACGAAGAGGTCATGTCACCACGATTAGAGATCGCAGGGACGTTACTTGGTAGTCCAATACAACATCCCCCAAGGAAGTCGAGCCTTGAACCGTTGAATTCTCCGGCAGCGAGCGCGACTCAGAGCATGCAAGATTTACGATTAGCTTCTAATACACCACACGGGCATCAGGGTTGGGATCCATCTGATGTCGGTCCTTCAGTCCCACCGAAGCCAGGATCTATTCATAGTTTTGGGCCCCCAAGGAGAGCAGACGATCGACAACAAAGTTTGGATTCTCCAATGTCTCCCCCTCTACATCGGCCGCCACCCCCCGAACCCGAGCCAGAGCCGGATCTCCCCTTCGATTTCCATCGATTTTTAGAACAACTAAAGCACAGATCTGCTGATCCTGTAGCTAAATTTTTGAGGTCTTTCTTGCAAGAATTCAGCAAGAAACAGTGGATGGTTCACGAACAAGTCAAGATAATAGGCGATTTCCTTGCATTCATAACACCAAAAATGGCACAGTGTGATGTATGGCGTGAGGTTTCGGATGCAGAATTTGATAATGCTCGTGAGGGGATGGAGAAGCTGGTGATGAATAGGCTATATTCGCAAACATTTTCGCCAGCAATACCTCCTCCCCAGCCAATCCCAGGAGCAAAACCAAGAAGGAGAGGGGCTGAGCGGCCAATGGGGCCCGGGAGGAGAGGCCAGCATCAAGAAGATGTCGAACGTGATGATATTCTTGCACAGAAAGTTAGCATCTATGGATGGATAAAGGAGGAGCATCTTGATATTCAGCCAATTGGAGACAGTGGCAAACGGTTTTTAGTATTGGCTCAACAAGGTACTTAATTATGATGGATACCAGAGCGAAATACTAATATTTGTACAGAGCTCTTGAAAATCAAGACATACAGAGCTCCTCGAGACAAGATAATCTGTGTTCTCAATTGCTGCAAGGTCATCTTTGGTAAGTGAAGTTGGTTGCCCACATTCGACGAAGACTAATCCAGGAAGGACTTCTCAAACATGCAAAATCGGACGGGTCTGCGGATTCTTTTATGCCCCTACTCATCTATACTGTATTGCGAGCGAATCCAGAGCACTTGGTTTCGAATGTTCAATACATTCTGCGATTTAGGAACCAAGAGAAACTGGGCGGGGAAGCAGGCTATTACCTTTCGTCCCTCGTGAGTATCGCGGCTACCCTTCATCGAATCCATCTAACAATCTCAGTCCGGTGCGATACAGTTTGTTGAAAATCTAGACCGCACCACGTTAACAATATCCGACAAGGAATTCGAGCAGAACGTTGAAGCTGCTGTCTCTGCAATAGCCGAAAAGCACCAGGCTGCACTTCCAGAACCTCCACTCCCTACCCAGCTTTCCGAGAAGTCTGGTCTCAGTCGCCCGGAAGTGACTCCCCGTCATTCAATGGAGGGAGAATCTTCAGCACCTCGGAAATCAACCTCCTCAAACGAGTATAGCGGTGATGATGAAAAGGCTGCTATAAGTGGTCTACTACGAACTATTCAACGACCATTGTCATCGATTGGACGGATCTTCTCTGATGATGGTGGCCCATCTCAAGCAGGTCCAGCCCGTACACCATTGCCAGGTAACACACCTCGTATGAGTCCCGACCCTCGAGTTGTTACGGATCCCCGTCAAGGTCTACCGCAGCCACCTGGACTACATCCCAACAACCATATTCGAGCTCGAATGAGCGCGGAAGATGCAGCCGCAAGACAGGCAAGCGCCGAGACTGCAGAAGTTCACAGAATGCAACGTGCAGAGCATGAAAATGTCGTACAAACACTGGCTGGAATGTTCCCTGATCTAGATCGGGAACTAATTAGTGACGTCGTGACTCAAAAGGATGGCAGGTAAGGTATTGTGACGGCTCTTTAGGAATATAAATTGACTTGAGTCTCATAGGGTGGCACTCGCTGTGGATGCATGCCTGGCACTCAGCTCTTAGTCGCTCGTTGTCAAGTGGAGGGAGGGGCGGGAAGTAGATTATAGCATTTACCGGTTTGACGGGTTTCGCGTCGTCTAGATATTATTGATGCATGGTTAAATTAAGCGTAGCATGAGGGCGTTTCATTTGATATCCCGGCGCGATGGGCTTCTTATAGAGCCAGAGAAATCTGGAAAGCAGAACTCTGCGAAATGTTGAGATGTAGTAATTATAATCATAACGCCTTGAGAGAAAGAGTCCCATAGGAAGTACATAAGGCTGTCTGAGTAAAAGGAGCATAGTATTCTGCTTTGAGCAGATATTTAATCGACTCTACGAGCAATATAATACCTGTATATCACAGTTGATCGATTATCCTACCACCATGACCATGGCCATGGTTCCTTCGATTTGGCCTTGCAGGGCTTAATGTTTTATATCGGAACAAGGCGGCCGCTAGCTTCTCTTGGCTATTGTAATTGTACTGCACTGGAGACTGGTAGCTTTAAAGTTTATCGGGAGGGCAGGGGCTTCACCCATCTTAGAGAGAATCCATTGTATTTTTCCTTATTTTTGGTATCTTTAAAGTTAAACCTGCCTACCAAAGTGTTTTGTCAACTTGCTACTTCAACAACATGGCAAAGAAGAAGAACCAGAGCCAGAATATTGGTGAGGGCTCGGATCCTCCAAGTCCAGCATCATCTGCGTCAACAGCAACAGCAAAACCAAAAGATACAAAGCCGCCTCAACCGTCCACTTCAGCTTTAATAATCTGCCGCAATAAGTATGTTCATATTCCAGTGGATAGTTTCTTATCAAGCCTATGTGTAGCTATATATTGCGCCTATTTTAGCCCATAGCATGGGCTTCAAAATGCTATTAAAATCGCAACAATTGACGAAGCATATTTCACATATTTCTACGAATACTAACATACTAGTAGGCATTGGCGCTACATCTCCTCTTTTCATGGCCCCTGGCTGCAATTGCCTCCCGAAGTGCTTGAAAGCCTTGCGAACAACAACTATAACCTTCCTCGACCTCGGCCAATTGACCCCGCTGTATTCTTCGACCTCCTCAAGATCAGACAACTCGTCGACGAAGCCACAAACCTTGCGGTACGTGCTGCAAGTGGTGTGACTTCGTCAGCTCTTACAAATTCATTGAATGCTGGGAACGGACTTTTGGGCAATGGAGGCGCAGCGTTGGGTCTGGGCATTGGTGGGGGAGGAGGCAATGCGAAATTGAGTAGGGAACGGAAACACCGCATGAGAGAGCAGGCGACGCAGAAGCTGTCTAAAGCATACCATTTGGATGAGATTGCATGTAGTGTGGCGACCATGCAATCTGCCTCTACCCTTGAAGATGTTGCGCAACTCGTCTTGCAGAGAAATCCGAATGACGCTGATGCGAAATATGTCCATTTCTTCCATGAGAAGATTCCTTCTCGTCAGCTAGCCGAATGTACAAGTCTTGAGCCTCTGAATGAAGTCATTGCAGAACGGCCGAGCGAGGGTGAGATATTAAGAACCCGTGCTGTTACTAAGATCTTTAAGGAAGACTTCTTTGGTGCAGCTCAAGATCTGACTGCAGCATTGCAGGTTTGCAGATATTATCAGAGCCAGCACAAGGCAGGGAGACAGCAGCTTCAACTGGCAAGTGAAGTTGCAGCTGAGAACCAGCGAAATGGTAGATGGAAGGAAGAAGTGAAGCTTGACGAAGAAGATCATCCGAGTAGTCTTGAAACTCAGCTGCTATTCCACCGGGCAGGTGTCTATCTAACCATTGCTTGCCAACATGTCAATGATGCTCTTCTACCGAAGCCTACAAATGGAGTCAATGGCAGAAAAGCAGCTGAAAGCAAAGAAAATGGAAACGTAAATTCATCCGAGACACCGGTGGAAACAGAGGCACCCGAGTTGAGCCCGGCCGAGAAAGAAGCACAACGAAGGCGTCTCGAGGCTAGGAAAGTTGTCAAGACTAATGCTAAGAGAGCCCTTCGAGATTACGTTGCCTACCTCGCGCATTTTGACTATACACCAGGTCTTCCCGCTGAAATCGCAGAGGATTTTGTGCGCAAGGTCAACCAAGCCGCAAATGGATTCAAAATCCCACGTCCTCAAAACGGCAACAATAATAAAAGCCTTGACTTGGAAAGCAATGCTTCGTTAAGCAACGGTCAACTATCCGATGCTCTTGTTCCTCATAAAGGCCCAAGTCGCAACCGACCCCATCCTAGCAATGGGTCCCGTACTGAGCTTCCAAGTCTACCTCCACCAATCGTCCACCAGATCTCATCACTTTTCTCTGCGACACCCCCAGCAGACCTCCCTCCTTACCCCGAGACGGCAACTACCCTAACTACCAAACAGCAAATGCACGCATCCCAGAATGAGGCCGCAAAAGCAATTCTAGCCCAAACAGACTGTCACGAGGCACTAACCTACCACCCTCTTCTGACAGATGCCCTCCACTCTCTCCTTCTCTGCCACTGCCTCGTCCAAACCTCAGCGCGCGAGCTCCAGCGCCATGCCCACATGGTCGCGCGCCTCGCCCGCGTCTGCGACGGCTACCCCATTTTTCAAGCCGCGCGTTCTCCCAGCCGCGCCGACTGGATCGAGGTCGTTCGCCGTAGCGACAACTGGATCCAGCTCACGCAGTCCTGGGAATCACTCTGCGCGCCCGCTCCTCTGCCCGGCCAATCTGCCAAGAACCAGCAGAAAGAAACAGCGGCCGAGAAGAAAGAACGTCTCAAGCAGCAGGCTATCATGGAAGCGCTCGAGGATGACCGCGTGCATGACGAGGCTAGTTTCCACGCTGCTGTTGCGGCGAGGCAGCGCAGACAGGAAGAGGAGGCTAGGAAGGCGGAGGGCAGGGAGATGCCGAAGCGATGGGCGCAGGAGGATGGGAAGGAGTATCCTATTTCTACTGAGCGTGCACAGGCTATCGTGCGCTGGATCCGGGAGGCGCCTGTTGGTGGTGAGGCTGGTGGGCCTCGTAAGAAGAAAAAAGGCAGTAAGATAGGCGCTAAAGGCAAAGCGAGAGCTGGTGTTGAGGATGCGATGGGTAGTATGAAAGTCCAGGATGAAGAGGAGGGCTTTGAGCAGCTGGAGGAGGAAGTGGACTAGATCCAGACCCTACTGAGAATTGCATGGTTAGTGTTACTTGTACTTAGCAATGATCTATCTGAACATACATGCATGTTTTGGGGCTTGTGGTGACCTACTAGTTGAGTCAATCCTTAGGCATCATGTTCTCCTTCTCTTTACTCTATAAAGTGTTCGTCTTCGCGTCCAGTGCCGGAATAAGTGTGTCGTAGTTACGCGAGGGAATAAGGGGTCGAGGGGTCGAGGGGTCGAGGGATTTCCCGCTTTGAAATTTACAAAACCACATGTCTCAAATATTGCCGGAGATGATAATATTTTCAATTCATCAAGGAATACTAGTCATAGTTTCCAGGGATGAAAAAGTCTATGTATAATTCTGGCTTAACTGTCTAAGACTGCCGCGTACAATGACTCCACCGCCATGAGATTCCAGCAACTCCTGTACTTGCGCCCCCGCTCAAATCCATACTCCCGCTCTTTGCATAGTAAAACCCCTCCAAATTCCGGTTACACCAGTATCAAATATCCTACGAGTTCTTTCAAAGACAAATACCTCTACCAGCTAACTCCAAGCTACACGTGTACCGGTGCTTATTGGTGTGGCTACAACCTAACCACAAGACAATGCTACAACAAAGTTACGTAACAGCTTACTTTGCGAGCTTGAAATAATTCGTGTCGTACTGCGCCCCGAGATTCATGAAGTTATCAATCTCTGCCAAACCGTTCGTCTCAAGATCTTGCATCAACTCTATTTGCTGCTGCTGGCTCAAACTACCCTGCCTCATGTGCACATCGTAGTCTTGGCCTCCCCACATGAAGTTTCCGAACGAGGCTGGTGTAGACCCAGTATGCATAACGTAGCTGGCGTCGGCGGTGGTGGGATTTGCCGGTGGTAGAGTTACTTGGAACTGGGGTGGAGGCTGTACTTGAACATCTGGAATGGGGTTCCAGGCATTCGCAAGATTATTTGGCTGTGTAAATTCAGGAGGGAAGTAACTAAACCGGCGGTCTGACTGCGTGTTTGAAGGAGCCCCAAATATGGAATTCGATCTGAATGAAGGTGGAGGAGGTCCCATACTTTGCTGCGAAAATGCGGGAATTTGCTCTGGCATTTGATTGAACACATACCCAAATTGAGGTGTTTGGAAGGTGATTTGTTGAGATTGTGCCATAGAGTTTGTTGTTACACTGGACTGTTCCGATGCCGATGAAGAATTGGTATCAGTGAGGGAAGAAGGCGAATTTGTTGATAGCGAAGACGGTGGGTGCGAGCTAGTTTTAACGTCGTAGCTCCTCGAACATGCTTTAGAAAGTTTCGAGTATAACTGCGAAGCAGCAGCAGTTCCGGGCCAGCGCTCCCGACACTTGCCAATGATATCGAGCGCGATCTCGATGTGTTCTTCGAGTTCTTCTTTTGGGTGCAAGGCGCGGACTTCGGGATATGATATCGCCCACAGAATAGTGTTCACCGCTTGGAAAACAGTCAGGAGAAATATCCAAGTTATATCAATACTTCCTGCATCCAAATGCTTGCTCTGACTTCTGATATTTGTGGCCGATGCATCATAACACATCATCGCCGATCCTGCTGAAGGCTTTGGAATCTGCGGCGACGGACGTCGAAGGGTCACGATCATGGTGTTATACCTACCTTCAAACCTGCTTTGTGTTAGGTCTTCAAGAAGAGTACTTGGACTACCAGGCACACACCATGGTTTGCTCCAAGTTGGGCTCTGGGGAGAGGCATCCAGCCAATCCTTGAGCTTCTTTTCCATTTGTGCATACCAAGGATGATCTTCGTTCTTCGGTTCGGGTCGCTTCTTTTGATAAAGCACCCTTCTCATCTCTGCTTGTAGCAGCCGCATTCGAAGAAAATGGATAGCCACTTGCTTCTTCTCCGAAACGGGGGCCGGCAATATCCCATCGGCAGTGATATATTCATCATCAACCGCTTCGAAGAAGCCGACATCAACGTGGTCTTCTCCCGCTGCAAATGCATTCGGGCGGCCCATACTGTGCGCTAAGCCCAGTTCCATTGAAAGGACTATCCATGAAAGCCGGCGCTTCATGTCCAGTTGTATCGGGTTGACCATGCCTAACTCTACGCCCTGGGTTATGGTTTTTTCCTCTGCCAAACCAAGCTGTTGGCATAGCCGTGTAGCCAAGCCCACAACATAATAAATCGCGGTACGCGTCGGTGTTAGTAATGAATACTGAGCCACCAACACTAGACACTGAAGGGTCTTGATATCCTTGGGTCGAATCACATCTTCCATGTAGCCCATGGCAGCTAGATAGTAACTATCTGCTAAGCCAGAATACTGAACATCAAGTTTCTGCATGCTTATTGCAAGCACCATCCGGAGAACAAAATTCTTGTATGGATCGCCACTGCCATCGTAGACTTCCTGAAGGTCTTTGGCGAAGGTGGGTTCGTGCAGAGTCGGAGTTAAGTACTGAGCTATTCTTGTGTCAATAAATCGTTCGTTCATCCATCCATGTACGCACGCACCAGACTGAGGCTGGAAAGCCGTGGAATGATTGGGAAGCACTGACCTTTTTGATGAAATATTTCTACCAACTTGTCCGTAACTAAGCGGGTGGGCAGCGTTGGCGCAGCTACCGCGCTTATCATGGGGTACGACTTTTTGCGATTCGTCGCTGATTCTGGAGATGGAATAGCAGGTCGACGGTTGCGGACCTCAGGCACCAGTTCCCGAATGCTTCTAGAATCCGTGTACTTCTTTGCCTCTTCCATGACTAGTCTTGTCATCGCAATGCCGCTGGAGGGACCCAGGAACCGTGGCGTCTCATCATTCTCATCCAGACGTATAAGTCCCCCGGGCCGCACGATATCTTCAGTATTCTGGGGGTGGCCTTCCTCGGTGTACTGGCCCATTTCAGCCTCTAGGGCCCGTACTTTTTCTTGTAATCGAATTACGTAGGTGCGAGGTATCTTCTTTCCCTTCGCAGTGTCGAAGTATTCGCATATTGCCCCAGCCCTTTCACATGGGAGGCAGCGCGGAAGGTTTGGATCACATCGCGTCTTCCTCTAGAAAAGGTTAGCATCTTCTGATTTGAAAGAACCGGCATGGCTACCCACCTGGCGACATCTACAGCAGGCGGTCAAAGTATGAGCAATTCTGGGCGAATGGTCATCGCTGTCATGGCTACTTTCTCGAAAAGACTTTGCTTCATGGGCTTTGTTGACAGATCTATGCGCCCGCCGGAAGAGATCCCCTGCGTCCATGGATGCGCTTTATGAGGGTTTTAAAGATGTGTTATTGTGGCGCTTGTTGGCTTTCACCATCGTTGAAGATGCAAGATGTAAGGTTCTATATGGCAGTGGTCCATGTACAACGATTGAGGGGCGATGAGTACGACTTCCACTCTAGGCGAATTGCCTTTGCCCACGGAATGATATTGAAAAGGACTCTCAGTTTCGCCTCGAACAGACAAATGAGGCACAGCGCTGGCAGCGTGGGAGTGTGGCAAGCATGGAGGAATCGCAAATGTGGATTAACTTTGACGCCGGGAAGTCGAGAGACGAGGAAGGAGCAGACCTTACTCTGTACGGCACTGGGCTACCTTATAATTAGACGCCGAGTAAAACCATCGCCGGGAGCTTGTATTTTGATGGCAGATGGGCAGGGAATACCGTACCGTACCGCACCGTACTGTACCTTGCTGTACGCTTCGTCTGACTAGGTTCAGTACCTATAATCCTAATATAAGTGAGCAGCGCGGGGATCTGGCCTGTTGAGGCGCAAGGCGGCTCCGGCTCCGGCTAAGGATGGGAAATACTCATAGTTGATATCTAAGAATAGGTAATTGATGCTGCTCCTAGATGAAAGGAAGAAGTGGCTTGCGACGTCGAAGAGGACTTACTTGGTGGACTTGACAAACAAAGAGATTGTGGGCGACGAGGGCATGGCATGGCATGGATAGGCATAGGCGTAGGTACCTTACTCGTAGGCAAGCAATATCGTGCAGTAGCATGTGCGGGAATTGTTCTAGCGGCCAAGGAAGGACACCAACACCCCCACCAACAACCCCTTGCGACCCTTATCGCCATCACGAGACCACAGTATGTACGTCTACGTCCCGGTCGGTACAGTACTCCTAGGTGGGTATGGTATATCTATATCTCGAGTAGCACTAGTACGGTGACATACGCGTGGAATCCTTCGTTCTTCAACCTTGGCTCGATGGAGCCTGTACAGAATCCTCCGTACTCGAGCAAACTGTGTTGCCGATATATGTAGCAAGCAAGTTCATAGTCGTGCTTTGGTCCTGAGCTTTCCATTCCCCACAGTACAAAACTCGTGCTTCCTTTTGCGGTCTTGACACATCTGCCTACCTGTGTTGCGTCCGACCTTGTTCCACAGAAGACTTCCGGAATTACTCGGTGTGGGCGCATATCATATACTCCATATTAGAGCCTTGCGCCATTGCATCGGATCGGTAACCAAAAGAGACACAACACGACTCCAGACAAGCTCGAAATCGAAGCAGCCTGAAGTGGTACATTCTGGCCGTTCTTTCCCCCATTCACTGCAACGGGAGCCTGCCTTGCCCATATCTCAATCTCCGAGCAAGCGCCACAGTCTTTGGAAGTCTCAACACCACGTTCAGCTGTTTCCGAGCGCCTCTGCGGAAACAAGAATGCGGTAATAGTCATCGACTGCAGCTCTTCACCACCATCAATATCAGCTTGGAGGGGTGAGCGAGCCTGACTAATCACTCAACTTCCACCCTGGGAAGATATGAATTTCGAGCTCTTCTATTCCTTAAAAGCTTGAGTCTATATTCGGGAGTGAGAACAAAAAGGAGAGATGCCTCGACCAAGCCCAAGTGTGGCTGACACGCCTCTTTTAAGGGTTTCGAGGCCAGTTTCTGCGTGCTCGAGATGTGAGTCCATAGCTATTCTCCACTGTTGTGTTAGGCGCGCTAATAGAAGAAACAGGTCGCGCTGCAAAGATCAAGGTTTGAGACAACTGTCTCCTTAATAGACCGCATGGCTGGCTAATGATTCCAAGTGCGATGGTAAACTACCAGCATGCACTGCGTGTGAGAAATCCGGACGTGCCGGTGAATGCTCGAGTGCCAACGATCAGTTTGCAAAGGGCAAGGAAAGAAGGTTCGTAAATTCCATGCAATTCGAGTCAATGTGGAATTTCTGGCCCCTCAACTCAGACTGATTTTCTGTCTGCCTCTCCAGCTATGTTGCTTCACTCGAATCACGTGTCGAGAAACTTGAGAGGAGGCTGGCCTATGCCAGATCTCGAAAGGCATCAGTGGCTATGCATGATATTGATGCGCCATTTCAAATGCCAGATCGTAAAGACTCCCTTGCCAATATACGCGCGGCGATCCACGGAAAGGCTGCCAGGCGGAGAGAAGCGGCGGATGTAAATGAACTTGTATCGGACTTTGGTTTTCTGTTAGTATACATGATCATTATCACTCTTGCTTGCTTGCCTTTTCTGAGGCTGATGTGTAATCCAGGTCTGTGAATGCCACCACTCGAGACTTTGAGACTTCGACATCAAACATGACATTTGCGCGTCTGATTCTTGCCGCCACAAACAATGATATTCTACCAGAGTCGCAACCGTTTCAGCTTCCATCACGGCCTGCGGCTATGGTTCTGATACAATATTATCTTGATCACGTTTATGCTCTCTTCCCCGTATTCTCGGAAACAGCGCTGCTGAATGCCCTCGATGCGACGTATCAGGAAAATGGCCGCCCGGTTACCGAGTTCGAGTATTGGCTACTATACTTTGTGTTCGCTATTGCGTCTACGGCTCAATCTCGAAGTCATAGAGACGCACTTTACGTAGACGGTGTTCATTGGGTTGGACGCGCATTACATTATGCGGATAAGGTTCTCATGCCAGGCTATGTGTCTCAAATCCAGGCCCTGCTCTTGCTCGTGCAATACTCTATGCTTGATCCTGCCCACTTCGATAGTTGGCACTTGATTGGCTTTGCTTGCCGCGCTGTGGTAGACCTGGGATTTCATCAGGACCCCCCGAAAGAGCAACAACTTGATAAGAAAACCGCGGAAATGCGGCGTAGAATATTTTATTGTGTCTATTCCCTTGACAGGTAAGTTGCGGAGCTAATGCAAGGCGCAGCCCATAAACTTACTAGACACAGGTCTATCAGCATGGTTCATGCGAGATCCCTATCTTTTACTGACGATTCTACGAGCGTAGATTTCCCGTCGCTATCCTTAGGGCTAACGTCAGGTGCTGCTGCAAAATCCCTTACTGGACCACATTCGCTTGAATCTGCAGATTTGCTGTTCCAACTACGATGTGTTCAATCGTCCTGGTATCAAGAGCTGTTTCAATCCGGTCGATCTCCTCTTCACAATGAGTATACCTACATTTGGCAAATCTGCCAGGAAATGCGGGAATGGTCGGAATCTTTTCCCGAAAGCTTACCACTCGCATTCAAGGATTTCTTTGACCTTGAGCTCCTTTACAGCTACGTCTATTGCCTTTCACCCTCGTGCCGTATACCGGCTCTGTCACTCTATGCGAAAACCTTGATTTTCGAGTACAGCATTGATTATATGCAGAAAATATTTCCCATCAGCAGAGACCCCATCAACGTCGCATTCTACACTTATCATGATGCGCTCCGAGTCTATTTTGTCGGAAGCCAATTTCTTGCAGTCTTGATGTCAGACCAAGATCAACTTCTAGGAGGCATCCTTCCTTACACCCCAATAATTCCGGGCACTCCACCACCACCACCTTTACCATCGAACGCTGGAATTAATAGCGTCGATCGAAGTATAAATTGTGTAAAACACATTAAAGGAACTTTGAGGAGCTTTGGTCACCGCTGGGACGACTCAAAGGCTCTTTTATCAAATTATGAAGCCCAGGTTGAGCCACTGCTCGCTTCTCTACACCAAAGGAAACACCACATCGATGGAATAGCCCGCAACAGTAATACCCCCCCGGGATTTGTTCAGCAAGCTAGCTTCGATCACATGGGGAACATTTCTACCGAAAGTTGGGCGAATGCGGGAGTCGCGTTTGCGAGTAATTCTCTGCAAGGCGGGCTTGGGCTTGGGCAAGGGGGGTCGGCGCATGGTTTGTAGCAATGATATCCCGCACGAAGCACGAACTTTATGAACTCAGTATTAGGCTCATTCTCTATAGAAAGTCGATTTAGAGAAGTTTCAAACTGAATTGTGTTCCGATCCCTTTTCACTCGTCATTGCCGTGCTAGCAGAGATAGCCAGTCGTACTTTCCTTCTTACTACTAACTCTCTATGTGCTTGCCAACATCCTGACTTACTCTCTCATAAGATTTAACGCTATGTATTATCATCGGGACCTGCTCGTCCTTCCTCGCGCCAGAGTATCGTTCGTCAATCATCAATTTTACATAGGCACGACAACGGGCAAGTGATTGACGGTGCTTGCTTCATCATTTAGACTCTCCACAACATTACCATCATCATCCACATACATTTTGGTCTATCACTATCCTCAAGCCAGCTTCTTCTTGCCCGTGAAGGCGAACAGCACGCTTTTCGATATGCATGGTGCACTTGGTAAATCTCATCCCCTCTCTGCAAATGTATCTCGCTCACCGAGGGCCCTCAGCTCCGAGGTTGCATCTCTCCAGGCCTCGATTTGAACCAAGCGGCATTTTCAACATGCGACGTGCTTTCAAATTGACGTGCATGTCACTTTTCGTCCTCGCCGTCCTCTATCCTTCATCGATACTTCTCAGCAACAAACCCACGACAACGTCCGCTCAATACAATTCCGCCGAAAATCAGATTCATCTACGGATGCCCGTGAATGGCATACCTGATCGAAATGTACTCGTTCAGCACTTACCGCGTCAACTTGTCTTGCCTGACTTAGAAGGAGATCCTCGTTCGTGTCGGGCTAGAGAATGTCACCACCAGGCGCTTGAACAGCTCTGGAGTATAGCTTGGTTCTGCCGTGAATTCCCCAAAGATGAGCTATGTGATCTAAGCATTATCCGGCGTGCTCCCCCGCAGCTGCTATCATGGCAGATTGCTTACTGCCAATACTTCCCCGAAGATTGTCCAACCCGCACTGTTCGTGGCGGTTTTGATGGGTCTGAGTCGCTAGGGGTTGATATTGTCCAGACTCTTCCTCCTTACTGTAAGTACCATCCCGACTTGCCAGATTGTTCCGCCATCGAGAAACGACATCGGCATTCGTCGCTTGAGCAACGTGAACTTCCCTCTGGTCCTCTCCAAAGTGCTTGCGAGCACATCGATACAAATTGCCATGTTGGTCCCCATCCATATGAGTTTGAACAAGCACAGGGCGTGATGGCTCTGCAGCGTGAGAAGAGAAACTGCGGCGTGTTATTTAGTATTTTCTGGTGGTCAAGTTGCAACAATAAAGATGCCCCCCTTCCCACCATCGAGGAGCAGGACGGAATGGAATCAAGGTATGAAACGTGGGTACAGTGGTTGGAATCACAAGAATGGCTAGTCCGACCTGGCGACGATGACGAGCTCAACAGCATCCCAGATCTTGCGTTAGATGGTGTTGCTCGCTTCAGTCTGCAACCCAGATCCGAAGTAAAGGGTTCGTCGTTAAAAGGGACTAAAGGCACTATCAACAATCGCAAAAGCCAACAAAGATCATATTCTGAACGTATAGTGTTGTACACACTCGTCAGTCTCATGGGTTTCAGTATCATAAGCCTGGCAGTCTTCTTAACCTTAAGAAGGTTCATCAAACGACACTCGTGGCATCCACGGGTAAAGAAGTCTGTAGTACCGCCTGCGACGGTTTCCGCGGTCCCTAGCGCTGCAGTTGGAGAGCAGAGATCCGGTGCAACCAGAGGGTTCTACGGAGAAGGTCAAAGATCAAACATGACGCAGAATCATCATGCTAGTACTGGTCTCGATGGTAGTCTCGATGCAGTTAACGATGGACGGACCATATTGACTCAAGACAAACGCGGGGCTGAGGTTGGTGCTGCTATTCATTTCCTTGGATTAAGTAGCTAATGTCCTTCAGAATCATCTTCTATACCAATATCCATCAACATCTCGGACTCACGCACCTCAAACTGAGTTTTTGGCTTTGCCCAAACCAACGTTCGCCACTATGCATAGAGTCAATGGTCTTCCTGAATTCGATGGTGGAGCTGGGAAAGACATATCCAAAGTTAAATGGACCTCTACAGTTTGATTCACCACAGGCACTTGTGGAGTTTGGGCCGCACTTACATCAGCCTAACTTCGGCTGAGTCTTTATGGTTAGATAATCTCAAACTCTGCGAATGGATCTGATCCTGTGCTTTGGCATCTGTGGAAGGAATACAGGAGTCTTGTAGTGCGGCGTTGTTTTCTTATGCATGCACTACAGTTAAGGGAGGGCTACTTTACTATTTTGCTTTGTTTAACGAGGCCTCACAATTTCATTCTTTGAAAACTCTCCTGTCCAGTGAAATACATGAATTGCTTTCATCCATTATGATTTAATGTTCTCAGATCCACTCGGTATCTTTGCAGACCAACCGTTAATTTTTCTTATAGCCCGTAAAATGTGCGATACAGACTGTAACACCCGGAACGAATTCATTGAAAGTGCACACAAGTACGAAAATACGAACCAGTAATACATTAAAATTCCTGTCCATACCTCTTGAGATGCCCAGCTGACGAAAATCGCAGTACAGTACTCTGAATGCAATGCAAAGAGATAAACAACAACAGTAGGAGCTCTCGGACTTTCAAACCCCTTCTCACTTCATTTCCGTAGCATCCGTAGCATGGTGAGTATCCTATTATCGCGAATTAGCTTTGTCCTAGGCATGATACTTTTAGGTATAGCACTGGGCATGATTTTAGGTGCTAGTAGCACTGTAGGGTACATTACATACCTCAACGTGTAGCAAATCTCCTCCCTTCTCAACATGATTGGAGCCGCCGAATATCACATCTATTTCTTCCAGTGACACTTTCTTGGTCTCGGGGATTAGGAACCAGACGAATGCTGCTAGGCAGATGTTTATTGCGAAGAAGAAGTAGAATGTTTTGCTGTGGCAAGTGTTAGTATTGGTACGGGGGGTATTGGTGTGTATAGTATATAGAGAAGGGGAAAGATGAGAAGAATATAACATACAAGCCACAGTTCTTCAAAAAGGTCGGGAAGAACTGCTGGAAGATAGAGTTCGCGACGTTTTGCATCTGACTACTCATACCCACTGCCTGGGCACGCACGTTCATGGAGAAGACCTCGGCGGTCCAGATCCACTAGATCACAGGGAAGTTAGTCATTTCCTATTCAAGAAAGTTTCGGGGGTAGAAGGAGCTTATGTTTCCAGTTTGGGGAATTTATAGGAGGATGTAGAGCACATGAGACGAAACATGACAGAAGGGGGAGGGCAAAATGAAAGAGCTAGTTATCCTTACGGTCGTGGCGCCCCAAGATGGTTTGTAGAAGAAGCTGAAAAAGAAGAGCAGGAAGACGATGGCGATACCGACGGGGTGGGACTTGGAGCCGCCTTTCAGTGTCGGCGTCTGCAAGCCGACTTCGGTGACGATGAGCATGCAGATGGACATGCCTATCGCGCCGACGATGAGCAGGGCCTTGCGGCCGAAGCGGTCGACGGTCCACACGGCGTTGAGGGTGAAGATGATCCCGAACGTGGCGTTCAGGGCGTTGATGAGCGCAATTGTGCTAGATGAGGTGAAGACTTTCTTATAGATGGATGTCGAGTATGTGTTGAGGGTTCCTTGGCCCGTGAGCTGCTGTCCCACGTTCAGGACAAAGGCGAGGAGGAGACGCTTGCGCACGGAGCGGTCTTTCCACAAGGCTGTGTAGGATGAGGAGATGGCTTCTTTTTCGAATTCGAGGGCTTCGCGGATGACGAGTACTTCGTCTTCGACATCCTGCTCTGTTTCGCGGACGCGGCGGAGCGAGGCGCGTGCTTTGTCGACTTGACCTCCGTGTTGGATATACCAGCGGGGTGATTCTGGGAGTACAATATCGAAGTTAGTATTGTGTCAACTGAAAGAGCCTGGGAGTTTATAATATCGGCCGTTATAATATCCCATGAAAAACGACTGTTGAGCACCTGAAGTACGAAATAATCCCTCATAAGCTAGCTTACCTGGAATGAATGGTAGGAGGGTCATGATCAGTATTGGCACCATCATCTGAAAGATTACAACAGTCTTGAAGAGAGGTTAGTAATATGTTTTAATCGACATTTTGGAGAAGATCAAACCTTCCAATCCCAATCCCCAAGCTTTGCACGATGCAAAGAGCATGCGTAGTTTATCCAGTACGCGATAAAAGAGCCGACCGAATAGAACAGCTGCCAGAAAGCCATGATCTTTCCTCGAATGTGGACTGGAGCAAGTTCACCAATGTAAACAGGTCCTGCCGTCAAAGCAGTTCCTTGCCCGATTCCGATGAGAACACGCCCGGCAATAAAAACCCCAAGGTTTCCTTTTGGGGCAAATGTCTGCATGAAAGTTGCGATCACTGTGATGAAGCAACCAATTCCCATACCCCATCTTCGGCCCAAAAAGTCTGCCAATGGGCCACCAAGAAAGAACCTGATGCCGGTTAGCTAATGACCCCAAAGACGCTTCATGATATAGAAGACGGAATTGAGCAGTTGGAGCTGCTGAACTAGAGCTGACATGAGACTCACCCTGAGATGATAGCTCCGACATTGTAAGCTGTATTAACAGCTCCAATCAACTCTGTATCGGGATGATTGAAATAGGCAACCCAATGCTTCGAGCCTTGGACAGAATTATAGACGGAGGCATCGTATCCATAGAGCACCATGCAAGATGCTGCAACAAGCGAGATGTACCTGAGACATGTCAGTGCTGAACGGTCATTTGTCGTATTTTATATTAGCTAGCAGCTCTCACCAATTGTACGCTCTGGTTTTGTTCATCATCTTGAAAAAGAATTCAAATGTTGACCTCGTATATCCTGACGAAAGTATCTGGCAATAAAGAGTTCAACTTGAAGATATGTCATTCGCTGATTGTTCGGACTCAAAGTTCTCGACCGACACCACGAAACTTCGTAGAAGGAAAGGGCAGAAGTTTTTCCCTACACAGCAACCCAGGTTCTTCGCTGGGGGAACCTTCCATAAATATATAACAACAGCTGCACCTGCACCTGCAGATGCGGCTGGGATCCAGCAGCCACAGGGCTTGAAAAGGAATCTCAGATTGCATGGTTCTTCGGCGAAGAAACTTAACTTTACAGCAACTATAATAAATAGAACGCGGCGTAGGCCAATAGAAGTGAAGACAGGACGGAATGTTGTCTTCCCCATACCCCAGATCATTGTTGGAGGCGTTGGAGGCGTTGGTTCCGTGGGAAGATTCTGAGGGTCATATGTTCCTCCAATCAGAGATTTTCCACCACGAATCGCGACTCGCGAGCTTCATGGAGGAATAAGACCGGGATAGCTCCAATCTCCCCACAAGCAGTTGACGTGTCGAGGAAATGAGAAGACTTTCCATGTAGCATCAGAGTCATGTGCATAACCTCCGACAAAATGGGCATCTTGGCTATCCACCAGGAATTTGAGCATCTTGTGAAGCTTCACTTGAGGCATCTCACGCTGTTTGCTTGGCATTGCTTTCGCTTGCTCACGTGAAGCGTGTCAGCAATCCTGCAACACGGGTCTTTACAGTACGGTACAAGACAAGGTTGCTAGCTCTCTTATTTTGGACACACGAAGCTCGGGAGAGCGCCCAACGCGCCTCATCGATGATGTTTCACTTCCCCTCCGGCTTGCTTCCGGATTGTGGTGACTGTATGGACCAGAGGGGTGCTCGTGGAACGACATGCGGCTTCGCCATCGTGTGCACACGTTAACGGAAGAGCTTCCATTCGCCGTTGCATGTTCGAGCTGCATGTTCTATCAATTGAGACATCGAATGAGAAAAAGCCGACAGGTGTGTGCGATCCAGATCCTCTTAATGTTTGCTACTATCCATGCTCCAAAGTGGGGCGACAAGTGTACCAACCCCCCTCCTTCGGATGCATATTCTCCTTGGCTTAGTTACACAGATTTCATTTGTCCAAGAGTTTTGATTCTTGACGGCTGTTCATGTAGGTTGAATGTCGTCTTCACCTGCATGAGAACGGACGTCAGTCTTGGGTACAGCATAAGGCGATAAATTGAACTTGCGTACCATTTTCTGTGTCTGATTCTCTTTCGAAAATTTGATCATGCGTACAGAGTGCCAGGCTGTTCCAGAAACACAAGATTACGGACATCGACAATTGTTTGTTTACACGGGTTGAAGAAATACCCAGTCGTTGGTCTATCCCAAGCGGGAATGACTATACAGAGAATCATCTGTACTTTTCTGAACAAATTGAACCAATTGCTCAAAAATAGACATCGGACGTCTAGTTTAATTAGTGCTATAATTCCACTCGCTCTTCGTGGTCGTTTTACAAAAAACATTATCCAACAGAACAGTTCAACTCGTGACAGGGAACCTTGAAAAGTCTCATACTCCATACTCCATAAGCGTGATCTCGGGGAACACCTCGTCTGGAAACTCCTTCTTTCTAGACTCGAAGGTCGACATGACAGCCTCCTGCGTCAACTGAAACCCGGCAGCGAGATCTGTTTGGCGTTTGACTAATGATACACCGGCATTTGTTTCCCAGCGACCTTCAACTTCATCGTCTTCATCCTCGTCTTCCTCGTCATCCTCGCACCCGTCTTGCCCAGCCACGAATATAAGCTCTTTTAGGTGAGGAAAGCTCTGATGGAACTTAACTATCTTCTTTTCAGTCCTACCACTCCCCGGTGGGGAGAAGACACTACCCTCTAGGTCCATCCGCCACAGGTGCTCAGTCAATGCAAGGCGCTGGATCTGGTCCTCGTCTTCGAAAGAGTCGGCATGTCTGCGGAAGAATCTGAGCATGAAATCAACCTCGTTGTCATATAGCCTCAGCCCAAAGTAGACGATATCGCAGATTGGATTGAAGTAGGTCCGAGGTGGGGATTTCGCAGATCCAAAGGAGAGAGAGTATATTCGGTTCCCTGCTCGACGGGCCTCTCGACAAGTATGAAGCACGGGTGGCACGGGTTGGAATGTCCAAAATCTTTGGTTGCCCGTGCTATATATTAGCTCCAATGTCCGAGTCGTCATTGAAGCGTTCTCCCAGACCTTGAAACGTAGTTCGATTGGTAAACGTGGGAATGCGGTGAAAGTAGGCGACTGGGGATCATCTAATGACGAAGACATTTTGCGTCTGAGAAATTGCCCTTTGTCTTGAGGTGAGTCTTCTATGTAGCGGTTAGCAGTGTCGATTTGATTAACGAAAGCCAGTCTCTTTACCTTTAATCTGCAATGTGTAAAGTTTTAGGCTAACTTAGAAGGGAGTTCTGGTAGTGTACTAGCAAGTACTATTGAGATTGAACGTGAATTGCCAAAAGTTATATGTGCATTTATATAAAATGACATTGCGAGTAAAATAAGATAGTGCCAGTCAGGTGGGCATTTTTAACAACAAACATTTGCATGTGGTACCTGTATAACCCTTTCAGCTCGGAATAAAGCCATTTTCGCTTGCCTGCCACCTACAGCAGCGTAGCACCTTTGGCCTTGGCAAGCGACGCAACCACCACAGATACAATCTTCGTTTGCGCCCCTCTTCCATAATCCACATGATTATGTGAATGCGCCTGGCGCAAGGGTAATTGAATGTTGACTTGTTGGTAGCTAGTCAGGTATACTGTGCTTTTTGGGGCTGATGCAAAATGGTATTTATAGTCCGAGGCTTGCTGTGCTGAACTCTTGCTGATCATTAGTTACACAGCTGTCCAAGACTGAATACTTTGACCGACTCTATGCGTTGAACGAGTCTTCTTCTGATGACGAAGTGGATGCCAGCGATGTCTTAGGTTTTTTGAGCAACGGTGATCGTCCTCTAGTATCAGTCTCAGTATCTTCATTGCCGGCTTCTTCAAGTCAGACCAGGCAAAGAAAGAGCCCGAGGCAGCCACCTGCCATTCACCGAAACAACTCGGCACCTCAACCCAGTGTCGGTGTCAAGCCTGATAAGACTCTCACACGAAAGACTTCTCTGCTTCGCTACGATACTCCCACCCCTCCATCAGGATCTTCTTTCTCGGGGAAAACTTCATCCGTGCTGCCATCCTCAAGCCATCGGCCTGACCCGGAACGTCGAGTTGTGTCCGATCCTACTGGAGGTTCATTGATCTTGAAGAACAGCACGGGAATCGCAAGCATGCTTCAGAAGAATCAAAAGCGAAAGCGTCAAGCCACCAAGCTTGTTCCCGAGGACCAACAAATCTTCCGGGGCCTTGATTTTTACTACCTTCCAGCAGATGACAAGAACCCTAAACGGAGGATGCGGATCACAAAGGCTAAGGAGTATGGTGCTAAGTGGACTACAGAATTGGAAGATGGTGTCACGCATATCATTGTGGATAACTCGCTCACGTATGAACATATCATGACGTATCTCAAGGAGACTCTAAAGGTTCAAGCTCTACCAAAAGGAGCTATCCTAGTGAATGAAGACTATCCAATTGACTGCATCACTTTTCGTCGAATCTTGGATTCAAACCAAGATCAATACGCTGTCAAGGGAGCCGTCATAGAGTCCGAAGAGAAGCCAGCGTCGCAAACGAGTCCACAGGTTGCCCAAGGCGAAGAGGATATCCAAAGACGAACTCCGCCGCGAGAAGATTCCGCATCACAGGCTAGGAATGTAGAAGGTGAAGGCGAAGCGGAAACGCAGAGAATCTCCCAAAACCCATCACCTGCAAGGAACTTCCAAAGAGAAATGGGCTTCAACGACCCTCTTGCTGAGATGATTGAGTATGTGCAGACGAAGAAACATCTCCCCCTCGACGATGAGGAGGATGAGGAGCGGCCATCGTCTAGCGACAGTATGCAAGATCCGGGTGATTTCGATGACAGCAGAGAGAGATCTCCATCTCCAGTCCGAAAGTCCTCTAGGAAAAAACGCAGAGGGTCCAAGGGTTCTTTCAACCAGAACAACTTCAGCTGCATGACGGGAGGAACTGGTGAGATCACATCTTCAAATCCGAACGCACGCACAATCGAAGTCCTCCAGGAGATGGGGGATTTCTACGAAAAAGTGAAGGATCAATGGCGTACAAGAGCATACAGGATGGCTATTGGAACCCTCAAGAAGACAATGAACAAGATAAGAACTGCTGACGAAGCCGAAGAACTTCCCAAAATTGGCAAGCGGATTGCAAAGAAGATCGAGGAAATTGTTCTCACAGATGGATTGCGTAGATTAGAATATGCGAAGCAAGACCCAACTGATCGCATTCTACAAAATTTTCTCAAGATATATGGTGTCGGTCCCAGCCAGGGACTCAAATGGGCCCAGCAAGGCTATAAGACTCTCGAGGACCTAAAGGCCCACGTCCATTTGTCTGAGAACCAGAGAATTGGTATTGCTCACTATAATGATTTCGACACCCGGATTCCGCGCGAGGAAGTTATAGCTCTTGGTAAGTCACCCCCTCAAAGCAATCTTGCCCTTATTTCGGACAATTCAGGAGCAGTCTAATCTATGTTTTAAGAGTCGACTACTCCTGAAATATGGTCTTAGTCCCAGTGGAATATTATCCCAACTCCCAATTCTTCTCATATCGATTAATACTGACTCTATTATCTCGATTATAGGCGACATAGTTAAGTCAGCAGGTGCGAGCATTGATCCAAACATGGAACTCACAATCGGAGGCAGCTATCGACGAGGTGCAGCAACGTCAGGAGATATCGACTTCCTCATAACCAAGGCCAACACAACAACAACCATCGACCTGTTATCATTCCTCGAGGATCTCGTGCGCCACCTTACGGACACCGGGTTCCTCGTCGCAGCCCTAGCAGTCCCACGTGGCGAAAGCTCCTCAAAATGGCACGGCGCTTGTGTCCTCCCCGGAAACCCCATCTGGCGTCGCATTGACTTCCTTCTCGTGCCGGAGAGCGAGATGGGCGCCGCGTTGCTTTACTTTACCGGTGATGACATCTTCAATCGGAGTATGAGATTCCTGGCAGGAACGAAGGGGTGGAGGTTGAATCAGCGGGGGCTGTACAAGGATGTTATGAGAGGTGCTGGGAGAGAGAAGCTGAATGAGGGGATTTTGGTCGAGGCTGCTGATGAGAAGAAGATTTTCCGAGCGCTGGGAGTGCCATGGAGACCGCCGGAGCAGAGAATCTGTCATTAAGTTGAGATGGATAGGGAGTAGGTAGTTAAGGTATGCGATCATGAGGCGTTAGGTTGGGTATGTGGGAAGGCATTCAGGGGTATTCATTACAGCAGGACTTCACTGAGCATAGCGACGGAGTTAATAATATGCATTCGTATTCTCATAATCATCAGAAATCCAAGCAAGATATTTAATCCTGCGCTTCGTCTTGTAGACTGTGAGTAATGATTCCTCACTTGCCCCTTTATTTTACTTCACTTAACTTCACTTCGCTTTAATGATTCCATTCCAGCTCAGCGTCCCACAACATAAGTGCAAGACGCCCCCCGAAAAATCTCAGAAGTCATACTGTAACACATCGTACCAATCCAATACACTTCCCCAACCCTTCCTTCCTTCCTTCCTTTCTTCCACGCTGCTCTTATCATCCCATCCTATCCCAACTCATCTCAAGTACCACATGCTAGCTAGCAGCTCGATATTCAGTACCTTAGTTACATAGCACAGCACAGCACTGCACGTGTCACGAAAACACGGCATTGGTTTTCCAAAAAGGAAAAAAGAGGGTGTAGAGAAGATAATTGTTTCCCGATGACGCCTGAGATGACGCTGTGCTGTATACAAGGAGAAAGGAAAGGAAGAATGGTCCCACGAAAACACGGCATTGTGATATGAGATATCATGTCGTGAGATGGGTTTCAGATGCTGCAAGAAAGGAGGAAGAAGCATGAAGGACCCATAATATATTATATTACAATATTATTATGTTTTTTGTACATCGATTAATATGTGTCTAAAATCGGCCGTCTGTATCAATCAATACATACATTTTCTTTCATTCCCTTTCCATTCCTTTCTGTCAAAGCGCCTCGCCATAGAAGTGCGGATAGGGGGGTATCAAAGCCAAAACCGCCCATCCCATACGCCCTGAAAAAAGGAAAAAGCAGACGTTCTAGCCGTCGCTCTCTTTGAATCCCATGATAGAAGTCCGCTAATAATGACAAATAGAATGGTCGAAACGTAATGTAATGTGTGGTCAAATAGCGCCTTCTTCCCCATCGAGCACCCGCCTTGCGGCGTCTAGTCTGCGCTTCCAGACCCGGCTGTCATAGCTTTCACGCCCGGATTCCGATAGACCTAATACGCATTTTCCTAGACTGGCTACCAGTTTCTCAACAAGAATTTGATCTTCCTGCGCTAGCATGTGGACTGGCGACCCCTGTTCATTTTCTCTTGAACCATTTGGCGTGAGCGACTGACTGGATTTGGCTTTGTTCACAAGGGGGAAACTGCGAGCCGATCCAGTTGAGCCTTCGCTGTAGGACGACTCGAGAGATGCGACGGAGGCTTTGTGCGGGTGGCTCGTCCCATCCCGATTCTTTCGGTCGTGAATTACAGACGGAGGCCTCTCCATTTCGTCTGATGGTGATTGTCGATCAACTGTGTAACCATTTTGGATGGGAGAGCCGTCACCAAAAGTCAGTCGCTTTGCGCTCACGGGGGTCGATGAATCGCGTTCGGGTGCAACAATGTGTTGAACGGCAAAGTCTCCCCGGTCCTCATCTCGTAGATCCACTGAACGTCGTCCCTCTGTCGCCGTTGCAAAAGATGCAAATGTCGACACGGAAGTATTGCTACTGTTTCGGATATGGGAAATTGGCCTCCCTCCTGTGGTCTGCGTTGTAGGACCTCTCGTTGTTTCTACAGAGTCATCAGAGCTGAAACTTTCTCGTCGACCATTTCTTTGCCGGCTAATAGTACCCATGGCACTGTGCAAGAAGAAGTGTTCGTAATCGAATGCGTCTTCACGATCCTCGTGTGAAATAGCTGTCGTAACAGTGTCATGGTAAGACGATGCATCGCTCTCATAGTCATCAACCTCCTCGCGGTTAACAATCTCGTCATTATAGTCATCTTCATCAGTCTCATTCTGCTCTTCATCTTTCCCAGCCAGTTTTGCACCATCATGTTTTTCCTCTATGATTCGTGGTTCTTGTGGGCGAGCTGAAAGATCTGTCGAGTGGAGTTCTTCGTTAACATCTTCGTAGACGCTCGTAACATCAGAGGCTGCATACTCGGGTGCATGTCCCTGCTCCTCATGACCAAGCCTCTCGGGATTCGCATCAACATTAATATCTTTCGTGTCCTGGGATTCTTGATTCCAAGGAGGATGCGCAACGCCTGCATCTGCACTCAGCCCACCCTCACCATAGCCTTTTGCAGCAGTGTACCACTGTTCAGCGGCCGTAAAAGGACTTGGCGTTCTGAGACTTTGTAAACTTCGGCGTTTCATAGTATCATCTCGAGCCCGATCCCGTAACACGGAAAGTCTACCCTTCAAATCATGCATTTGATCCCGAATGTCGCGCATTTGCATCGAAGATGCCGAACGAGTCAAACCTCGATGGTCACCACTAGGCCCTAGATGACCATCCGCGCTGGACTGAATGCTCGCTCTGTCGGCTTCAAAATCCACCAGAGTCTCGTCTTCCCCCAGCGGCTCGAGTGCACCAGCATGTGGGGGTGAAGTTCTGTTTGGAGGTGAGGTTCGACTTGAAGGAACTCGAGGGGTGGGTGTGTTGTTGGATTCCTCTCTGATACTATCCTGGGGCGACGTCGGCGACCGTTGATTGACATCCGTTCCGCCTTTACCAATGTATCGAGCCGCTGCACTTGTTGATCTAGCCGGAAACTGGGGCGTTCGCATATTCGGTGATATAGAGTTCTCGCTGTAAACCCTCGAGTGTCCTGGGCTTCCCGCCATGGGATTGGAAGATGCATGTATCTGCCGGTGCATTGAAGGCGGTGCGGCAAAATGAGATGTTAGTCCGCCACTTTGTGGGGGAGAAGGGGTCGATCTCGACAACGGACTGCTACTGTGGATGGAAGACAAAGAGCCGGAAGCAGTTTTGTGCAGGGTACTTCGAGCTCGTGTGAGGTTTCCCTCCATATTCTATAATTTTGTCAGAAAATCATCAGCCCATTTGACTAAAATACCCACATTAAGCCTTCTCTTTGCATTCAGCAGGATTTGTTCGGCTCTCCTGCTCAATGCAGCACTTGAATTGCCGTCCTCGTCCACCCCAACCATGCTATTCCTATTCGATAAGCGCTGTGTTTCTTGTGCAATTACTTCCTGGCTATACGAATATGAATCCGCAACACTCTCCTCATCATCCCCCTGGAAGTTGCTGTCGTCCACGCTAATTCCATCATCAAAATCTTTAAATATCTCGGCCGATTGGCCTTCAGATGTTACCGTACTTGTCGATTCAATGGAAACGGTTCTCTGATGTGTCCCAGTCTTCGCTCGCTTCATTACCGCATCGTAGCCCACTGTTGGACTAGACCGCATTCCCCCCAGTGTGGGGCTTGACCGCAGGCGCGCATTGCTATTGTTTTGCGCCTGCTGTTTGAGCATCCTCCTTTCGGCTGGTCCTGGTAGCCTTCGTCCTGGTGTGCTCTCCGCCTCTGTCACTTCCCCAATATCCGATAACATTGTCCCATTCCCGTAGATTATAGGGGTAGTCGGTGTGAGAGGTCCCATGGGAGGTCCAATGGAGAACTGCATATTGGCTTGCTTCGAGCCTCCCCACTGGTTGTCTGGCGAAAGTGGTCGAGAAGGGGGAGAATCGTATTCGTCACCGTATGGCAGGATCATGTCAGGATTCGTGAGCGTGGGCGAAGCGGGGAGAGTTGGGTATGCCATCGTCGCAGTGGTTGCGCTGGTGGCCGTTTGTAAATGCATGTTGCCGCAGTGGATTGGCAAGCAAGCAAGCGCCACTGATTTTGGTTTTTGAATATTAGAGCCGGTTGGCTACCCGCAGCCAGCGCCGTCGAGGGTCAGGTCAAACAAGTGAGGATAAGGACCAGTATCGTATCGAAAAGGCGGATCTAGATGGGCAGGTGTCTTCGGCGGGAGGGCGCCTGAAGCTTGAGTCGACAGGAGAAAAAGCAGTGTGGCAGTTGGATGTATAGTGTTGTGTTTGACGTAAAGACAGAGGAGAACGAATGGATGGGAAGAGCACAAGGTGAACGTGCATCAACCTCGTCGTGGTGGTGGTGGTGGTGATAAGCTCAACATCAGGACCCTCGATGAGGCTTCAACCATGGTGTAGATTCCACTTTAGCTGAAGTTTATCTGGGGGAACTTTTTGAGGTACAAGAGACAAGGAACAAATAATAATAAATGCAAGCTTACCAGGATCCATCCAGTAAAGTCGTCGGTAGAGGAAATTATTAGCGGATCCTTATGCCTGCATCACCCATCACAGACCTCAGCACGTACAGTACCGTATAGAGTAGTATCCTCCGACATGGAGAAAGCAGCACTGAATTGATAGACCGGATTAGAACTAGCACATTCAAAACCAGCCGTTGACGAGTGCCGCTTTTTGTGGCGTCCCAAAGACGGCTGTACGGATTCGGAAACAATTCCCCATGCAACGCCCAACCCGGACAAATCTTCTCCCAAGATCGTTGGGTTGCTTTTATACTCCGTAGGCCAATCCTATCCTGTCATGATCATCCGCTGCAATCATCGCATCGCATGGAAGTACATTACAGTACGGAGGTACGAGCATAACAGAGACGTCCTCGTACCTATTCTACTTGACAATTCCGCCAAGTATATAACAGCTGGCATAGCCCTCATCGTACACAGTTGCTTCTACCGGTTTGGCATGAATCCATCATTAAACTTTCATTTGCTGTGATACTGGTTCCACATACCTAGGCAAGCATATCCCAAAAACTACTCGTACATATATTTCCAGCATAGACAAAAATATAAATTTTGTAGAATCCTTTTGCAGTTTGCCTCTCTTTGCTCAGTTTATAAGTTTTTATCTCATCGTTCTTGAGAGGCCATTGTTTCAGGCGAACTAGACTTTTGAGGTCTGCGGAGTATAGGTACCTGGGATACGACACGTACCGGTAGGTTGACCTAGGTAAAATACCTAATTTCATAAGGCTATAGTGCTAGTATATCAACCGATCAATTATGCGCTATACCTCATCTGTTTAGAATTTTTGGACACCGTTCAATCATTCCTCACCGTAAGTGGAACACTTACCTATCTTTGCTGCACATTGTTATGTACAGTATCATGTATATTTATAGATGCATCTTATACAGAGCTACTATCCCCCCCCCTCAATAAAGAGCATTTGTGGGTCAAATCCCCACAATACGTAGAAATCTATAGAACTGAATGGCTACAGCCCTTATAAATGGCCCGTGAAGGGTATCCGTAAGGTCCTTGTAAGGTCCCACTAAGCCCTGGGTGTATTGACATCATTGGCTTAGGCCCCTTGTAGAAATACCCACAAATGCTCTTTATTAAGGGGGGATAGTAGTTGCAATTCTCAACTCCGATCCCAACGCCGAGCGGAGTTCATTCGCGGGTGTGTCTGTTCGGACTTCGAGAGCAACGCCCTTTCGAGACGACAAGTATCGTGACTCACGGCGTTCAAAAACATTTCCTGCAGTATATATATAATGCCGCCATGTATTGAGTCATAGTTCTATCAATCGAAAAATTATATAAACTCTCTGCATCCCATTGAAATCATAACGCCATCTCATCTCAAACCTTACCCTGTATACACATATTCAAAATGTCAGCCCCAAGATTCATCCTCTCACCTTGCACACCAGAAGACGTGCCCGCGATGGTAGCAACCTACCTCTCGGCCTTCGAGCACGACTATTTCGCTAGTTACTGTCTGCCCACCTCAACCATCACACCGGAAGAAAAGCTGCACTGGCTCAACGCACGATTTCTAAAACTCTTCAGTTCGCCCGAAGTGCGGTCCTTTAAAATCACAGATGCGAATAACGGGAACCGGCAAGCGGCGTTTTCGAGATGGACGTTTCCGTATGTTTTTAGTGAGGAGGAGAAGCGGGTAAGGGAGGAGGACAAGAAGGAGAGGGAGAGGAGGAAGAAGGAGGATGGGATTGATGTCAAGTGGCCTGTGGGTGCGAATTTGGAGGTTTGTGATTTGAAATTTGGGCCTATGGATAGCTGTCGAGAGTCAAGTATTAATGCGGAAGAGACTTATGGTAAGCTCCCTGTTCCTCGTAAACTAATACCTCTGAAGCTAACATTTGATTAGTATGCGGTTTGCTTGCCGTGCACCAAGACTATTGGAGACAGGGACTTGGCGGCATGTTGCTCAATCAAGTGATTGCTATGGCTGATGCTGAGGGACGAAGGATATGGATCGAGGCAACGCCGGCTGGAAGGCCGCTTTATGCTAAGCTTGGGTTTAAGGAGGTCAATTTGATAGAGGTCGACTTGTCCAGGTGGGGTGGAAAGGAACCAGGGCGGAATTGGTGTATGGTGAGGGAACCCCAGAAGAAGATATAATTTGTCATGTTCTTGTCAAGACTCTAGATAGAAAGATCTGTCTATATGCGCGTTCTGTCAAAATCGAGAATTCAATTTTCATGTCCAGAAGATTTTGGCTAGACATCTCTCCATAACTAAGGCTCAAGCGGTGACACAATAATGCTCGGCAGGTCTTTGATATCAACATGCTCCTGCGTCCCCAAATCCACAACCCGCACCGCCTCAACCTCTACAATGCCCACCTTGAGAGCCATGAACTTCAACTCGACCTCATAACAAGCACTCGGCGCCAGGGGACCGACTCGGGTATCCGTGCTTAGGCTCACTATATCCGTAGGCTCAATAGCTGAATTCCTTTGCATAGCATGCACAATGTTATCGTCGACAACTGCGTCAGCGACCTTGGGATCTTTCTTGTGGCTAGTCGAAGGTGGTCGCATCATCCGCGTTTCAATTCGACGTCTCTTAGGAAGTACCATAAGCGCTAGTTTTCGAGGTCTGTCCGAGCGGTTGACTATGAATACCGACCAAGTGAAAGGGATCCCTGGGTATATGGGCTTTTCTGGAGGAGGCCCCGAGAATGTTACAGTAACGCCGAAATCCGGGATAGACGAGTTTCGTTGTTGACGGGTTGTCACATCCACTGATGGGAGAGCGTCTGGTCGAGTAATAGCAAGAGATGCCACAGTTGGGACCGTTTCAATCGAGGATCCGATCGAGAGTTGGGATGGTCGATGCGGCCGTTGTATCGGCTGGGTTGGATTGCCGAAACCAGGATTTACAGGTGGTGTAAAGTCAAGAGACGTTGTCCATTGCATTGCTATTTTTGGTTCGCACACGTCAGACAGGTTCGCTGTAGCTGCTATGGAGATATCGAGTGTTCGAATCTGAGATCTATTTGTGGCGTCCATGTCATCCGGTAGCAGCCGATATATGAAAGTAACATCATCCTGTGGAAGACATTTGATAGGAAGTTTCATGCCTGGGATGTCATTCAGATCCTCAACATTGCCCCCATGAATAGAAAGACCAACTTTATCTAGTGTAACCTTGCAGTTGGCGAATGGAGTGATATCGATATCCAGAGAAGCAACAACTGCCATATTTGCGGTCGTTGTGTTTGGTCTAGAGTAGCGCACACGAGCATTTAGTGCTGGATAAACCTTGACTGATTGACGAGAGATATTCTTCAACGGCCGCATCAACTCTCTGGCCGCTTGGGAAAGAGGTTTTACTTGGGAGACTCTCAAAGCAGATAGCCTAGGCTTGATTCCTCCCAGTGCTGGATCATCACCAAAAGCCTCCAGTAAGTTGATGCCGGAAGGCACCTGACTAGGCAGATATTCCTCCGTTATCGCATGCTCTTGTATTTGCTCCGGGGCTTTCAAATTTGCTGTAGCAGAAAACACCACGGAAGGATTCTGGAGACGAAGTCGAGGTCGGAGAAGGAAGGTAGATATCTTCCACACAACCAGTATATGCCCGGCCCCAGAACTTCCTTCAGACTCGTCAGGACCTTGGACTACAATTAATGGATCCTCACTGTCTTGAACGGAGCCACTGTATATCACTTCTTGGGCTGGAGGTCCGCCGTAATTTTCTTGTTGTGTGTTGACGACAGTTGCTTCGAGATTGATCATTAGACGCTCAAGGTATGATCGTAGGGCTCTTTCATCGAAGTAGGGGGTTTGTAAAACAACATATACGTTGACAGTCTCATCTAATATCTACGAATGAGTAAGATATGGAGCTTTGAAGGATATCTGCAACACTCACCAAAGAACAAGGCCTGTCTTTGCGGAATGGTAGCTAAGGGAGACTCGTTTCCTTCGTCCAGTCGTTCCACGGAGCCACTCAATGCCTCTTCAATATCGAGGTTGCTGGCCAAAGGTATAATTGTATCCAAAACAGAAGTTTCTACAAATTCAAGACTCCCACGAGGCTGGGCCTCTTCTATCTCCGTTTCGGCGACCATGATGGACGCGCTGTGAGGCTAGAGGCGATTATAGAATGGGCTATCCTCTCAGGAGACGGGAGCGAAGGGATGTGATGAATGGGAAGAGGATGCGGTTCGTAATCTTTTTCAACAGACTAAAGTCTCACACATAATCCAATGTACAAGAAATGGTGCATGGTGGCAATGCTGTCCAGAAAAGAAGGCAATTGAAAGTGAATTTGACTTGCTATTGCTCGCGTGAACTTTGTCCGATCTAAAGATCTAAGGAGGGGAGGTGCGGACAGGTGTAGCTGCTGAATCCTTGCTAGCGTGCTTTCCCCAAAACTTTATTCCATTCCCATTCAAGAGCTCAAATTTGCCCAGCCGCAGCTCCAAAAGGTTCTACACAACAGCCAGCATGAACGGCATGAATGGGATCAACGGCCATGCGGCTACTCCTCCCCTCTGGAGCGAAGCTAAGAATGCTGACGGACGGATTTATTACTACAACACTGTCACGAAAGCTACGCAATGGACCAAGCCGGAAGAGTTGATGACTCCAGCAGAGGTAATGCCTCCCTCGTCTTGGACCGCAAAGTATCTACTAATATCTTAAATAGAGGGCAATTTCTGCGCAGCCTTGGAAAGAATATACTGCGGAGGGGGGAAGAAAGTACTGGTATAATACAGAGACGAAGCAGAGCTCTTGGGAGATGCCAGAGGTTTACAAAGAAGCGCTTTCCAAGGAGAAAGCTACTGTAGCACCAGTCGCACCGTATGTGTTCAAAACAGCGCAATCGTATTCATGTGCCATGCTAACCTTCACAGGGCACCTACCTTCGTTGCTGGTGGTGGCTTCTCCGCACCCCAGTTTGATGCGCCCCGAGACCGAGAACCCCTGGGAGAAGCTCGACAAATTGCATATGGTAATGATGCTAACGGAAGTCGGACTCAAGTTTTTATCCCATCGAATACCGACCCTGAATATAATACGTTCGAAGATGCCGAAGCTGCATTCCTCAAGCTATTGCACCGCAACAATGTCAATCCTGACTGGACCTGGGAACAGACGATGCGCTCCATTATCAAAGATCCGCAATACCGAGCGTTGAAAGATCCAAAGGACAGGAAAGCAGCATTCGAGAAGTATGCTGTTGAGGTACGGCTTCAGGAAAAAGACCGCGCAAAGGAGAGGCTTGAGAAGCTCCGTAAAGATTTTGCTACCATGCTGAGAAGTCACCCAGAGATCAAACACTATACCCGTTGGAAGACTGCGCGACCCATTATTGAAGGGGAGACCATATTCAGATCCTCGAAAGATGACGACGAACGGCGCCAATTGTTCGAAGACTATATCATCGAGTTAAAGAAAGCTCATCTCGAACAAGAGACCGTCACTCGGAAAGCAGCCATGGATGATCTAGTGGATATATTGAAGAGTATTGAATTGGACCCGTACACCAGATGGTCAGAAGCACAAGGTACTATTCAATCTAATCACCGATTCCAGGGTGATGCGAAATTCCAATCCCTCAGCAAGTCGGACATATTGACCGCTTTCGAGAACCATATCAAAAATCTAGAAAAGACGTTCAACGATGTTCGCCAGCAGGAAAAGAACCAGAAGTCCAGGCGCGAGCGTCAAAATCGCGACAGGTTTCTGAACTTATTGCGAGAGCTAAAGGGGGCCAAGAAGATCAGAGCAGGGACAAAGTGGAGCCAAATTCATCCCCTGATCGTGGATGACGAAAGATACCAAGGAATGCTCGGTCAGTCTGGTTCTACACCTCTTGATCTGTTTTGGGACATGGTGGAGGAAGACGAGCGCGTTCTACGCAGTAGGCGTAATGATGTTTTGGATGTTCTTGATGTATGTGACCCGCCAATAGACCATATGCCCTGGTTGCTGATTTTTTTCCAGGATAAGCGATTTGAGGTTCAGCAGAATACTACGTTTGAGGAGTTCCTTGCCATGACGCAGAATGACCGACGAACTGCTGACATTGACCGAGATGATTTGTTACTAATTTTTGAACGAGTGAGTATTACATTCCTCTCTGCGCCAAGCATATCTAACATTTTACAGGCGCGTGAGAAAGTCTCTCGTCGTAGTGAAGATGATAAACATCAAGCTGAGCGTCAACAGCGCCGAGCTGTTGATGCTCTTCGATCGCTCATCAAGCATCTTGAACCTCCTGTTCGCATCGATGACACGTTTGAGAGGGTTCGGCCGCACATTGAGAGATCTGAGGAGTATCTTGCCGTCACTTCTGATGAACTCCGGCGCTCTGCCTTCGACAAAGTCATCAAACGCTTGAGGGAGAAGGAAGAAGATGTGGAAAAAGACCGTCTCAAGCGTCGAGACAGAGCCTCAGTCGACCGGCCAACTCATCGAGGTGAGAGATCGCACCGTAGCGGACGTCATGTTAGGACAAGTCGCAGTCCAGAACCAGATGCCTACGAGGCAGATAGACGACGAGCTATTGCCGACCGAGAGAAGAATTATCGCAAAGGCGGCGCTGCTGATACTCTCCTGTCGCCTCGTCATAGAGGAGACCGGGATCGCGAAAGAGATCGTGATCTCGACAAGCCTCATCGAAGCCGTCGGGATGACTCTATGAGCCACTATGAGCGTGAACGGAGAGACCGAGAGAGCGAAAGAGAGAAACTTTACCGTCGAAGAGCTGATCCCAGAGGCAGCGTTGATGAGTTGCCCTATGGAGATGAGAGACCGAGTGGAGGAAGTAGACGCCGTCGAGCGGACAGCCCTGTGGGTAGCGAAGGAAGTGCAAGGTTGGCAAAGGTTTGTCGCTATGATATTATTTTGTGCAAGAATATATTACTGACTTTTATTGCAGAGAACAAGGAGAGAATTAACACCACGTGAGCGAACCCCTCCTCCACGTGAACGGCGGCACAGGACTAGGACACCTCCTGCGGTTGTTGCTGCGCTCCCACCAAAGGAAGAGCCAGCCGTCCATTCAGGAAGCGAAGAGGGCGAAATTGAAGAAGAGTAGATGAGGGACGCAGCCTGGGGACCCCGCCAGCCAGAGTTGTACGTATCGCATTAAAAACTTCAATTTTCGAGGCACGATGACTACTTTATTAAACAGATCATTGATCACAGAGAGCAGCATGCATGCAAAGTTGAAACGCGGTATATTTTGATGATCAAGGACTTTTTCGGTGTGTATCTTTGTTTCCTACTGACTCAATACCTCGCGCGACACTTTTGAGATGCTAGCTTCTGCAATGCTAGGCAAACTCCTCGATTTCCTTCGTGTAATCAATCAAAACTAAAATCGTGATTCTGTCTTGACAATATTTGTGATGCATGTGCAGCACTAGACGGCAGTCACCCACTTGACCGTAAGCCCCTCAGTCCAAACCTAACCACCACCCGCGGGCGATACAACAAAGGAAATGGTGGTAGTTGAGATTTAGGATCAGGCGAACAGGGGAATAGACTGCCGTCGCCGTCGTTAGTCATCTGGCTCGTCTTCGTCGTTGGCACCTTCTTCATCTAGAAGACCTTGTGCCCCAGTGTGCCCATTTTGTTGCAATGCTACCCCATTAACGCCGACCGATGCATTATTTACAGACGGGATTGAATCATTTGGTTGGCCCTCTTCAACTACTCGTTGACTTGTCCTCTTCCAAGAAGAACTAGAACGCCACCATATCAGTAGATGCATTTTTGACAAGTAGAGCTCTTGGGTTTGGAAACTTACGTAATTACCACCTAACTTCTGTTCCTGGTCAAGCTGCGAATTGAGCTTGTTGATACGAGGACGGTAATTGCTTGGATCACGGCGGAAGGTGACATCGAGGTTCTTCAGGAACTTGTTGCAACCGGTAAGGAGCGACTCGGGGGTGTTGGCGCGGGCGTTAATTCCTGGCTCGCCGTCGAAGACGATAACTCGATCGGCAAGGTAGGTGGCCATGATGAAATCGTGCTCAACGATAAAGGCAGTCTTCTTAGAGTGCATGATGAAGCGCTTGATAACGCGTGCGGCGATGATACGTTGCTCGGAGTCGAGGTAGGCGGAAGGTTCATCGATGAGGTAGATATCGGCGGGGAGACCAAGGGCAAGGACAATGGCCACTCGTTGCAGTTCTCCTCCTGAGAGGGTCTTGACTTCCTGGTCAATGAATTCCTCGAGCTTCAAAGGCTTGACGACATCAGTTTGGAATTGGGGAAGAAGGAATGCGGTCTTGATCTTTTTGAAAAATAGCTGTCGAACTGTGCCCTCGAACTTTGGCGTAATCTTCTGAGGCTTCATGCTAACCTTCATTCCAGGCACCTTTTGATCGCCATCGGGCTTCAAAGCACCAGCCAACATTTTACAGAATGTCGTCTTGCCAGTTCCGTTCTCGCCCATCATGACAATGATTTCCGAGTCGGTGAAGTCACCCTCTTCGATTTGAAGGTGGAAAGTGTCTAGAGTCTTTTCCATCTTCGGATAAGTAAATGCGCGTGATCGGTCGGCCATAAACTCATCAGCAGCTTCAGCAATGCGGAAAGTCAAAGACTCCTCTCTGAAACGGAGATTCTCCGTTGGAATGTTTCCATCGAGGAAGATATTGATACCTTCACGGACCGATGCCGGGAGAGTGACAACACCGTAGACAGCTGGTTTGCCATACAGAACGCAAATGAAATCAGACAGATAATCGAGTACAGAGAGATCGTGCTCCACGCAGATGACGTAGTCGTCTGGGCGCAAAAGTGATCGGATAATCTTTGCTGCACTCAAACGTTGCTTTACATCTAGGTAAGAAGAAGGCTCGTCAAACATGTAGCTATAGATTTATTAGAACGATTCAAGGATTTACGCAGGGGATCGCCTACACATCAGCTTGCTGCACGCAGACAGTACCAATGGCGAATCGTTGAAGCTCTCCACCAGACAGAAGATTCACATCTCGGTCCATGATGTGATTGAGTTCTTTGAGGGTTAGCCATTGCGATTGGTAGAAGAGTAACATTATTGTCCTTACCTAGAACATCAAGGACTTCTTCCAGGTTGTCCATTGAAGCTTGCGCTTCGATGAGTGTTCGAACCGTCTTGTCGGCACTTCGGATTGCCCTTGGAATACGATCGACATATTGTGGCTTGACTATAGCCTTCAAATCATCCTCAAGAATTTTGGTGAAATAGTCTGTATGCAATCATCAGTATGCTGGAACTACAATACAGCCCAAGAAACGTACTTTGTAACTCGGAACCTCTGAAGTACTTGATCACATCCTGCCAGTCCGGGGGGTTGTCATATCTTCCCAAGTTGGGCTTCAACTTTCCACTCAAAATCTTCAGGGCTGTACTCTTTCCAATACCGTTGGAACCAACCAAGCCTAGAACTTGACCTGGTCGAGGGGTCGGCAAGCGATGAAGCTTGAAGCTGTTGGCCGAGTATCTATGTGTGACGTGCGACTCGAGATTGGTTGGCAGATTGATGATATTGATAGCTCCGAATGGACATTTCTTTGGGCAGATACCACAACCGATGCAAAGATTTTCTGAGATGAAAGCGATCTTGGACGTAGCGTCCACTTCGATACAAAGACGGCCACTTCGAACGACGGGGCAGGACTTCTTGCATTCTTGTCGGCATTTCTACACAAAATGAAGTGTTAGCACAATAAACCTTCTTGAACGGTCTGGTATGCTTACCTTTGGTTTGCACTGAGTGACAGGAGTGTTGTTAGCATTTCGTCTCGTTCGAGGCGGGGTAGTGGGGCATGGCTTGAAGTGATTTCTTTCGCACCTTGTCTGAACTGATGATGGCGATACTGTGAGAATTCGAGCGGTTAGTAACAGAAGGGCCCGTGACAAGCAGAAATCGTAGACATACCGGGTGAGCTTATCGGACATATTCGCGGTTTCTGTTTGCGAGCAAGGCGCAAAGAATGCCGAAATTTGAAGAAATGTGCGAAGCTTGGACTGCGGGATTCGATGTTTCTAAAGGTTGCTGCTGCCAACTGCGCTAGGATGGGAATCTGGTGATGGTTTGTCTCGCGGTCCAGATGTACGAAGTACAGTAAAACAGAGGCAAAGGGGAGCGAAGTTCTTGTCTACGGTACGGTACTCCAGTATTTATTTTCAGGGCTTTTGTGGTGTGGTGGTTATGGTCACCATGATTTGTGGTAAATCTGATTGGTGGGCGCAGGGCGCTGGAATATAAAGTGGGTCGTCACCTTGTGCACACTGAGATAGATTCGAGTGCGTTTTGCGTGTAGAAGAGTTCCACACTTCAGGAAACTCAAGACTCTCCGATTTACTTCAAGATCATTTTACTGTATTTCAAAAAACAAGTCCAAACTCATTATTGAGAAGTACAACTACATGCCTCCCAATCCATATCATAATTTCATTGTCACATTGTCCAGAACAATTCGGTGCTAGCCCGTTTAGGCATCGCTTCAGCGGTCAAGCCCAAGACACAGCAAAGAGGCTCGCTCGGTCACATCTCAAAGAACGTACCGTACACCATCTCACAACTCCCAAGATATACTTTCACCCACACACTCACTATTACACCCCGGCATACCATCCTCTAGAGGGGGGAGCTACATTATGGCTTGTAAGTAACATTACTTTTCCTGAAATTTTTACGTCCAATGCCGGATATTTCCCCAAGGCTGCCCCATTCATCCGCCTGGTCGTGGATCCATTGTGACCATCGAGATACCTCTATATTATGACTTCGGAAGGCCTAATAGACCTTTCCTTTGAGCCTGGGAGATGCTCGCTCAATTCTCTGATGATACAGCAACGTCTTTTTACCTCGTGTCCAACACCCACAGTCATCAATGGTCCAGGAACCATCATCAGCCCCGTCTCCAAGATACCTCCAACTGCTTCGAAATGCGCCGCCAGCACTCAGATCTGCCTTGAAGATTCGCAGGTCAATGTTTTGATGGAATCAGGATCGCGTGCTTCTTCTATGGGCGGTCCTACGGTTCAGAAAAATTCTGGCGTCATTGGGAACTTGAAGCTATACTGTTCAGATTGCTAACATCGTCGTCTCCAGCCCCACCATCCACAGGTCCATTACTGGACGCATTACCATCTTTACCGCTTTCCAACGGACACACCTCTCCTTTGGAAACCCCTACACTCACAAACGACGACGCTCCTTACGATTCGGAGTCAGACCTCTCCGAAGTTGCTATCCCCATCATCGACGAACCCTCACCGGCGACCTCTTCTAACCACCAGTCTGAATTTGGCGCCCATGCCACTGATGATTCCGACTCCGACCCGGCAGACGTCCAAGACGCGTCTGACGATGCTGACTTTGATATGGAGGACAGTCCAGCTCCCGTTGTAACAAACGGCGAACGTGAAGACCGCTCAACGTCCACTGATTCTCGCCGGCCTGCTAAGCGGAAGCAAGGTCTCGAGGATGAACATATCAAGGCCAATCCAGAATTATATGGTTTGCGGAGAAGTGTACATAGACATCAAAGGCCGTGTTTCAGAATCTCCATACTGACTTGTCCGTCTAGGGTCGTCCTGTTCAGCAACGAAGCATTGTACGTTACCGGCTCCAACTACAAAATCTTGGTCTTGATTGATCATATGAGATATTAACTTTCTACAGATTGAATCAGACGATGAGAATGATGATTCCGACTCAGACATTATTCCAACTCATAGAACAAAACGAAGGAAGCAAGAGCGGTCGCGACCAAGTAGACCCCCCTCACCTTACTACCTGTTGTCACCATGGTAGCTAATGGTTCATTTATAGCCTCGAAACGCGAAACGCCAATTCTACGTTCCGCATCTCATTCCGACTCAGATGACTCTGATACATATGGAGGTGCCAGAGCGAAAACTCTCACAAAAAAGAACCGCCGCCGCCAGCTCGAGTCAGGCAATTTAGCCCCTATCTACCAAGAAAAGAGATGGAATAGCCGAAGAGCCGCACAGGTCACAGCTGGAGCATATCAAGAGAGTGGCGATGGCGAGGAATTTGAAGAAGATTCCGATGCAGCGACCCCAAGTTATTGGGCTCCGGAAGTAGCGGATAATACCCCATATGTTGATCTAGTCATCAAGCACCGCCTCAAAGATGGGGTAGATATCAACAAGGAGGAGCTTGGTCGTGACGACTTCGAATATTATATAAAATGGCAGGATAAATCCCACTACCATGCTACTTGGGAGACCATTGAGTCCTTGGCTGGCATGAAAGGTGTCCGTCGCCTCGAAAACTATTACAGAAAAACGATTCTTGACGACATATTCATGTTACGGGGCCAAGACGTTCCTATCGAAGAGAAAGAGAAGTGGATGCTGGACAAAGAACGAGATGCTGATGCCTTGCTTGATTATACGAAAGTTGATCGTGTCATAGGCACAAGGGAGGGCGATGAAGAAACAGAGTACTACGTTAAATGGAAAAGCCTCTACTATGAGAACTGCACTTGGGAGAGTGCTTCTCTGGTTAGCGAACTTGCGCAAGATGCTATTGACCGCTTCCTGGATCGCAGCTCCCGGTCGTTGGCTTCGGATAACAAAGAGACTAACCCTAATACACGAAGCGCCCATGTACCAATTCGGGAGCAACCGCCATATATCATGAATGGTCAACTTCGAGACTTCCAAATTACTGGCCTGAACTTCCTGGCGTATAACTGGACGAAGAATAAGAATGTCATTCTGGCTGATGAGATGGGCTTGGGAAAGACAGTCCAAACTGTGGCGTTTATGAATTGGCTTCGACATGACAGACGTCAACAAGGCCCATTTATTGTCGTCGTTCCACTATCGACAATTCCAGCCTGGGGGGACACATTTGATCACTGGGCCCCCGATTTGAACTATGTCACTTACAGTGGCAAAGAGGCTTCCAGGAAGATTATTCGTGACTACGAGCTCTTAGTTGACAATAACGTCAAGCGTCCTAAGTTCAATGTCCTTCTCACCACGTACGAATTCATCCTCGCAGATGCTGCGTTCTTATCTCAGATAAAATGGCAGTTTATGGGTGTTGATGAAGCTCATCGCTTGAAAAATCGAGAGTCGCAGTTGTATCAAAAACTTCTCGATTTCAAAGCTCCTAGTAGATTGTTAATTACTGGCACACCCGTTCAAAACACCCTTGGAGAATTGTCAGCGCTCATGGATTTTCTAATGCCTGGCGAACTGGATATCGAAGAGGATATGGATTTGACTGCAGATGCTGCCGGTGACAAGATTGCTGCTCTCACCAATAAGATCCAACCTTACATCTTGCGTCGAACGAAACAGAAAGTCGAGAACGATCTACCCCCCAAAAGCGAGAAGATCATTCGAGTCGAACTTTCCGATGTACAACTTGATTATTATAAGAATATCCTCACGAGAAACTACGCTGCTCTCAACGAGGGTTCCAAGGGCCAGAAACAGTCGCTACTCAACATTATGATGGAACTCAAGAAAGCCAGTAACCATCCTTACATGTTTCCGAATGCCGAAGAGAAAATCCTGAAGGGCAGTGAGAGAAGAGAAGACCAATTGAAGGGTCTCATCGCAAGCAGTGGAAAGATGATGCTCCTCGATCAGCTCTTGACCAAGCTAAAGAAGGACAACCATCGTGTTCTGATTTTCAGTCAGATGGTCAAGATGCTTGACATTCTTGGAGATTATTTACAACTTCGTGGTTACCAATTCCAGCGTTTGGACGGCACCATCGCTGCTGGTCCTCGTCGTATGGCTATCGATCATTTCAATGCAGATGGGAGCAATGACTTTTGCTTCCTACTCTCCACTCGTGCGGGAGGTCTTGGCATCAATTTAATGACGGCAGATACTGTCATAATTTTCGATTCAGACTGGAATCCTCAAGCAGATCTTCAAGCAATGGCTCGCGCTCATCGAATCGGTCAGAAGAAGCCAGTCAGCATCTACAGACTAGTCTCGAAGGAGACTGTAGAGGAAGAGGTTCTCGAACGTGCTCGCAACAAACTCATGCTCGAGTTCATCACCATTCAGAGAGGTGTTACCGACAGAGAGAAAAAGGAACTTCGCGAGAAAGCAGTCAAGGCCGGCAAGATTGATGATCCCAAATCCTCCGACGACATATCCAGAATCCTCAAACGCCGAGGCCAAAAGATGTTCGAGCAGTCCGGTAACCAGAAGAAGTTGGAAGAATTGAATATCGACGCTGTCCTTGAGAACGCCGAGGAGCATATGACGGAAGTCCCGGAAGGAATGGACGCTGACGGTGGCGAGGACTTTTTGAAAAGCTTCGAATACACTGATGTCAAGATCGACCTAGCATGGGATGATATCATCCCCAAAGATCAGCTCGATGGTATCAAAGCTGAAGAGGAAAAGCGCGCCCACGAAGAATATCTTAAGAAAGTCGTCGAGGAAAACGCTCCTCGAAAAGCTGCAGTCAAAAACACTGCCGAGTATGAGCGAGAGCAACGTCTTGCCAAGAAACGGGAACGCGATCAGGCAAAACAAGAAGAGCTTGATGAGAAGAGAGAGGCACAAGCAAACCGTGCTGATCCAAAGCGAGATCTCAATGAAAAAGAAGCCAGGAACCTGTTCAGGGCATTTCTTCGATATGGCTCTCTTGAAGAGCGTGGCGAGGAGCTGATCAAGGATGCACGACTTGTCGGTCGTGACATTGAAGTGTTGCGTGCCGCTATCAAGTCCATTACAGATGAGAGTGACAGGCGTCTCAAGGAAGATGCTGAACGAATTGAGGCCATGGAAAGAGAATCAAATAAGCCTTTGACGAAGAAAGACAAGAAGGCTGTTCTCTTTGACTTCCTGGGGGTCAAGAGGTTGAATGCTGAAACTGTCATGGAACGTCCGGGTGAGATGAGAATGCTGAAAGAAATCATCGCCAAAGTGTCTGATTTCCGGAACGTCCGAGTCGCTGAAGCCTCCAAAGCTGCCCACTACTCTTGCGAATGGGGCGCAAGGGAGGATGGGATGCTACTTGTTGGAATACATCGACATGGCTATGGAGCCTGGGTTCAGATTCGAGACGATGAAGATCTTGGATTGAAAGAGAAATTTTTCCTAGAAGAGCATCGCGTTGATAAGAAGGAGGAGCGAATTAAAGGAGACGAGAAGGTTGCTAAGGCGCCTGGTGCCGTTCATTTGGTTCGACGAGCTGATTATCTCCTTTCTGTTTTGAAGGCGAAGCACCTCAACAATGAAGCTGCTAAACGTGCCGTGGAGAATCATCATCGGAATAATAAGAAGCAGGATCGTACGAATGGCCATCGACGCTCCGAAACTGGAAGAGCATCTGTCTCTGCTTCTCCAGCACCGCAATCAAAGAAGACGCATCGGCAGCCTGAAAGCCGTGACCGGGCACACAGCCAAAGTCATGCTCACGGAGGCAGTAGTTCCAAGCCTGATCTGAAGAGGAAGCATAGCGCCCCTGATGATGAACGCCAACGCCACTCCAAGCACCGGAAGTCCGAGGGTAGTCACTCCAAATTAAGGCATGAGCTAGACCCTGTGATGAAGCACGTTTTCCGCCCTGTAAAAGAGAACCTTAGATCAATCACGACGACTACTAAGGAGCGCATCAAGTCACAGAAGGAGCGCGCCAGTATCCTGAAAACGGAACTGGTGATAATTGGGGATTTTATTGTCACTCAACTAGAAGACACTCCTGCTATGGAGAAAGACTCACTCCGTCCCAGGTTCTGGCAAGTTACACCCAACTCGCACACAACTTTAATTTGCTAACAACATAAAGGGACCATGTCGCAGCCTTCTGGCCTGGGATAGATGCACCCCCAAGCGGGGCGCAGCTAGAGGGGATGTATAAGAAGCTCACGGCTAGCAAGAATGTGGATGGTGCTGCTGCTGAGCGAAAAGTCACTAAAAACGGCAACAGTGCTGCTGTTGAACAAAAGCCTACAAAGAACGGTGTCGGCCCTCTGCCGTAGTACGTTTACGAGGCGCTGGCATACTGTTAGGCATTTGCCTCTCAATTTTGTTTTTCTCATTGCGTCGGCGTTCTCGAGCGGAAATATTTGGCCGGAGCCATAGCATTCAGGTAGGCGCATACTTTGCTTTTAGAGGGCCATCTCCTGGTAGGAGATGCATGCATTGAAAACGGATCTGCCGCAGGAGGTTTACGTTTTTACAATACACGGACTGATAGATGTTTGGTACGTGGGATATTGGCTCAGTGGAGAAAATTGTTATAGTGTTTCCCGTTGTTGCGGCATAACTGCGTTCAGCACCTCTTATAGCCCGAGCAGGGAGACGATAGGAACAAAAGTTTCGCCTCAATTTCAATGCTCATATGGCCATCGTGAAGTGACTGACAGTATCTGGTATGGAGGTGCAACTTTGAATAGTTGTAAATCTTGGCGTGGCTAATAAGTGGTAGCAGGATTAGGAGGGTCCTGCACCTCCGCAGAGTAGGACCAGCATGGAACTACCTCGCTCAGTACTACTTGAAATGCAAAATTGTACTAAAGTTTCGCGAATCGCTGACCTTGCAGCAATACATTCAATATTGTTTTGGGCATTGCATAGGAGATTTGTTGAATCAAGGATTGCATTCAACTTTAGTTGACTTGCTGCTTGTCAGCACGCAAAAGGTACTGTATAGAACTTTTTAATGGTGATAGGGAGGGAGGCTTAATTCGGAACGTCAAAATATCATAAAAGGGGGTGTCGATCGTGCCAGTGTATTTCTACGTTGCTACAGTACCACTTACCACAACAGAATATCTGAACCCCTTTTCAGTCTGGAATGAAACTGCAACATTGGCAGAAACGGGACCGCATATGCTTCCACTCCTATTTTCCACTCTAAAGCTTTGCTTGGCTTTGAGCACACAGACATTGCCCAGACGCGATTCAAGAACTGCACTGCACAGAGTCCCCTCAGACCATATCATATCCAGCACAAACCCACCTCGTGTACAGAGGCCTTTGATAGATCCATCGGACCAAGAAGATGGCAGCGCCGGCAGCAACACGATCTCGCCGTCATGGGATTGTACCAGCATCTCCGTGATACCAGCTGTCGCTCCGAAATTCCCGTCGATCTGGAAGGGTGGGTGGTCATCGAGCAGACTGTCGTGCGTCGATGTGCGCAGGATCTCGCGG